CAAGTCAATCTTTAAGACTCTATGACTCACCGACCAAGTAAAACAGATTCCTTGAAGATGTATTACCAAACCTACTCTTCAACTTCCTTATAACTCATGTATCCCTCTGATTGTTCAACCCTGATTATACTTTTACAAATTTTAATTTTAACTTTTTAGGCAGAGCTGGTGAACAATTAAAGGTCCACAAATCAAATTAAGAACATCCCAGGCTTTTTTCTAGGGTGAGAGGAGGGAAATTGCTTTTACGCACACAGGTGACCAGCCTGTAGTGTGAGATAGGAAGGATCAGATGACTTACTAAAACCCCCCTCTACTCCGTTGGACACAGGCCTGGGATTGTTTGTCACCTAAGCCCTAGGGGCTCCCACTGTTTCTGGCAATCTGTTATTTTATTATATAGACCACATCTCGATCAAGGTTGAGCTTCTTGGCGCAGAGAATACCCTGGACGAAATATGAGACACAGGTACAACTGTTCTCACCCACAGTCACCATTGGGATGACCGTGACCGTGTCCACCAACAGCAATGCTACGTTGGAATTAGCCCAGACAGGGCCTTTCCCAACATGGGCAACGGGAAAAAGTGTGTTCTGCATCGTCGCGAGTACCTGGGCAGTAGATACAATCGGGTATCTACTTAGGTCATAATGAACAGGTATGACCGAAAAAATCTGTGGCCTATCAGAAATTGGGTGAGGTAAACTACCTCGCTGTGTTGCCGATTAACCCAAGGTTGGACTTGCTGAATCAGTCACCTGGTCCAGTGTTCCCGTGTCTCCTGTTCCCAGCTCTCCTGCCAGAGCCAGTAGATGCACGGATGGGCTTCTCGCTTCTTGCCTGGTCCTCTCTACGCCGCTGATATATTGCCTCCAAAAGTTTGATGGGGATGACTCCAGCAACCAACAGGATGGCGGGTTTGGACACTGTTCGGTAGGCGGATGCTACCCTGAGTGCTGCCTGACACTACACTCGGGCGAGCCGCATCCTGTATACATCCTTATTGAGTGCGTCTGCCCACACTTCTATACCTTAAAGGAGTATGGACTGGACCGCAGATATTAACAGCCTTCTGAGATTGGACTGCGGACCTCTGACATTGGCCATTAACCGGCTAAGGGAAGAAACCAACTTAGCGGCCTTGTCCCTCATACGGAATATCTGGTCCCGGCAGCTAAGCTTGCTGTAACAATGACTCCAAGGCAAGCACAATCGGGTACCCCATCTGGTCCAGGAGCCTTGTTGTTCTTCGTGGGTAAAACAGCCGCCTCTAACTCCTCAAGCCTGAACAGCGGAATGTCGTCCACCCTTCCGATGTCCTGCAATGGGCGCAGTGTGTGAGCCGAGAAAAGGGACTTTACTATCCCCCATCCGAGACGGAGGGTGGAGAGCAGTTGCCAAGTTTCTTGGTTACAAGTTTGTAGCCTGTTGGATGTTGTTGACATGATGCTACTTTCCTTGCTTACTTAGTTTTCTGCTCTTTATCCTCCCTTACTAGGAAATCATCCCCCAAAGGTTTATTTTATAAGAAGTTGGGACTTTGGTGACCATTAGACAGACGAAACCTCATGAGTTTGACTAACTAGAATCTGCAATTAAAATGGAATTCAATTCCTTAATCTAGGATGTTGTCTCCTGGCTCTGGTAAGGTAACGCCATAAATTGCTTGACCATTGATCTGTCATCAGTTTCAAACAATCCAATACAAAAGTAAGGTATTCATTTATAGTAGTTGTCAGCTGATATGTTGTAATTTGTTAATCGATATTTAATAAATGTTCCCTTTAACAGGAAAGTACCGTAAGTTGATTTAAATGGTATTGGAAGAAATTAAACCCTGTACAAGTGAATAATACATGTTTAGGCCCTACTTAAATTACTTGAATCTTACCAAACGCGATAGTTCAGTTAGGTAACACAGTCCAATGTCAAGAAGGCCTACTATTTGTAGCTGACTAGCCAGACATTGATGGTTCAATACCATCTGCTCTATTCTATCTCCACAGACACCATTTGGCTTGTTCAAGTGACTTACCATAGATTATCAAATACATTAACACTTCTCATCCCAATAATTTAACAAATTTAAAGCTCGATTTTCGTGTCTAGAGTTCATATTGAAACTGGATGCATTGACAAAATTTTGTTTATACTATTTTAGGGTTAGGCCTAGTTTCATTTTTGCTTTTTATCTTTGGTTATAACTTATAACTAGCTAAGTTTAAGGGGACTAGTTTTGTTAGTAATTATCTAGGCTTATATCGTTAAATTTGGTTAAACGAGGTTTTGAATAACTTGACTGAAATGACAAGAAACAAAATTTTAGACAAAAACACGACCCTAGCGGCACAGAACGGAACTGTCTTCAGCTGATCAGTGGCGGACCTAGAGATTGCGGGGCCCAAGGCGAAGTTCAATAGGGGCCTCTCTTAATACCTGAAATACGACTGTGCAGGGCCCCTGTAATGTGTGGGGCCCCAGGCACCACCTTGTTCGCCTATATGTACCCTAACGCCGCCTCTGCAGCTGATCCATAAGGATGACAAATCTACTAACGAGGGAGTACATGCTTATTACATGGTAGAAGCTAGGTTTATTATCTGAGGTGGAAAGCAGATGAAAAACTGAATAAGAAAAACATTGGTAGCTTAATGCTAACTTGCTTGGTAAATATTTTCGCGATAATTTATCAGTAAGTACATTGATGGTTTAACTTTACTTAACACCAATGATACCATTTCATACCATTGATGGTTAAAACCAATGTTACCATCGAATGTGTGGTGAACATCGATAGTTGGCCTATCGATGCTCATCCCTATTAAACTTAGGCCTGTTTCACATCTACCCAGCTGTCGGGTGCCGGGTGTAGTTTAACCGGCAATGGGGGGAAGAAGTACCTATATGGGACAGTTTATATATGCACGGCATGTGTCGTGGTTGGTTAATCACTTGCCCGGCTGCTGTGTAGGGCCTACTAGTCGAGAGATGCTGGGTGCCCCCTCGGCAAAGGCCAGCTGCCCGTGTCAGGTAAAGAAGCCGGCTAGAGTAGTGGGTGTAACGGCCCAATGTGACAGTTCACATACAACCGGCATCTGCCGTCTGTCGGGTGCACCAAGTGTAGGTACTTTTAGTTCAGTGTTTGTAGTTATTTGTGTATTACTTTTGGTTATTTTTTGCCAAAGTTTTGGTCTTGTCGGAAATAGACCTTGAACTAATAATTAATTTAGTTTCAGAGCAAAATTGAAATAAATTAAATTTTTACTTATTTAATTTTTATTTTATTCTTTTATTTTATCAGGCTTACATAATATGGAATTGAATTTTACTCAAATGCAAATTGAATAAAATAAAAATAAAATACTTCCAAATATAAATACCTATAGGCCTTGGTAGGGAGGCTACAGTTTTAATAAAAAAAGAAGAGTACTTTCCTGTTAGAGAGAACATTCATTATTATCGATGATTTTTTTTTTCGATATAGGCTATCAATATTTTTGTTTACCTTTATGATCCATATTAGGCCTTACTTCTGTTTTATCTTCAAACATAGGCCTATTTAAATTACAAATTGAGAAAGAACTAATCTTGTTTTGGCAAAAATAATGGAAAAGAAACTGTTCTAAACTAACCTAACATACTAACCAAACTTTCCGTTCCATGAATATTTCAAAATTCCATTTGATAACAGAAAAGGCATGTGGGGAATATTAAACGGAGTTTTGAAATGTTACAGCAAGTTTGATCAGTTAGGATCATTTGGAACAGTTTCATTTCAATCTAGGTCTTTAATATTTTTTATGGTTTGTTGATACTAACTAATATTTATTTATCGTAGTTGTCAGCTGATAGGCCTATGTTTTAATTCCTTAAAACCGATATATCGAAAAGAAATCATCAATAATAATGAATGTTCCCTTTAACATGAAATGAAATTAAATGAAATTTGAAATGAAATGAAAAATTTATCCCAATATTATTACAGAAAGATAATAAAACAGAAAGCAAGATTAACTAGTACAACTATTGTGAGATGAATCTGCCATACTTATGGGATCGGCCCACATGGGCAGGTGCCTGTGCGTAAGCCTGGCTGTTATCAGTCTACGTAATTTTAAGGGCAATAAAACTGAAAGTACAAATAAAAGTAATTTCTAAGTAACATTGAAATTGCTCTAATACGCTTCATTTTCATCCCTACGACACACAAGTCTCACAAGCTGGAGTACAACTGCCGGAGTGCTGGTGTCGGCGTAATGTGAACAGTGCACCCTTGCCAGTGCCGGTTAGAAGTTGGGTTAATGGCATGCCGGGTAGATGTGAAACGAGCCTAAGTGATGGAACTTTTGAAGGAGTTTCAGTAGGGTAGGCTTGCAATTGGTGATTTATTTCTTCTTGAATATTTGGGCTAGAGCCAAGATGAAATAGAAATTCTGGGAAAACCTACGGCTGCACTTTACTTGACGTCCTACACTCATTCGATTGTTTTTTTTCGATTCGATATTTTCATTCGATTGTTTCATTCGATATATCGTTTGGTTAGTTAGGTTAGGTTAACCTTACCTAACTAACCAAACGATATATCGAATGAAGCAATCGATTATTCGATATATCGATCGATATTTTCATTCGAATGAGTGTAGGACGTCAAGTAAAGTGCAGCCCTTTTTCAATTGTAAAATGAAACTGTCATAACCTCACCTAACTCACCAAACTTGCTGATGATCAAAAAATCAAATGAAGGTTTACGAATCGATAGTTTCAATCGATATTAGCGTAGCCCTGTTAAGAATGTACCCAATTTTTTTTTTATGCAAGGTCGTGTCAAGGTTATAGACGTTTGATCAAGGGTTCCCTATTAACATTTCACTAATTGTAAAACCTATTTTCATAAGAAAGGTTAAACTTGCTATCAACACTCTGACTCTATAGCCAATATTAGCCTACTTTTATCATAATTACTACTTAAAGTAAAAGATAAATGAATTCAGGCACTTACCTAAAACACTGGCAAAGGTACACACTATATTTTACTATTTACACGTAAAAAATTAATTTATTAACACGTCATTTAAAATAGGAAATGCACTACCGAAGTGACTAATTGTGATGAAGTTTAGTTTGTTTTGTTTTGATTAGTAAACTACTACGATTCAATTTCACTATTCCACATTCCCCAATCCAAGAAGAAGAAACACAATCGTCTGTCCACTACAGACAGACCACCAGCTAAAGGAACAGCAACAGACAAAAATATAGTACTATGTAAAATCCCTAACTTTAACCACTAAACTATGGTAATTCTAGCAGAGTCATGTTCCTTATTGACTAAGGAAACATATTATTCATGCCAATCAGTTTTTATGTACTTATCTATTATTCTCAAATGATGAGAGATTTTGTGTTATCTCAGCAATCAACTAGGCCTATTTACAGAATTTAATTAATAAATAATCTTGTAATGTATCTGCACAGTTATATACATTGAGATTTACTTAGAAATTCATTGAAATTACTTAGAAACAAAACATGCTTAAATCAGCTGATCTATGACTCCAATCTCACCTGTAGGCCTACATCAGTTCACATTTGTTTACAAACATTATTTTCCAGATTTAATTAATTGTACTATCAACGAAGAAAGTCGATATTTTAAGTACAGTACTAATGGAGACAATCTATGATGAAAATTTACCAGTGCTTGAGCGTATAAAATTTCCAATGGTTTGGGAAAGACTGAAATGTGGTGTACGGATACAGGACCTTCAAGAGGACAAATACGAAGAGGCTTTGCAGATTGCTAAAGCAAGTTGACACTCTTGGAAACCCACTTGCTTTTCAAGGGTATTTCCTCCCTCAATCATAATTTGGAGGGTTTATTGCACTAACATGTTCTGTTGATTCAGATTTTAATACCGGCATTGTAACATTGATCCTGTCTGCCATTATTAACATTATTGAATATTGCTATTGTATAATTCACCCCTGTCTTATTACTATCACCACTCAATGACTCAAACCATTTTATTATCTAATTGATTTGGAATTCCATTGGGCCTAAAAATCTTGACCTATTTACATACAGCAGAGACTGTAAACCATAGGTTTAATCCTCAATTCATCACTAAATATTTAAGCAACTCTCAGCCATTTTATTTAAGATAAGAGTCAATGATATTGTACCAGATATTGTGGGGAGTAGCAGCCAAGAATGGAAAAGTTACAAGATTTATTATTAAGTACCGGTACAGTATTATCCATTATTTATGATTTAAAAAAAATCCTATTGCAGGACTTCTTCATTGAGGATGATCCTATGTGTGTGGGATGTAAGTTGAATGAGGAAGAAGACTCTGTCCAGGAGTTCCTGGACTTGATCCAGCTTTGGATACAAGATACACAGTCTATCCTGGCAGTTGAAGATGAGACAGGGGAAGCTGTTGGATTGTTGGTAGGAAGAGCAAATGATTGTTGGAGCCATACCAAAACTATGAGTCGGATGAGGGTAAAGGAGAAACTATAACAATTTTTTATTCAATATTTAGAATTTTAAACAGTGAGCAAGATTTTTAACTTTATAGTAGATCCTGAAATATACACTTGAACATGGTTTTATAGAATCAGTCTGTTGCTTATATAGTGTCACTTTTGATTCAATAGAACTCTTTAGGTATTTTAAAAGCTGGATATATTAATTCAGGGTGAGTGTTAATGCAGTTATGTCTTGTGTTGCTTTTTGCTTTGCTGCTGATTAAGACTAGCAGTTGTTTGCTTATCTAGACCATTCAGCCCAATGATAAATGAACAGCTGGTTCCAGTTTCAAACCACCCAAAAGCTACAGACATTTAATAAGGAACCAGCGACCTTCAATAAGGGGGAACACTATAACCATTCAGGCTATACTCAGCTTAAGAATGGAAAAATATATTTTATATATAAAAAATTTCTTTACGCCTTCAAGACTATTACATGATGTTACATGTTTAAGTTTTGAAGGCTTTAGTACCTATTCTAATATTTATATGCACTAGTTAACCGCCCAAATCTTGCTCATTGTACGCCACGGGAATAATGTCAGCAATAAAAGACAATGTTAGAGGGTATTAACGGTCCAATCCGATGGTAAAAGGAGTCATGGATCTTAAAATTATATAGATTTTGATTCATTTAAGTGAGACTCTGAACTCACCATTTTAAATGCAAAGCTGTAATCTTATATATTAAACAAATTTTGTTTTTCTTTTCCGAATTCGTTTGGCTCTTCTACCCGACCGATTTTCATAATTGAGGTCTTAAATTGAAGGTATGCACGCACAGATTTGCCATCAAGCATGGGCATATATATTTATCTATAATCCCACTCAGCTTATACGTAAACGAAATTTGCTCCCCATGTATTTCTTATGGGAGTTAAATTTGGTCTCTCTTTTCCGAGTTTGTTTGGCTCTTCTACCCGACCGATTTTCATAATTGAGGTCTTAAATTGAAGGTATGCACGCACAGATTTTCCATCAAGCATGGGCATATATATTTATCTATAATCCCACTCAGCTTATACGTAAACGAAATTTGCTCCCCATGTATTTCTTATGGGTATTAAATTTGGTTTTTCTTTGCCAAGTTCGTTGGGCTCTTCTACCCGACCGATTTTCATGATTGAGGTCTCAAATTGAAGGCATGCACGCCAAGTTTTCACATAAAGCATTGGCAAATATTTACCTACTGTATTACTTGACCAAAACACATGATTTAATTTATTTTCTAATTTTTATTTCAATTTAAGATGTACCTTCAGCAGTTATAATTTTATAATCCTATATATTTTAGTCTAAGAACCTTCAGTAAAATACTGGCTTTCATTAAAGCTATTAGTTATTTAAATCGGACGAGTGTCAAGCAAAACGCAAAGTGAACAACCAACATAAAAATTATTTGTCATAGGGTTTTTATATGATTAAAAACAAATAGCGCCAGTATTGTTCATGTTTTTCTATATGTTTTTGATTCAAAGTAATCAGTAAATTATAGTATTTAATTTGAGCTCAAAAAATCATAAATTTGATTTTTTCTCGGATATTATACTTATATTTTAACGCTGCAGTGCAGCATGGGTCCTCTAGTCTTATATTATTTAAATAGTTTTTTTAAGTGTTTTTGTTTCTTTTACATTTGGATGGAGCCCCGTTGATAAGATTTTCCATGAACTCAGAATGTGAATAAGGAGCTAATTTTACCTTCCCCTCGGGACAACATAAGGGGAATGTATTTGTGCCTCTGTTAGTCTGTTCTGTCTCGAAAATCATAGATTTGCAGTTAGTGACAAATCCAATTTTACGATTCCAATTCAAAAGAGTCGGTGTTTTTGTAGGGACTATCAGAGCACTCTTAATACCATCACTGTTCTTTACTTTTTTAGTTTGATGGTTCTTTATTTGTTTTTTTTTCGTTCTGGTTGTCTCTTTACACCTAGTTAATCACTTTTTTTTAACTTTTATTTTTGTTTTTGTACTTTTGACACGCTGGGGGTAATGAGAAAGTTTTATATCGCTCTAATGACCCGAGTCAACATTGCAACTAAACATCAAGTCACACACACCTTTGCCAGTACCTAAATCGTAAGTCACAGTTTCTCCAACAACTTCCCTGTGTTGTTTACTCGAAATAAATAGTTAGGGTATAGTTTAGTGATACATTGTAGTTCCACGTATCCATTGTACTCGACATCTCGAGAAATTAAAGTTTGGCACTGCTGAACGTCAAACACTGATCTTGAGTAAGATTCATCACCTACGATAACATGTTTGTATGTTTCCCACTCATTAGCAGTTTTATGTACAACTTGCAAGCGGATTTCCCTATGATTGTTTTGGGTGGCCGTAGAGAATAAATGGGCTTCACTCACCTTTATTATTGTCTGGTGATATCCAGCAATAAGGAATCATCTATTTCAGTAAGACACAAACACATAAACATCAGACTCAATCGTCCTGAAGATTCGCGGATTCCAAAAAACGTCGGACATGATGTACAAAAATATTTACAAATTAATAATAAACCTCGCTTAAAAGCATGTTATTTATAGGGTCCTTATTTGGTATACACTCTGATTCATTATCCTATTATGTTCCATAGATTTTTAAATCAGATGCACTCGGTAAGATGCAAAGGTTTCAAGCTCACATTCACAGACAGGTCGATTTGTTTGAACAGTTCAGAACAGAAGCTTACTTCAAAGTTTATCTTTGGTGTGTTTCAAGAGACTACAGGAATAGAGGTTAGTAGTTGAATTTTTGAAGCTTTAAGATATTTGATCAAATTTTTTATCTAGACTGTTTTCAAGATATTTGGTTAAACTTTTCATCTTTGATGAAACTTCCTCCTTGTAATGTTTGTAATGTTCCTCATCCGTGTTTTCTTCATAAGAATCTCACACTTACAATTTGGGTTACCCACTGCTCCATTTGCAGGGGACCACGGTGGAATGGAGTTCTGGTCCCTCTCTTTCAGAAAGGTAAAAATATTGGCATAAACAGGTACAAATCACATTAAATAGGTTACAGTTCCAGCACCTCTTTTTTTTACAAATTAAGCACTATAGGGTACCCAATTATTGTGTACACACCTTCACTCACATTAAAGTTCCTTGACAGCTATCTGGTCCCCATCTCACAGAAGCGGGGCCCTACATGTAGGCGAACAAGGCGGTGCCGGGGTCCCCATGCTTTTCAGGGGCCCCGCACAGCCATGTTTCAGGGTTTAAGAGAGGCCCGCTGTTGCACTTCCCCTTGGGCCCCGCAATCTCTAGGGCCGCCATTGCAGTCTCAGAAATTGTATTCCTATGAATCTTATAGACAGTGTAATCTGTACTAAAAATATACAAGAAGCAAGTCTAGATTTTTTGGCAGTAGAACAGTTCACCCATGAAAATAAAGTTCCATCCATACAAATTTATTTACATCTCAGTAGATATATATTTCATCATATAGTCCTATTTTGAAAAGTACTGTCCATCCATGAATAGAAAATGTATAAATCATTTGCCTTAATAGATTCACAAATTAAAATAGAGTTAGGGTGAATAATAGATACCTTACCTAAATGGGGACCTTTTATTTATTTGAAAAAGTTTAAATTTTGAAAACAGACTGACTAATGAAAATTCAAAGATTTACATTGTTGTTAATCTAATTCCAAGATTCAAAACTAGCAAATAATTCAAAGAGCTGCTCTTGCTGAATACATTTTGTTTTAATTTTCCAATCTTATGACTCTAGTATTTTTTTATTTATTTAATAGTTCTTAAAATTATTTGTTCAAAAGAGTAGGTAGTGTTTAAATTTTTTAGAGACAATCTTCCATTTTTCTCTTTCAGATGCAAGAAACTTGTTCAGTTGATTGAAACTTGCATTTATCTGCTGGCAGTTACAAAATGAACCTTTGACCTAATCATTTTTAAATCCACAAATTGCAACATTATATTCTGTTAAAAGATGTAGGCTACATTCACTTATAAATGGTAGGGTATTTAAATGGTGTAGTATTATTGTAAGTTCTCCATTCTTTCTTCTACTATTTTAATTTTTTTTATTTTTTAAACCTCATTGGGACATTTATGATTTATAACCCCGAATGTCTCCTCCAAGGCAACGTTTTTCAAGCATGGATTATTGGAATAACTCAGTAACGTAGCCAGGATTTCAAAATAGGGGGGGTGGACCGACAAGGAATTCCGAGTAAAGGGGGGGTCCGGGAAAATTTTTAAAAATATAGACCCTAAAACGGTCTTTTTTAGCTCTCTTGGCATTGAAAATAATCAACCCCAACGTCAATACAGTACGATTATGTAATTCTACATTTAATTTAACAAAAAATATGATATTTAAGACCAGAAGGGGGGGGGGGGGTCCGGACCCCCAGGACCCCCCCCCCTGGCTGCGTCACTGAATAACTATAAAGTAGGTAGATTAACTTTCCGTGCAAGTATAGTTAGATTAACACTTAAGCACTGAGAAGGGTAGATGTAGCTATGTAGAGTAATTGTTTGGTGGTTGGTCTTCGTAATATGCGCAAAGATTTACTTCAAAGGCATAGTTTTTCAAACCTTGTGTAGAGAAGATCTTCTTTTAGTCTCATTTTAAATTTCACTCTGAATCAATCTACGCAAGTATACAGAGTGACCATTAAGTCTTAGGACGACTTTATAACTTTTAAACGACAAACGATAACACAACCACATTTGGTATACCGTTACTGGAAATTGTAAGCTACTTTTCTGTGTACATGGTGGTCGGATATCACCTTTGGGGGACGGCCCGTCGGGGGTCAGAAGAAAATCTTTAATGACAGCCTATGTTGAGTTGTACATCATTTTAAAGGTCTACTTCAACTGAAAACAATGCCGCAAACCGCACTTCAAAAGGTTGATCCTGCGCAAAATGGCAGATGTTCAAAGATTTTCAAAATTAGCCAATTTCTTTAAATTAAAACACTTTTTTAAATCTTTAAACAACTGTCATTTTTTAACGGATGGTCTTTTTGAAGTACGGTTTGCGGCATTCTTCTTTGCTTAAAATTCCCTTTAAAATGATCCCCATAACTTCACATTCAGTGATCCAAATAACTCTTCAGGGCGTCGGCCCACAAGGAGTCGGAAGTAAATCTTGAATGGAAGCATAGGTTGATATGCACATCAAATTAAAGGTATTTATTAGTAGAATACAATGCCGCAAACCGTACTTCAAAAGGCCCCTCCGTTAAAAAATGACAGTTGTTTAAAGATTTAAAAAAGTGTTTTAATTTAAAGAAATTGGCTAATTTTGAAAATCTTTGAACATCTGCCATTTTGCGCAGGATCAACCTTTTGAAGTGCGGTTTGCGGCATTGTTTTCAGTTGAAGTAGACCTTTAAAATGATGTACAACTCAACATAGGCTGTCATTAAAGAATTTCTTCTGACCCCCGACAGGCCGTCCCCCAAAGGTGATATCCGACCACCATGTACACAGAAAAGTAGCTTACAATTTCCAGTAACGGTATACCAAATGTGGTTGTGATATCGTTTGTCGTTTAAAAGTTATAAAGTCGTCCTAAGACTTAACGGTCACACTGTATAGAGTGTACAAAGGTTTCACAAAATAAAGTATATTTTATTAATCAAACCCCAAAACCTTTAGAAAAAGGGAACTATACTGGGAATTATTCTATACCACATCATTTAGTTGTATTCTTTACAAAGAGTAACAATTAATTTTCAGGTGTCGGCAAAGCGCTACTCCGTGCGGCCATACACCAGACCCGTCTGTTTAAGATGCCCCTGGTTATGGGGGTGTTTACGGGGTCTGTGAGTCAAAATGTGGCCTCCACCATGGACTTCTGTAGCCTCGTGGAGATCCTCTACTGGCAGTGGAAGGAGGGGGATGTTTCAGTCTTTGATAACCCTGGAGCCGGGAACAACTCGGCTCAGCTCATGGTATATACCATCCCGGAGAACTTGGCTTTGACCATAGAAGAGGAGGTAGAGGACCATGATTAGCATGCAAGAAGGTTCAGTTGGAAAGTATATTCTCGTGAGCTGTTTCGTTTTGTATTTAAATTAGAAGACAAATGTAAATCAATGGGTGGATATGAAAAATGGCTTTTCTACTTGAAAATTGTACATTTTGTAATGAAAATATATTGTTATGTTTTTGTACTTTAAATACAGAAATGTGTATTAAATTATAGTTAAAAGATGTCAGCTTTGATTTTTTATGTTAGTTAATGTTTACACACAGTTGTTTACCACCTTTCTCAGTAGGTCTATGAGTATAAAACACAAATGCCTCACTCTATAGATTTTTAATTTAATTAATACTGTACTCTTTTCTGTGGTGAATTAAAGTAATTAATTGTCGTTTTAATAAGATTTAATGTTAGAAAATACCATTAAAATACTTACTTACTTAGTGATAGAAAAGTAGGTTTGATCAACAAATACCTACATTTTTTAATAAATTACAATATGTATCAGAATCAGAATAGCTTCATTCCAGATTTATCCTACTAATATTATAAATGAGAAAGTTTGGATGTATGGATGTATGGATGTATGTTTGTGACAAGTGAACGCGAAAAATACTGGTCGGATTGGGCTGAAATTTGGCATGATGATAGCTCACATTCCCGATTAACATATAGGCATATTCTTATTTCAAAAATCCTTTCGGGCTCCGCCCCAGTGGCTCTGGAGTTTCCCATGTTAACCTTATGAGAAATGAAATTATTGAATCTTAACAGCTGTTTCAATTAAACAAGTTGGTTCTGTTCTGTGATGTTCAATAGCATTAAAGTTACAAAAATTACCAACAGGGTGCAGCACTATTATTTCTTTTACATTTATGACAACAGCTAATTTGCAACCAAAAGGTGAGTGAGCGTAGCGAACGAACTTCAACCTGGAGGCGAGTTAGCGTAGCGAACGAGTTAACCTGAAGGCAAGTGAGCGCAGCGAACGAGCTCCAACCTAAAGGTGAGTGAGCGTAGCGAACAAACTTCAACCAGGACGTGATTGAGCCATGCGAACGAGATAATCTTGAAAATTAAGAAGTTAAACGGGGCAAAGCCCGCGGGTTACAGCTAGTATACAACATATACATGAAATATTTGCACAAATGCAGAATGGCGTTCAATTAGAAATACAGAACAGCTTATAACTAATTAAGAAATAATTGGTTACATAAAATAAAAATATTGACATGAATAATATTAAATAAAGTAAAACCATAAAAATAGGTACTTTAAAAGAAATCATTTGAGTCTTTTACTTTGTCAATAATAGTAGTAAATTTGTTAATTTTTTTTGTAAGGGTTGACTTCCTTATCCTAAATAATTGGTGGTTAAGAAATTGTACTTTTTATATTTATCATCTACAAGTAAGTTATTTAATTACAGTACTAAGTACCTAGTTACTTTCTTTCAATGAATAAACACATAATTTAAAACAATCCAATATAGTCAAACATCCATCTACTTTATACATACAGACAAACTGTTTATTATTTATAAGTAAACAATAATTTAGGGTAATATAATACATAAAAAATATTAGTCAACTGATACAAAATTATTAATACATTTTTAATGTTTACTATAAAATAGGCCTACATGCTTTACTCTACACAAAGGTCAACAAGGAACTTAGACTCAAGAATCGACAGTCTCTATTATTAGACAAACAGCTGATCTCAACAATGCATTCGCGATCAATGCCAACATGATAGCACGAGGAGGCATTGATAAAAAAACAGCTGATGTCTGCTAGCCCACAGCCAGTTATCTATCAGTAGAGATGCTGTCGGCTTGGTCATGCCTGGTGTTTGCCGCCCTTGCGCGTACCGACGAACCGCCCTCTGTAGTCATCGGTCAAGGCCTTCTAAAGGGCACGTATTTACAAAGCAGGGGTGGCCGCGTGTTCAGTGCCTTCCAGGGTATACCTTACGCTGAGCCGCCGGTGGGATTGTTACGATTCCAGGTAAAAAAATGTATTTTTTGGTGTGTAAAAGTAAAATTAATTTACTATTAAACGGTAAGGTTTTATTTATCTGAATGTTTACTTTTATACACTACTTGATCATGTTTATAGGCTTTTACTCTTGGATCAAGAAGTAGCCTAGATACCAATTTATAAAGCTAGCAGCTATAGCTATAGCTTTTTTAAATATTTTATTTAAAAAAGAACATGGTTGAATGTGTACAGAGTGTACCTACTATAATTCCTACTTACAATTATTCTATTTTCTCCTTTCGTTTTTGTTGCTGATAGTTGATGTGACTTAAAATAATCTGATGTAGGTAGTTTATAATAAGTTTTCGTTTCAGTTTGGCTTCGTTAATTGTTTTTAGGGAATTTCCCTATAGGGAAATAGATACCGTAGGTGGCAAGGCCCGGGACCGATTTACTTTTTCATTTTGATGTCCCCAGAGGCCAAAAATACCATTAAAGGTACACATTGTATTAAAGGTGTAAGGCGGGATGGATAAACTTGAATGAGTTCGCGAACCAGCATGATCGAACCATGTGAACGGGGTTTTACGGGGGATTTAATGGGTTTAAAAATGAGTTTTCTCATTTTGACCCTCAAAACACAAAATTTCCCAGACCTTATTAAAAAGATTATTAGCAACGGAGAAAATTCAAAAAATTGTAAATTGAAAATGCCCATGCTATTCTTATGGAGAATATTTAAAATGTTGTAGTTTGCTTGTTTATGGATATATTTTGATCAAACTTGGTGGATTTATTTATTTTATACTGCTATTGATATTTTACTAAAACACACTTTATTAGTTTCAGTTTCCTTGTAGCACCAAACCTAGGTAATCGTTAATGGTATTTAAATAGATTCAATTGAAAATCATTCAGATAAATGGAAATTCGCTTAGTCGGCAGGTTTGCTGTGGCGGGGTATTTTCTTGTATCTATGCATTATTATGTTGTACAGAAAGCATTGTTTACATTATATAGTGTATAGCGACGCTGACAGTGGACAAATTCAACTACGGCCATTTATTCTAAAACTAGCTACAATACACCTTCAACATTACAATGGAATGTCTAGTTGTATCCATAAACATTAATTTTTTCCGATTTACAAACGTAGCTGTCAAAAATAGTAGGTAGTCAATTTCGAAACAAAAATCCTTAGCCACTGATAAAATAGCTGAGTAGCTCACTACAGTAGTTGTAGTGCTCGCCTAGTAATCAAAAGGTCACCGGATCGGTCCTGAGAAAAGTGTGCAACTTTTTTCACGGTTCGCTACTGGACCCAGCTGTCATTGATCCAATGGATCCAAATGGATTGAAGTTATGACCAACTGAGTGGAATTGGCTTTTAGTAAACTGTCCTGACTAATAAAACAGTTGCTACAATCTCACTTCATTCTACATACATCCTTCACTCATTGGCTTAGAATCATCGAAGTATATAACACAACCGGTTGTGTTATATACCTCGATGCTTAGAATACGCACCTAGGTGGTGTCCCGAGCTCAATTGATAATGATAATGGTTACTTTAACAATGCTTTAACTTAGTCTAGAATTTAGGAAATACAGTAATTATAGGTACTCAGTTTAAATCAACATGTAAATGTAAGGTGTGACGGAGAATGTTCAAGCCCGTTTAGGCAGGCTTTGATATTATCTGTTAAGTGTTAACCACGTAATAGTATTGTGGCATTTTGTAATACGACAGGTGTTCAGTCGATTTAACTATTTAACGGGCGATGCGATGTTTAAACCCGTTACTTAACTTTTTATCTGTTAGACATGTTTTAAGTGTTACATCGTGATGGATATACTGTAATTAAACAATTATACAGTTGGTACTCTAGTGAGTTTTAACACATTCTCACAAATCACAAGCTATTAACATAGTTTTTGCTACGTGTTTTAATTTTACTACTAGTAGGCCTACTGCTATTTTAGCTCAATTTTCTTTCTGTTTAGATATTTCACACTATTGTTTTACTTGGTGGTTAGTCGAGCGCGCATGTCTAGTTGATGACCGATGATACTGACAGTGACATTGGCCTTATTTATTGGCTAGGGCGAACTACACTTATTCGTGATTTAAACTTTTCAAATCGCATGTGCTTTAAGGGTGAAATCCAGGACAAACTTCTAAACATTAAAGTTTATCTTCTAGACCAAGTGGTAATATTGGAATGAATATAAATTTGAAATAAAAACTTCACCAATATTTTCAGAAGTTTTAATTTCATGTCACCTCATAAAATTATATTATTATATAATATTTGTATATATTATTATATAATATTTGTATATATTATTATATAATATTTTTTATATACGATATATTATTATATGATATTTTTTTAGTATATAAAAGAAATGACAAAAAGAAAAGAACTAAACTGGAACCAATAAAAGTACAGATAAAACGGGTAAGCAAGCTCGACCTATACTAAAAAATATAAAGACATCAAGAAAACGTTTCAGAAAAATTCTGAATTAATGGTTACATTTAAGGCAAAAACAAAATTTAAAACATTCTTGGAAATCCAAAAAGTAAATTAAAAAATATAACAAAATCTGGCATTTATCAATTCAATGTGACAGTTGTGAGATGAAGTATGTTGGACAAACAAAAAGAAATGTGAAAACTAGATTCAAAGAACACACTTCTCACATAACACACAACAGACCTGAAAAATCAGCAATAGCTAAACATTGTTTAGAAACGGACCACACAATATCAATCAAAAATACTAAATTACTAAAAATTATAACAAAAGCCAATGAACTAAATGCATGGGAATCATTATTTATTAATAAAATGGACAATTTAGTAAATAATGATAATGGTTCAATTCAAAATGTAACATTACTAAATTCTAAATTTATAAAGTTATAAGTTAATTATACTTCATATTTCAATTGTATACATGTATAATTTATTTTTGTAATTTGAGCTAAATGTACTTAAAAAAATAATTTTTATTTTTAACTACCCATATGTTACATTTAAAATTTATCATTGTATTTTTTAAACATAAACATAACCTTCAGTTTTGTGAAAGGATTCATGAAATTAAAAATTCTGAAAATATTGGTGAAGTTTTTATTTCAAATTTATATTAAAGTGTATATACAAGTGATATCCATTCTTTCTCAATCATCGCTATGATTATAAAATATTAAAGCCGTGCAATCATAAAGAGACAACATTATCTTTCCAAATAAATCGAACTAATTTTATGTATACTTTTTAAATGCATATTTTGGATAATGTCTTTTTGGTTTGACCCACGAATATTAGAACAGAAACGGCAGGGAACATAAACAAATTACGTCACTGGCAAAAATCTATACTAGCAGACTAGTACTATAGCCGTAACACCTGGTTTGGCGGTTTTTTGTCAGGTCCATCTATACTACCATAGAACCAACACAAGTATACTTCTCATCCCATTGTAAATTTTGAAGCTCGTTTTTCGTATCTAGTTTTTGTCCGGCGACACTGGCCGTTAGTGTCGACGAAATTTTGTTTTTATTATATTAGGGTAAATTTCATGATTTTTGCTTTACTTAACTTATTTGTGGTTAACTAGAGGACGAGTTATTGTTTATCATTAGATCGTTTTATTTGGTTAAACAAGGTTTTAAATGACTGAAATAAACAAGGTTTTAAATTACTGAAATAAACAAGGTTTTAAATGACTGAAATAACAAGAAACTTGTACAAAAATACTACCCCTATTGTGCACCGGACAGAACTAACCATAAAATTGGCCTCGCCTGTTCCATATATGGATGAGAAATTACTCAGGGAGTATGTTTTATCTATGATAACACTAATAAAACCCTGTTTACTTTCAAACCAGAAACGCAATTTGTTTGATGATCCATACAGATTATGTTCTAAATATTCGTGGTTTGACACAATGAGTGACGTCTGTTAGGCGAACAAAAAAGTAGTGTGTACATTGTATTGTGTACGGTTTGGCTATTGTAAGCCACACTTTGTATTATTGGCTGCAGTTACCGTATTGATTGGCTGGCATTGCTGGCGCTTGGCTGTTGACGCGTGTAGAACCTTGATTCTTGATTCTTGTCAATCGTTAGTTTACTTCAAGTGAAACAGTGATTTTCTTTACAGTTTAATTTGTATGCTTGTTTTGTCATGCCTTCTTTTTAATTAATTAAATAATGTTCTATTGAAATTTGAGGTATAGCTAAAATATTAGTAGGTACAATATTACGTGTATACACCTACTAGAACGCAATTATATTAAATTTTGACTTGTTTTTTAAACAACATATTTTGAAAAAAACTAAGTCAAATTAATATTGTGCAAAGCCAGTCACTTTTAAACTTCGTTTGTTTTAAGTTTTAAACTATATAACCTGGTTATTCATGTACCGTAACAATAATCGTCGCAGAACTAACTTGTTAATAACAATTATTGTTAATGATCGAGGTGTCCAATTAAATAGTCAGTAAGGCGGTCATTCTAGTAGATCAGCTGATCGTCTATGTGTGATTTGTTTGTAATGTGAATTTGTGCCCAAATCAGCTGATTTGTATGACGTTTTGTTGATAGCTTGAGCGTTACGATTTATAATATAATGTCAGTGTTCGTCGGGCAATAGTGTTTGATTTTAGGTTTCCAACCAATACAATCTGCCCAGGCTGCAGAGATATGGACACAATGATTGGACACACAAACAATTCCTTTAGGAAGGAAACATGTCCATAGCTTTGTCCATAGGGATTTGTTCAAATGGATGAATACGCAGGCCTCGATATGTAGACGATTATCAAGAATAAACCAGATGATAGATTTTTGTTGCCGTCCAAAATCAGCTGACTGCTGATTATTTCGCCAGAATCACAGTGCCTTAGTGCCTAGAAAAATAAGTCCACGATGATAGCGTGTGAACGTTTTGAAGACGTCTTATGAGCGAGGAGAAATGAAATGTTTTGATTATTTACCAAGTTGTTGTAGACTGTAGTCATATATTCAATGACTGTAGTCACTGTTGAAGACGTCTTATGAGCATAAAAGAGAAAATAAATGTTTTGATTATTTTGAAAATTTGTTGTATAGGCACTAGTTACTACTACGATACAATTGGAGATTTTTTAAAAAAATATAATAGTTTAAACTGTAAATAGTAAAAAGTCAAGGCCAGTTGCTCGAATTGTTCGAGTAAACGACTTTGCCGACATGCGTTAAATATCAATCGCGCAATAGATATTGTGTCAGCCACATCTGGTTTGTATCAGTTTTATCAAGTAGATTTCGAGACTCACGGCTCTTTATTTGTAGCGTCATATTTTGCGAATGCGCTTGAAACTTCCTGACCAAAAAGTGGCAAATCTATGTTTGTCAGTTGTTTGAATTCAACCCTAATCTTTGTTGGGGAATAAACTACAGTTATAGGATGTAGGCCTCGTTTAGGCATAACATTTTTCGTTGGAGATAAGATAAGCTGTATAATATGGGATGTTTTGGTATTATCATTATCATTATGAAATGGGGACGCCACCTAGGTTCGTATTTTAATTCAAATATGAGTGAAGGATGAGGGTGCAGAATGTTGAGCGGTTATCTTTGTAGCTTTTTTACTGACTAGGATCAGCTGTTTCATCAGTCACGATCATGGACAGCTGGGCCCAGTTTCGAACCAACGAAAAACTACTGACTTTTCTCAGGATCGGACCGGTTGTTAGGAGAGCACTTTAACCATACAGCAACCCCAATACCCAAGCTAATGTCCCTTATATTTGTAACTGTTAATTCGAGAAATAAAATTATGTTTTCAACAGTTAAAATAACAAACTTAAAAATATCTAGAGGGAGTTCTATTCACCAATATCCTTTAGAGATTACAGTAGGTGTTGTAAACCATTTTAAATACCACCCGGGGTAAATTCGAATACCTAATACATTCACACTCACTACCGTAGTTAAAACATACTCCTTTAGCAGATTTCTCATCCTTATAGAACAGCTGAAGCCAATTTTATTGTTAGCTCTGTAGATGTCGTGTTTTGTTTACAATTTATTTCTTATTGTTATTTCAGTAATTTAAACCCTCGTTTAACCAATATCTAACCATAAACAACTCGTCTCCTAGTTATGTAACCAAACAGAAAAGCACCGATCATAAAATAAACCCTAAAATAATAGAAACAAAATTTCGAAAACACTAGTGCCCAGTGTCACCGGACATGAACTAGACGTAAAACTAGCTTCAAAATATACAATGGGAATGGGATGAGAGAGAGGTTTACTTTGTGTTGGTTAGTCTATGACAAAACACACTCTCGTGTCGGTAAGTCTATGATAGAATAGAACAAATAGAATTAGAATATAAGAGTACTAATTTTGAAACCAACATGTATTATGAAGTGGTAAATTGCAAGGAATACAGGAAGTTCATATTTTATAGTAACGTTGAGTGATATGAATGGAAGCCACGCGAAGTCGCGGGTCGACCTAGAGATTGTTTCAAGGCCATTTTAGACACATGCACGATGTACCACCATCGATGTATAATAACTCTACTGGATAGCGCACTAGGTGGTGGAAAAACGGTCCGTGCCCGCCAATCGAATTGGCGGGATACCGAGGTGGACGGGCCGAATGAACCTCTCTGTTTTACACAAACATACATTCACTCAACCTGCTCTGCTACACTTATTTGTTAACATAAAAATTTCAAATTGATATATTATTTTTTTGGAAAAACCAGTGCTCATTACTATGTAGCTAGTTTTTACATTAACATATTTTTTATAATTTATTTAGGCAAATTAAAACAGATGATTGTTTTTTAACACCATTAAAAACATGAAAAATGTAGTAATCGAGGAACTTTTTTATTTTTTGGTCAGGAAAAAAAATCCTGCGGCTAAGTTTTAGATCAAAGTATGACTTTTATTTTTTATTTGAAGCTTTTTTTGATACGGAGCCTGCTTGTATCATTTTTAAGCGATTAAAAATAGGCATAAAATCGCTTGGCGCGGCATTGGCGCTAGGAGCTCGGCCGGCTCAGCATCAGTTTACGGGATATAGAAACCGAGTTTCTAGCATTTAATTATCATTATATGACATTAAATATGTCATTACATTACGAAGAATGGTAACCAAATTTACAGGCGTATGTTTATGCATTTTAATGCTTACCGGTAGTCTATAGTTAACAAAATTCTTCGAATCAAAGAATAAATGTTGGATTTCACAGCAGTATTTAATACCTAAGAAAATGTTTTGTTATTATTTTACTTCAGTGAGAATAATGAATACATTTGAGATATTGGCATTAAATATTATACACTCATTTTATTTAGCAACATAATATGTTTTTCAAACACGTTAATCACAGTATGACAAAGAAACATACTATAATATAAACAAAATATATTTTCTTAAATTATGCAGTCTCTCAATAGTAATTGGGCCTCACCGAAGCAAATGATGACATGCATATGTGATGAAATAATTATTGTGATATACTTTGCTCTGGTTAATGTTCAAATATAAATAAATCTAACTCTTTTATCACCACTACATTTCTAATGAGCTTTACTTTTGACACATACTCTACAAAGTGTGAGCAAGTACGTAGATTAATTATATCTGCCTATAAAACCTCCTTAAGTTCGTTACAACCAATTATCCTCGGAATATTTCCACAAAACTAACATAGCAATACACGGCGAGAGCGGGCGCGACGCTCGCCACTAGGGTGACTCATGCCTTTTATCCCCACTCCTCGCGGACAGAGCGAGGTAGCGACGGACCGTTTTTCAAGCCCTACTTCAACCTGAGCGCGCAATCCAGGGAGTTATTATACATCGATGTGTACCACGCGCCACAGCTATAGTGACGTCATGGTGTTGGCAACGCATTACTGCATTGTGCACCTTTGACTAATCATTCACGTATCTAACGTATAGTTAATGTAGAATAGTTAATGATTGTAGACACTTGCATGTCATAGTTGCTTAGCTAGGGGATGGGGTAGGGACACCAGCCTCTTATCTTATGGGTAGGTCATCTCCCCTAGGGCTACAACTCCTGCCCTCCTGCCAATGGGTAGGTACTAAATAAAATCACTGGCCCTGGATGACCAATCAGATGCTTTGCAACCGGTACGCCACCGCACGCAGTGTTCTAACATGAAAAGATTGTCCTCAAAATTTTGTTTAACAGCTTTGGAGCATGTATTTTCAAAAGTTATCGAGGGAGCGTAACTTATAAGCCTGCAGCAAACCAATCGAAGTAAAGTACCGGTATTTAAGCCTATGATTTTTGCAATCAATATTTCAGCAATGCAGGAGTTTTGGACTTTAAAGCTGAAAATAAGTAAGGCACCATCCATTTTTTTTTACTCATGTAATAAATAATGTAACGATGACATGTAGTGTAAGACAAATGTATGAGCTAACATGCTACTTAGGGTTCTTTTAACTAAAATTGATCATATTTGTCTACTACATGCAAATTACCCTTTTCAAATCACATGACACCAGGTACTCAAGAGGTCTAAACTGTCTTGACTAGCATGTTGTGATTCAACAGAGACCTCAGAGCCCAAAACCATGGGAAGGTGTGTTGGATGCCACCAAGCCAGGCAGTCCCTGCCTACAGCCGCTACACATGGTACATCTCAAAGGACAAATCATTGGAGACGAGAACTGCCTCTTTCTCAACGTTTACACTCACAAGGTAACAAGGTAATCCAATTGACGGATGAACAGTAAGTTGAATGCCAGGCAGGTAATCTAATCTGGTAATATACAACTTTTATATATTTAAAGAATGTCTTTAAGGATAACATTATACCTCCATGACCCACTGAGTGAAATCAAAGACGTATTATTCTGCATAACGTTTTCACAAGACACTAGAAACCATTGTGTCAACAAGATAAAATGTACTACCAGATGTTTTGATCTTACTGTGGCATCCTCATTGGCTTGAGTAAGATTAGAACAAAAATACATTTACTCTGAAGACATTAAAACGCTTAGTGGAGATTCAACTCTATGGTAATAGAAGAAATTTTGTTAGTTTTTTAACTTACAAATAGTTGAACTAGATTTTGGAAATCCATTCTCATTACTGTACGGTGTCTCATTGTAAAATTCACACATGCTGCATATAAAATTAAACAAGCTGAATTTTTCCATTAAATGGTTTATGTTACCTGTCTGCCTTCATCATACTGTCCGAAAGCAGCCGTTTTTAGTTCTCAAAAACGTCCGCAGGTCCGCAAAATCATTGTTTTTGGGTAACTTCAAATAGGGAATAGAAAAAAACATAATATGGTAAATTTGTTCGGTTCGCTAACCTCAAATATGAAAAGATGCTTATCATTAAATCACCATAGAGATAAATGGACTATAGCGATATTTCAAGTTATGTTTGTAAACAACAGAAATGTAAACATTAAAGACGGCTTAGTATAACCTCAAATTATGTGGCATAATTTTGTAACAATTAGATTAATATTTCCAGTCACAGTTTGATGAAAATAGTTGTTCATCACACGGAGCGAAAGTGTCTTTTTGGTACTTAATCTTATTTCCAAACTCGGCTGCGCCTTGCTTGTAATACACAATTGCGTACCAAAAAAAGAGCCACTTTCGCTCCTAGTGATGAAAACTACTATAACTCAACAAGTAATGGAAACCCCATGGAACCCCTTGGGGCCTTCTAATCCCTCAGGTGCCACGGCTGTTTGAATGCACTATAAGCATAATGACGGAATTTTCAGCCTTCTAACACCTCAAGATCCCCAGTGCTGGTTTACATCCATGGAGGAGGATTTATAGAAGGTCGAGGGGACATGCACCAACCACATTTTCTCATGGATAAAGACATTGTTCTGGTCACTCTGAACTACCGCCTTGGACCTTTGGGTTTGTTGGATTTTTATTGCTTTTATACAATTAGAAGAGTGATACTATAACCAAATGATTTTTTCTGCTTATATTTATCCTGGTATAGTTGCTACAACTTCCGGGGTGTTAACAAAAGCCTGGTTTAGGTGGTACGAGTTTTGAGGGATTCATAATGAAAATTGCCTTTATTCGTATATCATATAAAACATACTTACTAAAAATACATTTGTAAGGATTTACATAAATTAGTAAACTGATTTTAACTATTTGGCAGAAGGAAAATTATAATCTTAATAACTGGTAGAAGTAACTAGGATGAATTTTGTAACTAGGAAGTAATTTTATAACACTTCCTAAAAGTTAGGTAATAGTTAAGTTGGTTACGCCTCTGATAATACTTATTTTAAAATTATTACTTTTGTTGGAAATAAAAATGTAGGGATTTTGTTGAAAGATTTGATGGATGGTAGAATCTGTTTTAATCACATTCCAAACAGTTGGTTTTTCGATTCCAAGCAAGATCAATTCCAGACCCAGATGCATTGTGATATGAATTAATGATGCTATCCAACAAAAAACAAAAAGGTCGACAATATCAGTTTGAACCATTCTCTTTCAAAACGTAAAAATGCCGTTGGTGGAGAAAACACACAAAATAATTTAACGAAAGAAACCCTATATCAGCCAGTATTTTTGTCAGTTAAATAACTTATATCCAGAAGGCAAAGATCCAATAGCCAGACAGAAAACTTATCCTTTTTAAAATGGTTATTTCAACCAGAAACCTCTTGCACTATGGGGTTTTTGTAATATTTCACTTACTTTTCTTCAACTTTTATTGTCTGATTAAGGCTTTCTCTCTCTGGAGGAGCGAGAGCTTCCTGGCAACAACGGTTTGAAGGACCAATCCCTGGCTCTGAGATGGGTTAGAGACAACATCGCTCAGTTCGGTGGAGATCCAAACACCGTGACCATCATGGGGAACAGTGCAGGGGGTGCCAGTGTACACTATCACACCCTGTCTCCCTTGAGCAAAGGTAGGTGACAGTGCCACTGATATTAATAGTAGAGGATCTCTGCCAATGGATGGCATATAACAAGGCACTGACTATTGGGGAGTTTTCCTTTGTAACTCTAGTCAAAAGATTAGTTTAAGGAGAAAGTAGACAAAGGATGATTTAAGTAGGGATGTGGTGATAACTTTGACATTTTTGATTACTTTCTCTTTGTTGCATGTGTTCTTGAGAGACATGTTTGTGTCACCCAATGGATTTGGTAGCTTGTGTGGCATCTTAGAGGGGTATTCCTAAGTTATCTTCGTATAATTAGCATAAGTCAACATGGGGTTAAAGAATATTAAGAAAAATTGCATCATAAAAAATTCGCTAAAAGCAGGTTCAGTTAAAATCTTGAAGTTAATTATAATTTTAAAGTTATCCTAAATTAAAAAAATATTAAATTTCCTAAATTGAACCATAAAATACTATATTAACTTTGCTAACACTTTAACAGAACTCAGTTAAAGATCGTTTCAATAAAGATGAAACGAGTGGTCCCTCAGCCACTTGTTAGCCTATATTTAAGTACCCAAATCATTTACATCCATACTTAAATGTTCACTACAATTTAAAATTCATAATTTATTTTTAAATATTCCTACCACTTACAGTTCTTGAACCCTACAGGATTATTTCATAGAGCTATCACGCAGAGTGGGACAGCGTATTGTCCTTGGGCGATAAGTGCTCCGGGCCAGCAGCAGCTAATCGGGGAGAGATTTGCAGCAGATTTCAGCTGCAACCACCACAATGTCGCCGACACTCTAGAGTGTCTACGAGACATGCCCGGCTACGTACTGATCGAGGTGGCGCAGACCATGCATGTAAGTTACATTATAGATTTAGTTGTTTGTTCAATTGATTTTTTTTTACTCTGTGTCGTTAATAAGTTGGGTGACAGTGCCATATGATTGCAGGAATGGGACTTTGACCCGATTGTTCCGTTCACACCTGTCATAGAGCCTGAGGGAGTGGAGGGGGCTTTCCTCACCACCGACCCGTGGAAGCTCTCTTCAGACGTTCCGCTGATTGCTGGTCTTATGTCATCCGAGGCCATTTTTAGGGTTAAAAGTAAGATCACTATAAATCTAGATAAGATTTATATGTGGCTGACACACTTGGGTGTGAAGATCAGCTGTTTCTTAGCTAAAATCATTTATTGAGGCTGGAGCTGGGTCCAGTTTCGAGACATCAAAAATGAGGTTTCTGACTGGAAATAAAGGATTGAACTGGTGTGCTTCTGAGTATGAAATGTCTTTAGATTGGGATGTTACCAAGCTACACTTTAAACCTAAGTATGAATGAAAGTTGAGTGAGGAGTGAGCAACATGCCTTAAGTGGCGACATGCCTCAGCTGTTTCTTTTACCAGCCCTGTTTATCAAAACCGGACAGCTGGGTCCAATTTTGAACCATCATTAAACTACTGAGTTTTCTCAAGATGAAACCAGCAACCTGAACCTTTTACAGTAGCTGTTTTAGGCTTACAGTTAAGCCGTGTTTACACGATTCCAGGAGATTTAGGTAGACGAGGCAGATTACCTGCATTTAGTGTATTTTAAGTTACCTGCCAAATGTCTTTGTGTAAATGTGGCTTAAAATACTCGGCTATCCATGTGATTAAGATTTTATCTTATTTTACAATGTTCCAACCAAAATACATTAAAATAATTTTCATAAGAAATTCTAATTTTTTTTTAAAGACAATTAAAGTGATATTATAAGGATACTATGGTTTGGGGTTGATTCCTATCAAAGTACAATCCATGTGATTAAGATTTTATCTTATTTTACAATGTTCCAACCAAAATACATTAAAATAATTTTCATAAGAAATTCTAATTTTTTTTTAAAGACAATTAAAGTGATATTATAAGGATACTATGGTTTGGGGTTGATTCCTATCAGACTACTCCAAATTTAAAGTGATGAGGAGTAGGCCTACACAAGGATAAATATATGAAAGATTACCATTTGTCCAAGAATTTAGAATTGCTGTGATAAAACGTCTTTAGTAAAAAGATTTTGCAGTTTAAATGTTTTGGGATTTCTTAGTAAGAAATATGTGAAATTATATACGGTACCTGATGATATAATTTATTTCAAGCAATAAATAATAGTTTTAATCATTATCACTGAACTAAAATATTGTTTATTATATTTTCTCACATTTCATACCCAAAACAAAAATATATTTCTCTATCTTATATTCTGAGGTCAATAATAAACAGAACAACAGAACAGAAAGGGAAGGGTAAATACTTTCTGCACAAGTAGTTTTTCTCTTATGACGTAATTTTCTGTCTTCTGCTTAGTGTTTAACGAGCAGAAGATCATAGAGTTGAATGATGACTTTGAGGTGATAGGACCTCTAACACTATTGTTTCGAGCAACGGCTGATGATCCCGTCCACACTGCCTTCGCAGTCAAGAAGTTCTACTTTCTAGACGGTGATATCACCCCAACCAGTGAGGAGGGGCTGCTTCAAGTGAGTAAAGTCTACATTATCTGCTTTTACTAAACTATCAACACCAGACCAAAATAATTTGATATCTTTTTCTAACTGTAATCATCACAGTTAAGCTCATTGTAAAATAGTCGCCCACACTGCTACTTTATTGGTTATGCTGCTTTGGAGGTTATGTATGTATGTTTGATACAAATAAAAAGACACAGGAAGGTCTTATAATATAATAAATTATTAATAACCTATCCCTCTTTACAAGCTTGTAAGTAACATAGTATAAGCAGCTTGTATATTTGAGATATTTATATTTTTTTAAAATTATAAATAAACAATACGATACGATATTTTATCCGATATAGATAAAAATCGATACATGAGGATACGATACGATACACCACGTTCCGATACATTGACCCGTATCGCCCATCACTAATTTCCAATGAGTAAATCTACCTTTTGTTAAAATTTTCCACCATCTAGAAGATTTAGAAGAATGTTCTGAGTATACTGTACGTACTACCTTTGATTATGGATCTGTAAAGTCTTTGGTATCACCGTTGACCATAAATACATTATAGTGAAATTAAAACTCTATTTTTATGTTACAATCGTAGCCAGTTATAATATTAAAAGAACCTTGTTCAGTTTAACTATGATGGAGTGTACAAGCGTAAAAAATGTTTCATTTCAATGTTTCATTTCTTATGCACAAAATTTGTAATATGCCAAATACTGAAAAAAAAATAACTTATTGTAAACTCTCTTATGTACCGTACCGTTTATCTCTAATGTAGTACAATATAAAAGAGACGTATTCAACTAAGTTCTCTTTGAATAAAAAACTTAAGTATCCAATCCCAATGTATATTAATTGACTTATTACAATACCACGCTATTAAAACTATTAAGGTGTTGTTTTGCAAGTAAATGCAATCAGCAATACGGTTGATACAATTGCTATTCATATTTTCGTGTCACTTTTGCAGATGTACTCAGACGCATGGTTCAATTACGCCGTCCTGGAGTCTTTTAGAAGACATCAAGGGCCCAAATATTTATACCACTTTGCCTACAGAGGAGCTAACTCTATAGTTCCGGGTCATTCTGGTTAGTTGATTTTTTTTATTTGAAAAATTAATTTTCTATTTGAAAAATTGAGTGGTTAGTCTTCTTTAACAGTATTGAAATAGTTTAATGTTTTTTTACACTGTATAGGTTTCCACTGTTAACATTATTTAAGCTATTGAAATGCTGAATGAATGAATGAAAAATGTTTATTTATCTATCCCAATGTAAACTACAAAAGTTGTTATACAACATTACAGAACAACATTTGTAGGTTGAAGTTAGCCGTGGGTTGAAACAAGCTAATTGAGATATTTTATGGTGAGTCGGTAGAGTCACGGACTTTGGCCCAAGGGGTGACGTTCATTTGCCCAAGTTTTCTGTTGTTCGAGTTTGTTAAAAATTACAAAATATTAGGAAAATAAGTTGTCCGAGGTTTGAGAAATAACTAATAATATTTATATAAATCAACTGTACGAGTTTTAATTTGTCCGAGGTTGGTGTAAATAATAATAATTTTGGTTAAATCACTTGTCCAAGCATTCATTTGTCCGAGGTTTTAAATTATTTAAAAAAATGTTGAAATATCAACTGTCCAAGTTTTCAACTGTCGAGTATTGTCAACATCAAAAGTGACACCGTGCTAACAGTGTTAGCGTACCACCACCGCGCCGTGACTAGCGTGTCAGGGTCCTGATCACAAACCGATGAGAACCTCTTCTAAAAAGGAGTGGGGGATTGTGTGAGAGCCCCCATCATCGACTTAAGAAAAATTATAAAATTAATTTTATATTTAACTAGCTGAGTACCCGTCCTTCGTACGGGGTTGGTATACAATGCTTATTGTAGTTAAATACTCGTTCTTTGCATTTGCAATGAGAGAGGAAACGTTTTGAGAAAATTTTGTTTACTATAATCTACGGTATACTATATAGAACATCTACCATAGCCATAATGTTCTACCACTTCACCTAAACAAATTGTTTAAAACAATAGAAAGAAGTAAAGTTCTCACACTCAGGTTTTTGTGCTGCTTGGTTTAAATTAGCTGTTGTCATAAATGTATAAAGAACTAATGGTGCTTCACCCTGTTGGTAAACCGTATAACCTCTTAATGCTATTGAATATCATAGAAACTAACTGTGTAGTTGAAACAGCTGGCAAAACTATTCAATTCCTTTTAAATATGAATACTCAACATGGGAAACTCTAGAGCCGCTGGGGCGGAGCCCGAAAGGATTTTTGAGGTAAGAATATGTCTATATGTTAATCGGGAATGTGAGCTATCATCATACCAAATTTCAACACAAACCGACCAGTAGTTAATGCGTGATTGAACTTCAAACAAACAAACAAACACACAAACTTTCACATTTATAATATTAGTAAGATATATTTATATATGTGTCCGTTAGCTCAATGATCCCTATCGCTCAGGGCGGTATGGGGAAGGGAGTTGTGCTGTTAGGCTTTTGGACACATAATGTGTCTGGAAACCTATTGCGGCTATGAGTAAGGCTATTTGTAGAAAACACTATTTAAATTAAATGTTGATTATATCGATCTGTTATGTACATCTTGAGTATTTTCATAATCTCTGAGTCAAATTTTTTAAAGTCATCACAAATTATGACTGTTATTCGTTTTAAAATAACGCCAGTAATACTTAGCATTGCTCGAATTCGAGCAACAGCTACACTAGTTAAAAATAAATTTTAAAAAATAGTTTATATTTAAGAGCTTCAAGCCTTCTAGATCTCAAGGAACTGTGTGAGTTGGGAGTTATCAAGGGGATTTTATGTTTCAGGTGTTAGTCACTTTGATGAGATGCAGTATTTGTTCAAGTTGGACGACTATTTCACTAAAGGCTATGGCAGCTACAACGAGACGGCTGAAGACACAAAGTTCTCGGAGAAAATTATTGATCTGTGGACTAATTTTGTCATCCACGGGTAAATTTCTGCTTTCTTTTTAATTTTAAATCCCAATACACGCAAATAAAAGGTTTTCAACCTCAAATTATTAGCGATTCTTAGTGTGGTTGAGATCCTTTTCCTGATTTAGAGAAATACACAGTAATATTTTCTTATATAATACATTCCCTTTTATCCGGACTCCTCAAGACTGAGGCCAGTCCGGATAACGGTTTTTCCGGTTAAACCGACATCCCCAAAAACTCGTTAAATGGACTGTTTAAATGCATACTTTATACAGTATTTGACTTAAATGTAGGAGAGCATTGTATTTAGACACGTGATCACTGGTCCCAGATCTTTCTCACAAGAACAGTTGTATCAGTACCACCCACTTCCTGCCGATCTAGTCCGGTTAAACTAATGTGCTGATAAAAATTGTCCGGTTAAACCAATGTCCGGTTAAAAGGTGTCTGGATAGACAATAGATACTTGGAAGATGTTCTTTGGTTAACTTGTAATGTTTTCTTTTTAGGAAACCAACAAAGCCAACTTCAGAAGTTACTTGGGACGAATCTAAATCCGGTAGTGAATACCTGCACATCAAACAAGATGGATTTTCGATGAAGAAGGATCTGTACAAGGACAGATACGATTTTTGGCATAAATTGTCTTTCAGGGAGAAATATTTGAGTGAGAAATCAGAAAAGGATGAACTGTAAAATGTTTTCCTGTGAATGAAAATAAATTTGATATGTAAATATTACTTTAAAACTACCTTGAACAAATATAGCAATTTTATAGTAAAATAGCCCTTTTCTCTTTTTAACTGTTGCATACATACTGTATAATTTTAGGGCAACTAATGGCAAGCTGTTATTAAAGACAGAGAATGTGGCAAAGTAAGTTATGTGATTTTTTACACCATGAGCGGTTATACACTTTTTTTGGAAGGGAACAGTCCAAACCGTGGGCTTACTACCAGGCCCGTTTTTGACCCTATCAGCGCCCTAGGCACAACTAATTAATAGTAGCGCCCCTTCACAATATTTATACAGAGTGTCCACCGACCAGGAAAACCGGGAATCCGTGAGTTATGCTTGAGTTTTTTTTTACCGGGAATTATGTGTGAATTTTGTATATCTATCTGGAATTTTCAATTTACCGCCATCGCGAATAACAACAGTGACGTTTCCGTGACCGCGGGAGACGACAATATGTCTACACACAGCCACGAGGGATTATCAGAATTTTCCGTGATCGCAGAAGACGATGGTGATATCTACAGAGCCGAGAGGGATGATCAGAATATTGCCACGGATATGATTAACGTTTTGCCGCAATCGCGGGAAACAATAATAACAATGTCTTCATGACCGTAAGAGACGATTACGATATCTACAGGACCACGGGAGATACAATGATGATTTCTACACGGCCGCGAGGGATGATCAGAATTATGCCGCAATCGCGCAAGACAATGATAATTCCAACATGACTGCGGGAAAAGATCAGAATTTTGCCTCATTCGAGGAAGATGATGATCTATATTCTATACAATACATGACCGAGGGAGTGGGAGATGATTACCATTTTACTGCAATCCCGGGAGGTGATTACTATGTACAAACGACCGCGGGGTACGATATAATGATGTCTTCACGGCCGCGAGGAGAGATCAGAATTTAATGGCGATAATGCAAAACGCGATGATAATGTCCATACAATCGCAGGAAAAGTTCAGAATTTTGCCTCATATGCGGAACTTGATGATGATCTTCACAAGATGGCAGGAAATAATTACCATTTTGTTATTTTGTTTATTTGTTGTTTTTTCTTTTAAATGCCTCCGACTCTAGGACAACGAAACATAGACAGGAGGCGTAATCGTGATAACGACCGCAGCTACAGAACAGTGACACGTAATAGGCTCAACTATTAGGTTAAAAATGCGCCCTGACACTATCCCAAAACAACTTTTCATTCTTAATTGGCCCTCTATCAATGACCTGAGTTGCCTGTACAGCGAGGCATTTTGAGAAGAAAACCGGCCGGAATGCTTTAGGTTTATCAATAACCAAGATAAACATGGTCTGAGTTACACACCGGAAATCTTTGAGTTGACTCTTTTAAATTAATTGTAAATATGACTGTTATTCGTTTTGAAATAACTCCTGTAATACTTTGCAATTGCTTGAATTTGAGCAACATGTACACTAGTTCTCATTATCTTGGTATTTTTTTTAAAGGAGGAAGAAATTTAGCTAGGTATTTATAAAATATTAGGGTATTTATTTGGCGTATTATTTATTACTGTATTAAAATAAACTTTATTATTTGGGGTCCCTTCGGCCTGTGGACCTAGCCAGTCCGGGCCTGGTTACTGGCTATAATGGCTGCTGAGGCTAAACTCTGAGTAACGGTACCGCACTGTTGTTAAACACTGTTTAAGCATTGTTAACAGTTTCTGACTGGTTTCTTAAAATTTTCTGAAGTTAAATAAATTCTGGGTTTTGGATTAATTGTAGGTATATATACAAGTTATTTTTTTCACAAAGTGTAGTTTTATTTACAAATTTACAAACACATAAGCAACATGCTACCTTACTTACTAAGCTGCTGGCTGGATTAATTAAAAGGTTTTAAATGCACAACCTTGCAAACATTAAAATAAATATTTCATTTAGTTTAATAAATAAGAATAGAAAAAGGGGGTGTACAATACTGTAACAATTTGTTTGAAATGATGTCGGGGGTAAAAGTCTAATGGCGCAGTACTGTCAATGATTATCAGTTTTAGTAACTAATAGAATCATCCAGTTAAATTAATATAGGCTACACTAAATGTATATGAATTATAACAACAAAATATATTTATTGTCGATAATTACAAAAGAGATTATGTTAGGCTGGTAGGGTTAAGTTTATCCTCAAAATTACATAACAAAATCTTTTTAATTAAAATAAAATGTTATAATCTATATGCTGGGAAAAACGAAGTTAAACCACTTTAACTCTATGTGCACTAACAACACTAGATTGCTTTTTATTTTTTTTTTCTAAACAAAATTGAGAGATGTTGGGTACTAGATATTCTAGCAGAATGGAGCCTTTCAAAATAATACAATAATATAGGAAAATTTTGAGACGATCAACTTATTTTTTTACTACTTATTCAGTTAAAAATTATCTTTGTAAACTTAAAATAGCCTAAAGCTGAGTAGTTTATGATTTTGAACAATTCATTGTTTTACACAGTGATCTAAGACAATTACTAACTTTGTGAGCGTTATCTCTACGAAGTCAGTTTACTCTTTTCACCAAAGGGATTAGCAAACCAAGACTTCCCGTTGAGATCGTCGAACTTCAACTTATTCACTAAGACACTATTTGCAATATCTTGCGCACTTCGGTTCTGTCCGTAGTAGTCGACAAATTCCCCGTTTGGATCAACCAAGTAAACTATTATTGTGTGGTCAACCTGCAAAAAAAGTTATTGGTGATATTTATAATAGTTGTTTTAAATCTAGTGGGAAGCATAATATGAAAGAATTAAATAAGGTAGTTAAGTTTCAGATGTTTACATGCTAGACACAACCCAAACACTTAACTTATGTAGTGTTAAGTTATGTAGAGCATTTCTTGATTCAAAATCCCAGCAAAATTAATCCTTTTAAAATCACAAGAAAACCGCAGTGTGACAGTGATACACAATTCACGTCTATCTTTTCTACTCTCATTCACACTGCTCAGATAATGCAAGACCTTCTAGGTAAGTTCAATTGGGACGTATTCCAACATCTGTTTTACAGCCCAGATTTAGCACCCGGCAACTACCATCTCCACTTGCATGTAAATAAATTGATGGAATCTCAAAGTTACCAACTGACTCAAGGCACAGGTGGCAGATTTTTGGAATTTCGAAGCTTGTAAAAAGATAACATCGCGATCAAATGTTAATGTTAATTATGTTAATGAATAATTATGTTAAACTAAGGATCTAGTTTTACAGTTTGTAATTTTAGTTTATCAAAGAGTGGTTATTTGTATAACTGATTGAAGGTTAGTTTCAAAAAGCCTTCGTAGTTGAAAGAACAGTTAGAGGTTTAGTAGTTTTTCAGAATATGACCCAAGGTCTTAATAATACATAAACCAACTAGTTGACATCCTAAAACCTCAATACCTAACCCATAATTAACTATAATATTCCTTCAACATAAACTATGCAACTTACTATGTAGTCCTGGTCGGCATCCTGAGGCCCAGCGCTGTAGTACACCCTGTAGGCGTGGGTGACCTCGTCTATCTGCTTGGGTGACCCTGTTAGACCCACAAAACGAGGAGAGAACTCCTTGATGTACTTGCTGATCACATCCACCGTGTCTCGTGCCGGGTCCACCGTCACAAACAGCGGCACAACATCCACTGGCTCTTCCTGCTTGTCTGCAAACAAACGCACAAAGCTGTGTGAATAACTGGAAGACAAATATACTTTGCTATGAGTTCTATTCCAAAACTGTGGGCGTAGCCTACTTCAGTATCAACATTTTGTATTAGGATTAACGTGAACCTACAACGGTTTGAGAAATAAAATGGAAGTACAGTAGACTCCTTCTTATCCGGACTCCTCGGGACCAAAGCCAAACCGGATAGCAGGTTTTCCGGTTAAACCGACGTCCCCAAAAACTCCTTACAACGGACCGTTTAAATGCACACTGTATAATGATTATTATGTATTTAGACTTGTGATCACTGGTCTCAATTCTTTCCAACTAGAACAATTGTTTCAGTACCGCCCACTTCCTGCCGATCTAGTCCGGTTAAACCGATGTGCAACAATTGTCCGGTTAAAGATATGTCATTTCCGCCAAGTGTAGTCCGGTTAAACCGATGTCCGGTTAAAAGGTGTCCGGATAAGAGGGAGTCTAGTCTACTGTACAGTAAAACCTCTCACTAACTCGACAGTCAACAGCTGACAAGGTGCACGAAAAAAACCCACAATTTTTACAAAACATTTAGTTTTAATTGTTTAATATTGGACATTTCGTTTAAGATTGTTATAGGTACTCAACATGTAAAAATACTCATAGACCTACAAGTAATAAATTTATATGTAAAAATTAGTCTGCTATGTATTCCTTTATTAACTATCTTTTGGTAGATGACAGTATAGATTAAATTAATAATGATTGAAAAATGAAATTTAAAAAATTGCAATTCAATAAGCAAACATCTGAACAGATATTTTCCAATTTAATATCACAACCCCAATATAAACATTTTTCTTTAGGGTTTAATTCTAAATTACACTCTTTAACTTGTTCACTGCGAGCTACTGCTACTATAATTTTAGTACCTGAGCACTAGCTCTCCACACGGCCTACTATAAATGTAGCACTGCGCTCCCCTCACTAACATTGCCTCGGTGTGAGCCCAGCATGTGGCGGGAAACATTGTTATTGTCGTCACATGTAGTGCTGGTTTCGTCAGTCGAATTAGCCATTTTGTTATCTCTTGTGTGGGGTTTCTCTGTCTGGGGACTTAGTGACATGGAAGAGAATTACAAATGACTGTAGTGTGCAGTGTAGTGTAGCATTGTGGAAGGAACCTAACCTCAAAATTGTGCTTGACGCCTTTTGTGTTGTAATTTTTAGGGATATCCGGGTATTTCGCCCCTGCTTTTTCCCTCCATTTGGCAGTACTGAGGGCCTATTATCACTTTTGTTAAGAGCTGCTACCTGTCGGTTTCTTGTAAAACTACATCCAGACAACTAGAACACAGTAGGCTTACATGCTAATTAGATGCCTCTCCTACTGGAAGAAACTAAATTTAAAGATTTTTGTGCACTCATCCACCCAGTGCGCATGAGCTGATCTTGCAGTCTGCCGCAGCCGCAAGCGCAGCGAACATGCTAAATCCATAAACCATTAAGCAAATACATAAACTTACCTAAAATATTGACTGCTTCTGCCAGTTTCTCCATTTCTTCTGGACAAACATCAGGACAATGAGTGAATCCAAAATAAATCAGCAGCCATTTCCCTGCGAAATCTTCACTTTTCACTGGTTTATTTTCATGTGTAACCAAGTCAAATCTGCCTCCAATCGCTGTTTTTCCAATCATCCTTTTACGTTCTCTTTCTGCCGCTGTAGATCAAAGAAGGAAAATTCTAAATAATAGTGGAAGTTACTTTTTGGATTTTTATATTTTGAATTTAAAATCATAGGATTATGAATTATGGTCAAAGTTAGGTTCTGACAAAATTATCTAGTAGTGATATATGTTAGTAGCAAATCAATTGCCTACAATGCTTACCCTTATCTTTTTCTGCTTTCAAATATAACATAAACACCAGAAGACTGGTACCAATGATGGATGTAATTGTCAGTGATTTCCATGTGATTGGTCCTCCTCGTTTAGCTTCTTTCTTTGGTAATTTAGGAGGAAGAGATGCATCTGCATAAAATCTATAGTGAACTGTAGGTTTGGAGAGGCAAGGTCTGCTTATACTTCCAACTATGCCTTTGTTAACCTGTAAACAAAAATAAATCAGTTTGATACATTTCTTACTTTTATTGTTGTCAACTCTCAGAGCCTATTTAGAGGGACACCCTAGTTGAATTTTCTTGTTCAATTGATTGCAGTTTTTTTACAGGTATATGGTATATTAGTCCAGCACGTATAGGGGGTTGAGTATGCACTGAAAGAATGTGAGAGAATAAAGAGTGAAAAAGAATCCTTTCCTACCCTAGCCTCATGAACGTAGTCACGGCACTGAGCCGCTGTTCCTTTGTCCCTGCTATCTGGGAGGTAGGCACCTTACCATGAGCCTTTTAAGAAAATATCAAAGGGTAAACCAACAAACATAAAGACACATTTTTTTTGGAACAAATGTTTCTGTCATTCTTCGCTGAATACAACACTTCCCCGTTACCCCCTGCACCTACATTACACCACATGACTATCTCGAGAGGGACTGACCTCGTGTTTTCGGGAACGGTGGTTAAATTGTTTTCAACAAAATCCAAGAAAAGTTAACCATCTGTTGGAAACTTTTGTTTTAGAAACAAGTATAAGGCCTAACAACAAAAAGTTCCAAACATTTTGTTCTAAACTCCATTGAATTGTCCAACTCCCACACATGAACCAACAAGAATACACAATACGACCATAATAATGAATTGTGCCTCCCTCCAAAGTCTCACTCTTCCTGCCGACGCTGATAGAGTGGCTGGCAGCACTTCCTGCGAATCCTAGCCTTTTTTTATTTTTTTATAATTTTGCAGTCATTAGGCCTATAATAGTTTATGTATTGTTGTTGTGTTACTGTCTTTTCAAAACAACATAAAAGTCTGCTTGCTTTTACAAACAACTAACAGCTGTTTCCACTCCACAAACCTTCCTCCCCTTTCAGTGTTAGTCGCCGCTAGAACTTAGACTCGCCCTAATCCACCACTATCTGGATTTACTCAACGAAACTGAAGTTTGTTACTTATTAGTTAAGGAACTTATTTAATTTTACCCCCACTTAAAAATCTCTTCAAAGGACTCTTCCTCACATGTCTTTTCTGTCACCAAATGGAATTTTGAAAATTAATAGTGAGGTTGGGTTAGGTTAGGTTAGATTAGATTAGATTAGCTGAGCTTGAATCTGTTAGTGGGAAAAATAATATTAATTTACTGTTAACTATATGGTCTTATTTAGTAGGGCCACTCTCCACATATTAATGACATCCTTTTACTCCAAAAAAAGGTGGTTCGAAGCATTGCTGGAGAATGCTCAGATACACACTGTAAACCTCTTTTCATTAATTTCAGGATACTAACCATAGTATATCTTTATATATTCCAAATTCAAATACTACCTTATTACCTCCTCCTTGGCTTGATACCAGCATACGCTGTATAGGCTGCGTCTATATTTTAAATTAAAAAAATTAAAAATTGAACTAATATTTACAATAGGCCTATGTACAGACTTCCATTTGGACGGATTTTCGTATGGTCATTAAGATAAAAAAAGAACTTAAATAAACTTAATGGCGGTGGATTTAAGGTCCTGTGAGGTCGTCCTCAAAGAACTCCTTGAGAGAGTAAATACGGCCTAGCTTTTAGCCAACACTTAAACCTGGCTTGAATCTGATTGTGGTTTAAATCCCTAACTGCATCCGGCAACTTACAGGTCAGTCTGAGGGCCATGACCGGGAAAGCGTCTTTTGTCCTGCTGAGCCTACAATAGGGTACATCAATGTGATTTTTGCGCCTGGTGTTAAAACCTTATTTCACTTACGTGCAACCATGCAAGCAAGCAGGGAGACACGTTTTTCAACATTCCGTTTTTATCCATTTCATATATGTGTCACAATATGTAAAGTATCAATAGCATTGACTATATAAACTTAAACACTAGTGTATATAGAGTCAACGGTAATAGGCTACTGGAGCTACTGCTGATGGCTGATTGATGCCTGTGTAAGGTAGTAGCTAGTAGACAATTTGACAACTAAGTTAGGAACATCTGGAAATCAGCTGTTTCTCCGTCCTAGCGTGCTCGGCACTTGCCTTTGCACTAGCATGTCAACAGCTGACTGCTGTAAAAATTGGATGATGCGAACAACTTTCCATAGCGTAATATTGTTTTATTTGTTGTGCTATTGTGCACAAAGTTTATCCATGTGGAACTTACAGTAATACTACTCCTGCCATCGCTTATTAGTTTAATAAAAATTACATTGATGTCTGTTTTTTAAGACATTGCGTGTTTTAAGGACAAAGTTTTACGTTTAAACTGATGTTTCCAGGGTCCAAGGGGGGTGGGGCTTTAGCCCCCCCTTGGAACCGCCACTGTGCTACTTATAATGTGTAATAGTAAATGTAGGACGTAAACTAAAGTGCAACCAAAATGTAATTTATTCTCGTAAAATACAGGCCTAGATACTCCTAGATGCTAGATGGCTTTGAAATGACCAAGAGGCTTATTTTGATTACATCCTAGCTAGTTAAAGGTAGGCCCTACCCATAAAAACCTTTTAAAAACATTAGGGGATAAGTTACAGTTTCTTAACTGGGCTTAACTATGCTAATATCGATTGAAACTATCGAATTGAAAATATTCATTAATAATCAATATTTTTTAATATATCTAGGCCTATTATTAAATTAAACTATCATATGAGAATTAGGCCTATGATTGTTCGTTATAGGCTACCTAAAAGTATTACTGCTCTCGTATAGGATAACTTACATGAACTATTAATAGGCGGGTACAGTTTCTTAACTGGGCTATGCTAATATCGATTGAAACTATCGAATTGGAAATATTGATTAGTAATTGATATTTTTAAATATATCTATTATAAAATACTATCATAACCTAACCTAACCAACCAAACTTGCTGATGGTGAAAAAATCGCATGAAGGTTTACTAATCGAATCGATAGTTTCAATCGATATTAGCATAGCCCAGTTAAGAAACTGTACCCCTGTAGGCCGTATTTTGAGTACTAGGAGGTTTTATATATCACCAAGTCATTGTTTTTAATTAATTAATTAGGCGGAATAGTAGACCCATTAAAGTTTTTTATAACGAATTACGCTAACCTAACCTAAAGAATAAACATATTTTACCTTTGGGAAATTGCTCAGTATCTTGCAAAATCGACACAAAGAAGAACTCATTATCAATAGAAACGAAAATTCGTAAATTTAGGCCTATATAACAATCGAAATTTAGAACTTAATTTTCGGCGAAACCTCTGTCCTTGTTACATCACTCTCACCAAAACCAACCAAAAACCAAATTCAACTTTTTGTTTCTAGTTTCTAGTTTGGTTTGGGTATTCTGTAATCTGTCTGTAGTGTATTCTGTTTTTGCAATTTTCTGCTAGTAAGTTCAGTGGTTCATTTCTGCCGTTCCTTTAGTGCGTTCTCCTGTTTTCGAGTTCGTTTCGGTGGTTCGACCCTATCGATGGTTCGATAGCTCAGTGGCTCGACCATGTCATGCCCGTGTGCCCGGGTGTGCATACTGCATGTGGTTCCATTAGTAGTAAACAGGGCCGGGGATCGTAGCTAGTACTAGTATCCTAGCTATCTTCTTAAGATATGCATGGCCCTGAGAGTAAGAGTAAGAGTGCAAGAAATGTGCTTCGCGTTTTGAGAATATAGTTCCGTATGTTTTTGTAATTTGAAGTGGTTTCCGCGCCTAAAAAAATGCTTTAAAGGTATTTTCTTGTTTATTAAGATCGTAGGAATTTTTTAAAAACGTTTAAAAGAAAAGTTCAGAAATACCGAAACGATAAACACGAAATGACAGGGTAAAACTTGTCTGCCACCCAGCGGGAAAAAAAGTGAGGATCACACACTGCCTGTAAGGTCAAGTGGTTAAATCGTAGTTATAATAGTCAATCAGCTGCTCATAATATTATTATTATCTTTACAGCTGTAATAATAATAGAGATCGATGGCTGAAGTTAACAAAAACAGCTGATACAGATTATTTTTACTGTCATCTTGATTTACGTATAAACACCATATTTCTATTCACTTTCCCCAACTCACCTAAACGTTATATAAGACGTGTTTAAACTGTTCCTAGACACCAACACTACAACTTTCAAAAATGCCTTTTTTGTATCCGAGGCTTCCTGATGTAGACACCACGCCTGAAAAACTCGCTTAAACATCGTTAACTATACTAGACACCTCACCAAGATTACTAGACACCATTACCATTACCTAGATTGACCTAACTGTAATCTGGCATGGTGTCTAGTAAATTGGCCTTGGTGTCTAGTAAAGTAAACTGCCCTGTTACGATTTTTAAGCGAATTTTTCAGGGGTGGTGTCTACAGGAAGTCTCGTTGACCAAAAAGTCATTTGAGAATGTTGTCGTGTTGGTGTCTAGGAGCAGTATAAAAAACGTCCTATAGGACGATATTGGTGAGTTGGGGAAAGTGAATAATAACCGCGAATATACATAATACAAAAGGGAGAGAAGCTACAATTGATCGTCAGGAAACAAATTTCACCTCTTTGTCTACAACCGAGCCAGTTCCAACTAGCTCATACATATCACAAAATTTCTCGAAACCTCGGCCAAGTCACACATCAAAGAATAAAAGGAGATACATAATTTAAGATCTTATGGCCATGCAAAATAATGAACAACAGGCCCACCATCTTGAGCAGGAGTGTCAACAAACCGCTGCTCGATGTTTGGAAGAACGTTAGGGCACTGTAAATCCTCAAACCTCTTAAGTCGCCATGTCAGCGGATTTAGGATACTCACGATTGGAACCGTTTGCCGTGGCATGAATGCACAGGACGTGTGTCCGAATTGATCCGTGGTTCTTCAAAATCCAAACTGATCCAGAAATCTGGCAGGTAGAAAATGGGGTCGCTTAAAACATCACAACCAGTTTGTCCGCGAGGTGTGGGGGATGGCCTCTACTCCCCGTGGCCTACAGGTAGCCCACGTGGAATATAACCGATATTCTGGAAATCTTGGTAAACTTTCCAGCAATTTTATGTTTTAATCATAAAATTTTGTCAAAAATTAAAGCAAGGGTGAGCATTTATAAACGGGATGATTTGAGGTTTTTTTTATAATTCTTAATAAAAAAAACCCGACATTTTTGTTACCTTGCACTCGCCTTAATTGTGGATAAATTTAAATTTTTATGATTTAAGTGTCAAATTACTGGAAATTTTGTCAAGATTTCCAGAATATTGGTTATATTTCCTTTGGGCGGATAGGATTCGCCCCAATTTGCATACTAATTTACATGAATTTCTTATGGAAGGAATATTTTAATTAGATATTAAATAAATAAGTAATATCTCGTAATCTGTTTAACCAAAATAAACACATTATATGCTTTTCTGTTAAAAAATTTAATCTTCTTCAATTTTATAATTTAGTATAGAATACAAAAAGTTGATAGTTTTTGAGATATAATCAAAAAACCCTAAATGCGTACCTTTACACACCCCTTTCCCCCCTCCACACCCCTGGCTCACCACCTAGGAGTCAGGACTTTTGGTATGTTAACACCCTAAGCCCCCTGAACAAGTATTTGAAGGAATTATTTAGTTACCTGCTCACGCACTCTACACCCACTTTTGGATCATTCATTGACTGGACTATAAGTGTACATTTATGTCAGTTGTTAAAATTAAAACAAAATTTTATTACTCAAGTCACGGACATTCAAATATGATCTATGAAACGGGTGTAATTGTACACACATTACACAGTTGATATTATTTCAGTGATTAAATGTTTATGGTTTGTAATGAAACTATTTTTGTATATGATGAAATGTGTCTGATCATGATTGTTAAACCCAATTATTAAATACAACCGAGCAAGGATCGGTCCCCCATTACTAAACATAAAAATAAAGCATATTTTTTTAAAATATTAAAAAACTTTGCACAAAGTTACTAAACATAAAAATATTAAAAATCTATTTTATCACATATTCAGTGATCCGCTACTTCCTCAGGGGGATGGCACGCTAGAAGTCAGAAGAAAATCTTAAATGTCTGTAGTTGAATAAAAAAAAATGTTGAAATACAAAGTTGTATACAATGCTGCAAATTTGAACTCAAACGGACATTCAAGTCAAAATTGGCAGCCGTTCATATTGAATCTTTGAACGGCTGCCATTTTTTACTTAGTTGTTCTTTTAAGCTCAAGTTTGTGTCATTGTATTCTACTAATTGGGACCTTTAGTTAGATGTGCATACGCTTATGATTTTCTTCCAACTTCTAGCGGGCGCCTCCCTGAGGAAGTAGCGTGTAATAACTTTGTAAATTCAATGCATCTTTGAAAAGCTATAATTTTTGACTTGGTTATTTGTTTAAGTTTGTTTGTGGCTCTGTACCCTACTAATAAAGACCTTTTATTTTATACTTTTATTTTATTTTATTTTATATTGTTGCCAAGATTGATTGGACGTTGACGGTCGTCACAAAACCAGTAGTCATCTAATCATCTTACACACCATATATATAAAGGATATTGAAAAGCTAACTGTTGATTTGACAATTTAAATCTTCAATATAGCCAGTACAGTAGTAGGAAAATGAACTCTGTTGCTATATAAACTTAATTCATCGTCTTCTACCTACCCACACTTCAGCTAGTATGTTTGTAATATGTTTATTTTATTGCCCATATGTACTACTGATTTTCCATAATGTACTACCAGGGGTTGGCCAAGCGGGACAGCCACACTCTCAAAAAGATTTTAATTCCTACATACGATATTCGCAATACAGGAAAACAATACAATACACATAAGAGAAAAAATATTATATTTTTACAAACCTTAATAAAAAGAAGTACAGTTAATAAAGATACAAGTTTATATACAGACAAAATGTTTAATAGAAGTAAAATAATTTACTTACAAGTATATAAAACATATATAAGTTATGTCGCAGCACAAACATTTAAATCATCATAGCATTCTCGCTGTCCCAGTTAATTTTATTACGTTTGCGTTCGGTGATTTTGCCAGGAGCGGATGCGACTGAGGTGAGCGGAGGGAGATGCTGGTTTGGTGGGGTGTTCTCAGCGTCCACCAGACCGCGACGCTTGCGTTCATCAGCAACGTTGCGCCACTGCTTAGCCTTCAACATCCTCTGAGGCGACTCACGTAACTGACCCGCCTGCAGGTCGCCTAACGGAGTTCTCGCCTTCAAAAGTAGATAATAGGTTAGGGAAATACAAATCAAATTTGAAAACCAGAATAATGATTTGGTGAAAGGATCTAGGCCAGGATGGGTTTGATTTTGTTTTAGATGGAAAGAGCAGGCTTGTCTGTACTGAGAGAGACCGGAGTCAGAGAAGATATACACACACAAATTTAAATATTTCATGTTCAATCACAAAGATAGAAAGATAACGACAAACTATAACTTAACAATGGCTCAAAACAATATTGTAATTTGAGTTCAATATCCACACACCTATCCAATTCGTTATTCATTAATATAACCACTTGTATCAATTGTATTGATGCATTATTATAAATTTCCCCAAACGTGTGTGTTTTCCATGCCAATTGCATTTTTACAATTTTTTTTTAAGGGAATTAACTTACCAAAGTAGTTTTTGAGCATTCATAAAAGCTTTTGACAAACGCCTAAACCACATCAATAGATACAAACCTTGGGTTTAACAGGTTCGGTGACTCTAATATCGGGAGTGAAGAACAACTGTTTCTTCAAGGCGTTGAGCTCTTTCTGTTTCTTTGCCACGGTTTTGGGACTGTCTGCAAACGAATCATTGCCTGGAGTCGCCAATTTGTTCTCCACCCCAAAAAGCCATTTGTTGATGGTGGACTGGTTGCGTGGAGAAGAATTTTCGTCATCGGACACGATCGCTGACGGGTCATCGATGTGAGCGTCAAAATCACAAAAGCTCATACTGTCAATGCGAGAGTGCAAGGCAAATAACTCTGGGGTGCATTCCACCTACAAAGTGTACAGTAGAGATTAGATTCAACCCTACTTAGTAAAAGAGAAAAACTTGATAGTACAAAAAAAGGACCACCTAAGTTCAAGTGCAGCCTACACAGGTAATGATATGCAAGAGTCAGAGAAGATAAGCAGCTAAATAACCAAGCGCAAAAACCTAGATAATATTTTCTAGAAATAGTATATTTCATTACTAGGACCGAAAGTGGCATTTTCCGTCGCGCGCTCAAGTTTTTGTGTGAGGCGAAGCCGAACACAGGTAACCCCAATTTCACGTGCGAGGCGAAGCCGAGGACGGGAATAATGGAGCAAGTGCCGGATAATAACTTTCGGTACGAGTTATGAACGATACTTTTCATCACGACGCAAAAATACAAAAACTCAGTAGTAATACAACTATTTTATTTCTCAATTAATTTGATTGAACATCAAAATAAAATAAAATCTTCTAAAAGAAAACCTACGTATATTTCTCAATAACTTTTGTTTAAACATGAAACTAAAAGAATATAACATCTTTTAAGAATACATACAGCTGATTCAAATCATTAAATTAAACCATAAAAAAACACTAGCGCGCGTAGAGAATAAATGGAGAACTAGTTGAGAGCGAGGGAAAGTAAATTTAGAGCGAGGGAAAATCAGCTGATCGATTTTCCCTCGCCCTAAATTAGAGCTTGGGAAACGACTTCTTTCATTGATGTCAGCTGTTATCGAAAATAGTTACTTTCGTTACGGAGTGATGAAAATATCTTTTTAAACTTAAGGCCTTTTAAACCGAGTTGGTCTTATGACTTTAGCGTGTCTGGTTTAGCTTCAGGAGAATATTTTGTTGTATTTTGCAATAAATAAAGTATATTGTAATTCATCATAGATAAACTAGAGTAAATTACATAAAAGTGGGATGATTCAAACAGACATTAGACTGGTAGCAGATTAACTGAGGTTCAAAAATGGTCGGCATATAATTTTCATCACAGATTTCACAAACAACTTTTGCATGAAAACTCAACACTCCAAAGTTTCATGGTGAAACCACTAAACCAACAACCACTTTTGGTTGCTTTAAAATACTATTAACAGTGAACAGGATTATCATCGATAAAAAGTAATAACACAAGACTATGATTACTTAATTACCAAATGAGGTGTGCGTGATATCGTAACAGTCGGCGACAGAAGGTCAGCCATCAACGGTTCGGGCTTCTCTTCAGTAATCAAAGTAGAATGATGGATGTCAGTTGGAGAAGAATCGACGGTTTTTAGAGGTGTTGCTGCGTTCACGGGTGAGTCAACCTTGTCAATATCGGTCTCCAAGTACCTAACCAACTCTGGTGTTACACATCTGTTCTCTTCTTTCAACTCTTCACTGACTTCCACTTCTTCCTTGTAACCTGAGTCATTTTCATCTTGTTTCTTGACTTCAGCTTCGTTAGAGAAACTGCTTTCAGACTGTATAATGCTTCTTGAACGAGACGATGATTTCACTCCGGTCGGAGTGCATTCCACCTAATAAAAAAATGGGCGATTCGATTACAAACTTTACATGCGGTCAATGATTTCTGAAAGATATTAAATAGGCTACCTACTTTTTATGAGGTAGTTTTTAACACAATGTGGGAACTTTATGCAGGAAAAGGAATTAGATGATAATTTACTTGTTGTGTAGCATGTTGTTTTGGTCATGCAGTAGCTACAAAATAGAGTACAAAGCAATACCAATTCTTATTAAGTCACCAAATTGAATTATATTAATACGTTAACAACATTTATTTTTCATCCTAACTTTACTGTAGGCCTAAGGATAGAGTTAATTTTCTAATATTAATTTTGATATATTTTTTGTAATAGCAAGTCAGCCAATTTGCATTCTAAAAAGGTTTGTGTTCAATTATTTAAATTCTTTATTCTTGAAGATCCCTTCTTTTTGAACCAAAATAAATATGACCAACGATTGAGACTTGTTCTAAAAAATGACGACACTGCTAAGGGGTATTTATTTTGCGCTAAGTATGAATGGTTCGAGTCAATGCATTCTTCAACTTCATCAAGACTAACTTGTTAAGCTAATAAAAGAGTGGCTAAGAAATCATGAATACCACGTTATATTTCCTCTATGGATGCAGTTTTTTTGTGTTTTTTCCTAGAATGCTAAGCACGAGCCCGGGATTGTTTTTTTTTACAAATTTCCCAATAGGGAAGTAGCTATAACCGTAGGTGGTATGGTAAGATCTAGGTCCGGGACCGATATAACTAACAAACAACATAATTGAACAGAAGAGCTACATTGCTTGCACTTTCAAAATTCAAACTCGCAGTCTCGCTGACAAATCATTCAGAATCATCAACACAGGACAGGATCAAGGTAGCCCACATACATCCAATAAGGAACAAAATTTCTCGTAAACGAAATTCCAACAAGCTATACCGCTAATTGATTATTGATTTCTTAAAATAAGGCGTGTTTAGCCTTGTTTAATCAAAGTTAAATGAAATCAAAGTAGCGTCAAGTTTATTTGTCGAAGTCAAAGAAATTTTTATCTTTGATGGATTTTCGCAAATATTTAAAATTTGTTTAGTTTAAAAATATATTTTTCTTGTATCTGACATCCCAACTGTCCCAACTCGTGGCAAGGAAATTCCCAACTTTTCTCTTTCCCAGATTCTAGGGGGGGAAGCTCCCCCCCTACCCCCCCCCCCAAGGTGACGCCCCTGCTATGGCGGTTCATCTATTGTAAAACACATACGACCCCATGTGACACTGTCGCACCTCCTCGAACCTGCAATCTATACCTCAATTTCCAGTTAAAATTTATTTTATTTCCCAAGTTAAAACAATAGCTGTTACGCTCTCAGTAAATGTTTGGCTGAATAGAATGGCAAAGTAAAATAATGATTTTACAAATATTTATACTACAATAAAATTCTTAGCAAGTAATTCTGAATTTCTCTAGAAAAAACATTTTCACTTAATTAAATTTAATAGCGTGAGATTACCTCACTTTACTATATAATACTGATTGATTGACTAAAAATGGATATAGAAATCACCTACAAGAACTTAAACCTCAAGGAGGCATGTGCGACCCACTGAAAAATTATAACTATAACAATAAAGAAAATAGATTACTTACAAATTTGGACGTCCAACACTCAACACTATGGAAAGGGAAAGGGACTACAGTAATAAGTGATCTTTCCCTCAAAAAATGCAAATGAGTTTCTGATCCACAGAACGTGAAATTTCCAATGGCGGTTTGTGTTAGCTGGTAAAGTAATTTTACGGCACTTGCTTCTCAAAACTGATTTTATTTTCACCACGCGCTGCAAATATATCCCTGCGGGATATAGGCTTAATGATTTAATGAAAATATGATTTGACCAGCTAACACCGCAAATGAATTTAATTTGCACGAACCTAAATTGAACACCTATTACCTTGAGAACGGGAGCAACTGTTCTAGAGACTAGATGTACAATCCCTGGCTGGGCTAAGAGTTCATCCCCCCCCCCCTGCACTATGGGTATCGTCGTCTATTGCTTAATCAGCTGACTATTTCATCACGTCTACTCATTAGTTTGTTGTATATTACGACAAATCAATACAACTAAAAGTGATTAAATTTAAAATCACTATTATCTATGAAGGCTATAGAACAAATACTGTAATATATAGGCCTACCAAGTTTCATCAAAATCTGAAATGGTGGGTAAACTTGCCTGTTTGAACTGACAGGGAATGACCTTATAGTGACTAGGTATTTAGGCCTAGATAATAAGTTATTAACTTATTGAAGGTTAAAATAGGGAATAACACACATACGTTAAGTTTTTTAACCAAGAAACACAGTCGACACAAATAGAAGCTAATTTAAGCAAACCTGTATTGGTGTGCGTGTTATACCAGCAGTTACAGATCGTGGGTCATCGTACAGCAGTCGGTATCTTTCACGGCCAACATTTTTAGGAGTGCAAATCTTTTCTTCCTCATTGTAGACTCCAAGCTCCTTTGCAATTTGAGCTCCCATTCTGCAGCGTATCTAAACAAAGATTGAATTAATTAAAGTAAAACGTGTGAACAATGTCGTAGATAAGATTAGGATCAAAAAGCTTAAAAACTTACAAATTTTTGAAATCCTGAAATGTTGAAATATTTTAAAGTAAATTTTTTTGGTTTGGCACAGATTTAGTATAGGCTAGCCTACTAAAAAACGTCAATCAACTTAGAAGAATAGGTAATTCAAAATATAGGCCATAACTTAAGAATTCGTAGAGAGGAAAACACATATGTTAGCCTACTCAAAATACAAAACATAGCCAAACCCAGAAAATGGAAGAAAACTTACAACTTCCCAATCAAACAAGAGACCAGAAATAACTAAGTACAATAAAGAAGATGATAGACCTAACTTTCTAGGTACTGTAGAACCTCAATAACAAGTCACCCTTGAGAAAAAGGGACATTTTCAAATCCCCTTGAAATTATTTTACCCCTAATCACATGTTATTGCAAACCTCAATAAGTCAACCTTGATAACAAGTCTTGTTTTATAATCCCTATGAGAGTCTTGTTATCAAGGTTCTAGGTACTGTAATTGAATTGAGAACAAGATAAGTTAAGTTAGGGTGCATTGCACACAGTTGAAGCTAGTCTAGGTAGGCCCTTGAATTTAAGAGTCTTCATCAACCCCGGTGTAGTTTCATTTTGGGGATATAGCATTGGGGGAAGGTGTTGTGGACGGGAGGGTAGCGCGGGGTGATTGGTTGATTGATTGATAGCGCAGGGTCATTACACGTACCATTCTGAAAACATTGTAAACACACGACTACTAAATCGACACGTCAGTGACTCATCTACTGCCTGAGCCAAATTTTGTAAAAGGCTAGTAGCGCAGTTGTCTCCAAAAAAACATGTTAATTTCGCAACCCATTTCGGACGCCGTATTTTAACAGGTATTAAATTTGACGTAAATTTGGTATTAATGCAATTGGATACCGGTAGTTATATTTAAGCTCTTATACGGGTCAATCCATTACAAATCATACAGAATGAATATTTTTTGTTGCTTCACATTTTTTATTTTCATGAAACTTTCATAAAATGTTAACTGTGTCAATAGAATTGACATGCAAGTGTTAAAAAAAATTTTTTCTCTGAAATTTTTTTTGCGGCCATTTTTGTTTGAGCACAACGCACGTTTTTTACAAAAATCGACGATTACTAAATATTTAATAGCTTTTTTATTTTTTAAGATATCAGGACAAATTAAAAACCAAAATATTCAGCAAGAAATTGGCTTAAAATTGATATATAATAAATGACATAAATATGTTGTCTAGCATGTAAAATGCTAAAACGTAAAAAAAAGATTTCAGCGGTGAAAATGTTATTTTCACTGCAATATTTTCATAAGAAAACGTAATTACTCACCTTTAATATATTTTGTATTTTAAATTTGGCATATGAGACAGTCTAAATCTCAAGTTTGGGTTATGAAAGTCTTATCCTTTTTTCTTCATAGGTCCATAAATAGGCCTATGGTGGTTAATCCGATTTCCGCCATTTTCGAGATCTTATATCCCAAAAGGGACTGAACCAAAATCAATCAAATTTCTGTCATAAGTACTTGTAGTTGTTGTAATCATGATGTATAAGTTTGATCACTGAGACTCAACTAGTTAAGAAGATATGCAACATCAAAGTTGGGCGAAAATTGCGTAACAAGTAGCGTTAGAACAAGTAGCCGACTAAGCCAATCAGTTTATATTTACTTGTTTTGAAAGGGTATGTTACTATGTTACAATCATATACACACAAATAAAACTTTAATAGATTTAATGGAGGCTTACACAATAAACTTTCATGTTCATCTTGGTTTTATTGACACTTTTTCAAGAAACGTATGGATTAAAAATGTTAAACCGTTTCTGATAAGACATTAAACAGAGTGTGAAACATGTCATAGGGATCACATTCCCTTATACAGTATTGATTCAATATTTAATCAAAGAGTTGAATAAAAATGAAATCTCATTGCACAGTTTTTGTGAAATATTGTAATTTCTTCCAGATGTGGTTGATAGCTCTAAAGGAGTAATATTCCTTAGAACTCTTTTAACTGGAACCCAAAAAGTGTCATTTGTTTAGAGTTTCAATATTCAAGTCCTGATGGATGGAAAAAGTGAACCAGGACGTCCTCGTCTTCATTCTTGTCTTGTATTTTGCCAATCCACCACTTCTCGTCATAAATACACGCTATGTTGTCTTGATTGTTAAAGGATTATGTGTTAGTGAACTGTATTGATGTTGGCTGGTCTTCGAAATGTGTAGATTTTGATATTTGAAAACATCTGATTACTTCTCGTATCTTGCCATGTGAGGAGTTCATAGAAGGCTTGATTGATAAACTTATGTTCCTAAAGGCCCACCATTTTATATTCAAAACACAAACAAAACAAGTAACTCGAGCTAGTATACAAAGACCGTATCAAAACCAAATACTGACCCCAGAAGAAATGTTTAAATTCTGCACTGAAAAAATTACGGGTATAAAATAGGTACATATAAGTTACATAAAAAGAAATTGAAGAATGGGAAGAGCAACTTAAAGGTAGGCAGGTTCGAATGCTGCTTGCCTGTAACAGGTACAAGAAATTACCATAGGTTTTTCCCGCTAAGTGACAACCAAATCAGATGTTTTCAAACATCAAAATCTACACATTTCGAAGACCAGCCAACATCAATACAGTTCACTAACACTTAATCCTTTAACAATCAAGACAACATTTGACGTGTATTTATGACGAGAAGTGGTGGATTGGCAAAATTCAAGACAAGAATGAAGACAACGATGACGTTCTGGTTCACTTTTATCATCCATCAGGACTTAACACATCATTTAAACTCTTAACAAATGACACTTTTTGGGTTCCAGATAAAAGAGTTCTACGGAATATTACTCATTTAGAGTTATCAACCACATTTAGAAGAAATTACAATATTTCACAAAAACTGTGCAATGAGATTTCCACTTTATTCAACCCTTTGATTAAATATTGAATCAATAAGTAGTTCAATTGTATAAGGGAATGTGATACCTATGACATTTTTTACACTCTGTTTAATGTCTTATCAGAAACGGTTAAACATTTTTAATCCATACGTTTCTTGAAAAAGTGTCAATAAAACCAAGATGAACATGAAAGTTTATTGTGTAAGCCTCCATTAAATCTATTAAAGTTTTATTTGTGTGTATATGATTGTAACATAGTAACATACCCTTTCAAAACAAGTAAATATAAACTGATTGGCTTAGTCGGCTACTTGTTCTAACGCTACTTGTTACGCAATTTTCGCCCAACTTTGATGTTGCATATCTTCTTAACTAGTTGAGTCTCAGTGATCAAACTTATACATCATGATTACAACAACTACAAGTACTTATGACAGAAATTTGATTGATTTTGGTTTAGTCCCTTTTGGGATATAAGATCTTGAAAATGGCGGAAATCGGATTAACCACCATAGGCCTATTTATGGACCTATGAAGAAAAAAGGATAAGAAAAGATAACCCAAACTTGAGATTTAGACTGTCTCATATGCCAACTTTAAAGTACAAAACACATTAAAGGTGAGTAATTAGCCTACTTTTTCTTAAGAAAATATTGCAGAGAAATAACATTTTCACCGCTGAAATATTTTTTTACGTTTTTAGCATTTTACATGCTAGACAACATATTTATGTCATTTATTATATATCAATTTTAAGCCCATTTCTTGCTGAATATTTTGGTTTTTAATTTGTCCTGATATCTTAAAAAATAGAAAAGCTAGCTATAAATATTTAGTAAACGTTGATTTTTGTAAAAAACGCGCGTTTCGCTCAAACAAAAATGACCGCCAAATAAAATTTTGAGAGAAAAAAAATTGTATAACACTTGCATGTCAATTCTATTGATACAGTTAACATTTTATGAAAGTTTCATAAAAATTAAAAATGTTGAGCAACTATGCCTGTATGACTTTAAATGGATTGACCCATAGCCTACCTCAGAAAATTGAAAATGAAAAAAGTAATTAAGTTTTATCAGTGTTTAAAAATGATTCAATTTACATTACTTTACAATTTTTTTCTACTTATCTTACTATTGATTTTCTTGAATATATCATGTAGGCTATGAGGGCCCTAAAACCAGCAATAATCTATAGGGGAAAAAATTTCTTTACACATTCCATCCGGATCGAGGGACGTCCAAGGAATGTTTTTTATGGTTTTCACAGGGGTAAAGAAGACTCTTAAAATTGTGCAATTTCCATGTTCAATAAAACTTTTAAATTAGGCTAATAAAACTGACTAATTTATTGGTTCTAACAATCAACCGGATGGAAATTGATCAATGTATCAATATAGCCTATCGTTTGGTTAGTTAGGTGGTAAGGTTAACGAAACCTAGCCTAACTAAACAAACGATAGGCCTATATCGAATTAAACAATCGAAAAGTCAATACTCATTCGGTTGTTAGTGCCAACAGATATGGAAGTGTACTCAGTAAGTCCTGTGCCTAGGGCTTACAAATAAGTTTTGGTAGACAGTCCCTCCCCACGACAGTTTCTTGAAAAAATTAAACATAACTTGGCTTTGTAGGCCTAGGCCTAACGCTATTTTTGCAGCAGTCTAGATAGGAATAATATTTCCACTCAAAAGCTTTAATATTGGACACATCACAACAGTGTTTGCAAAATATTGTCAAAACCTGTACAACTACATGTCCAATAGTGATGTGACGGTACTACGGTAATCAGTATTTTGTAATCAGTACTCGTCAGTATCGGAAGTATCCGTTACTCAAAATACAAAGTATCAGGTACAAAGTAATCACTAAGCATGTGTAACTCAAGGAGTGTGTATTGGCGGTAGTACAAGTACTCGGTATCAGTTAGAGAAAGGAACTGAGTACTTTGGGGCCAATAGGAGCGCTCCATAAGGAACCGAGTACTACAGAGCCAATCGAATCGCTAGTTCTGCTATCACGTGACTTGACGAGTACAACTACAGTACAGACAGGACAGAAGGAAGAAGGAATCAGTAACGTCAATTAGTTCCAGTTGAGTTCAAGTTCAGAGTGTAGTCGACAATAGACGTACAGTAAGTGTTGTGCAACCGATAGTAACATTGTATTAAATTTCAGTTTTCTTATAACTAAACCCGTCTTGCTTGTTTTTTATTAATTATTTGCGAACTGTACATTGAATTTGATAAATTCATAGTGTTTAGTTTGTGTTAAGTAAGTTTATAATCAATTCGTAGTATTTATTTTAGTGACACTTAGTTTGCCATTAAATTATGAATAACTGAAATGCCGGTACTAGAATTTTTTGGTTAGAGGATACAAAATGGATAAAAAAGGTGCTAGGAAAAAAAATAGTGAAGTGTGGAACTTTTTTGACAGTTTTGAAAAAAACATTGCAATTTGTAAGTTGTGTAAAAATAAACTCTCGTTCGCTGGTTCATCGTCCAATTTAAAGAAACATTTGCAAAGGAAGCACCCTACAGTTACTCTTCCAAGTAAGCTACCTAATTTTACTGTCACTCATTCAACACCCCTTGTGAACCTTGACACACCTGTCATTGTTGTTGAATCGGACTATGAAGTAGGAGCAGTAGGTTCTACTGATTCTACTCCTACTCCTATTGGATCTTGTAATGTACCTGACACAATTGACTGTGAATCCATGCCATTAAACATAAGGCTTTTTAATCCATCTGAGAATGCCCCAAGTACTAGTGGAATTTCCACTCAGATACGAAGAAAGACGCAAACGTCTCTCCAGACTTACATCCCCAAAAAAGTAACGTCATCAGAAAAAAATAAGATTGATCACGCAATTTTAAATATGATGTCATGGGACTTTCAACCCTTTTCAATTGTCGAGGATAGGGGGTTCACCAACCTGATGAGTATTTGTGCTCCTGGATACAAACTTCCATCAAGGAAGTACTTTGCGAATTCGTTAATGCCAGCAGTATATGAAGAAAAGAAAAACCAAATTAAAGCCGTTTTAAATGAAGAGGTAAAATCGTTGTGTATCACAACTGACTCTTGGTCCTCATCCAGAAACGAGAAATTTATCGCTATCACTGGGCACTATATAAGCGATGAGTTTTCAATGAAAACGGTATTGTTGGAGTGTTCAGCTTACACTACTGGTGACACTTCTGAACAGCTAGCAAATGTAATTTCACAGTCAATTGATGAGTGGGGAATTAGAGGGAAAATTGGCATGGTAGTAACTGACAATGCCAGTAATATCACCAACGCCATTGTTGATTTCCTACAGTTAAAACACTACGGGTGCTATGCACACAAAATTAATTTAATTGTTCAGAAATCTGTCGAGCCAGCAAATCAAATGATTGCTAAAGTGAAATCTATCGTGGCTCACTTCAAACGAAGTAACAAGGCAGCTTTAAAACTTGTGAAGTACCAGGAGCAATCTGGAATAAAAGAACCGAAAAGGTTAATTCAAGACATAGTCACGAGATGGAACTCTACATTTTTTATGTTGGAGAGATTTGTACTTCTTGAGGAAGCGATTAAGCACTCTTTAGCCCTCCTGGATACAGGCCTCACTCCCCTGACCGCAGACGAATGGGAAGTATGTAAACAACTGTGCAGTATACTGGAACCATTCCACGAAGTAACTAAAGAGATGAGCACGGAAAAATATCTCACAGCCAGTAAGGTGATTCCCATTACGAAAGGACTTAAATCAGCAATAACTAAGCTATCAAGAAACGTGTCTAAAGACTTGGTGAAAACTATTTCTTCCAACATGCTGAAAGGAATAGATGAAAGGTTCCCAAATTTGGAAAAAAGCAAATCGTTTTCGCTTTGTACTTTTCTCGATCCCAAGTACAAACATTACCTATTTCAAGAGGCAAGTACTGAGAGAGAAACAAAAGACAATGTGATCAAGTTGGTTACTGGTTTTATAAATCAAAAGGCAAAAGATTCAACAATTCAAGAAACCGATGAGCCAAACCCACTTGAAGCAGAAGGAAAGACAAAAGTTTCTGTGTGGGATGACTGTGACGAGACGATAAGAAAAGTGAAACCACAGGGTACTGCGTATTCATCGGCCATCAGAGAGGTTCAACGTTATATGGATGACCCACCCATCTCAAGAAAAGAAAATTCATTGGAATGGTGGAAAAAACACCAATATGATTATCCAAATCTATCAGCAATAGTAAAGCTACGGTGTAATTTGGTGGCCACGTCCGTTCCCAGTGAACGCGTCTTCTCAAAGACAGGCTACATCCTAACGGAGCGCCGCAGACGACTCACTTCGCAAAAAGTGAAAGAGCTAATGTTCCTAAATATGAACACTTGAATGGTCTTCTATGTATAAAAAGAGATTCAACTTGTCATCCAACAAAAAGACTGAATTTTGAATAAGTACTAAGTAGCTTTTTAAATGAAATCAATGATTTGTAGAAAATTGCAAAAGTAGGCCTATACTACTGATTTTTATTTAAGTTAGTTATTTTGTTCAGATATATTAGGCTATTCTGTTTTGTTTGCTTTTGACTGAAATTTTGTTCCTTGTGTATAGTGTTTGCCAATATATAATATTCTTTTACTTGGTTTACGTTATTATGTAGAGATATATACAATTTGTTATTTAACAAAAGACTTATTCGTGATTAAAAAGCTTTTTCAATGTAGTCGATGGTTTGTTTGGAATTTAAAAAGTATAGTTCCGTGATTTTTATTTAAGTTTGTTGCTTTGTTCGGGTATATTAGGCTACTTTTTTGTTTGCTTTCAATGAAATTTTGTTCCTTGTGTATGTATCTAGTGTTTACCAATAGTCCTACTCGGTTTATGTTATGTGTATAAAGAGGTATATAACTTAGTTGTTATTTAACAAAAAGACTTATTCGTGATTATAAGGTTTTTTTAATTTACTTAATGGTTTGTTTGGAATTTAAAAAGTATACTTCTGTTATTTTTATTTGAGTTTGATTTAGTTACTTAGGCTATTCGTTTTTGTTTTTGTTTTGTTTGCTTTTTACTACAATTTTGTTCCTTGTGTTGTTATGTAGGCCTAACTTATCTAGGGTTTGCCAATAGTCTCTTACTTGGTTTATGTTTATGTTATGTATAAAAAGATATATAGGCCTACATTTATTATTTAACAAAAAGACTGAGTTGTGATAAGTAGTTTTTTTAGTGTAGTCAATGATTTGTATTGATAATTTAAAAAGTATATTTCCGTTATATTTAATTTGAGTTTGATTTAATTACTTTATTCAGTTATATTAGGCTATTCATTGTTTTGGTTTTGTTTGTTTTTAGTACAATTGTGTTCATTGTGTTGTTGTGTAACAAGTAACAAGCGTTGGTGTAATAATTAAGTACCTTTTTTAATGTAGTTGATGGATTGTGTTAAAAGTTTTAAAAGGATACTTCTCTTATTTTTTAGAGTCTGATTTAGTTACTTTAATCGGGTATATTATTTTCATTTATTTTTGACAAAGATTTCGTTCTTTGAGTTGTTATGTTTGCAGTGTTTGCCAATATATAATATCTTAATCAATTTAATAGTTGTTATTTGTTCCTTACGAAAAAGGTAGTTTAATTTACGAGAAAGGTCAAAATATATGTTTCAGTTTAGCCAAAGCTGGGTAAATACCCCAAGAACTCAATTTATTAGAGTAGTACTGAATCTATTGCATAATAAACTATAATCCCACTAAATGTTACATCGTTACAGAGTATTAAGTAAACAGAGTAATCATGATTACAAAGTAATCAGTATTTGTAACCAGTACGAAAGAGTACTTGTATCAATTGTAATCAGTACTCGAAAGTAATCATTAAGCACATCACTAATGTCCAAGTTATCTACAATATAGCCTAACTAGCCTATATGGTGGTAAGCTAAATAACACTCACCTGGTAAGAATGAAATCAAGTTATCTAACTTAATTCATACAATACTATCACACTAACATATAAATTGTTTTATTGTTGTAAGCACTTAATTCGTCTCCTCTCCTTTTGTTCTAAGCTTGTGATACTCTGTTTCTGTTAACTTCTATCTAACAAACAAACCGTTACGTTAGTAACAAACAAGTTTGAGTTTGAAATTTAATTTACACGAGACAAAGACCAAAGACCAACGGCAAAGGACAAAAAGCTGAAAAAGTACTATCTTTCCAGGGGGGCCAACTACGCAACTGAAAGTAAAAAATTTCCCGTTCATAGTAGTTTACAACCAGCATGAATATATCTAATGAAATAAAATTATGTTTATTCATCTATAGACATTATATAAATGCATGAAACACAATCAATTATATAAGTACGTGCTAGTGGAAGCACAAGTTAATTTCAATCAACAATACCTGAAAATTTTACAACAAACAAACAAATACAAAGTTTTAGGACACCTATGCAACTAAATAATGACACATATGCATTATGCAGAAACAAGCTGAAAAGATATTCAAGGCTGGGATTAGACAATCAACTACCACTGATGGACTTTTTTAAAATTTAAAATTTTAATTTTTTAAAAATTTTGCGTTAGCATATGTAATCTTTGCTTATATTTAATAAAAACATGTGGGATATTGCAGTGAATCTATCAACAAATCTATCTACTAGTGTGACGACATGGATCCTGCATTATGACCTGTTTTTCTAGTGCGGTGTTGACACTGTTGACAGAGGCCCTGAAATCTGAAACCTTTCAATTTTGTACAAAATCTTAGTAATGCTCCCTTTTCATTACCAAAATTGCAATCGCTAAGCAGCACTGGTACTTAGACGTACAGCCATTGAATTTGGATACTGATATTATTATTTATCCTATTGTGAAACGCAACAACAACAGCAAGAATTTAAGCGTATTTGTCCCTACTCCACTGTATTATAATCACACATTTTATCAGGCTTCTGATTCGATAGTAGGATTACAAGTCTAATTCCAGCATTTGAAACACCTTACTTTATATAGAATAGCATTCAATTAATTTTTAAAAAAGTAATTCATAGCCAAATATCAATATTATACTTTTAATACTGTTAATACTTTTCGATGAAATGGCGAGCATACAAAGTAGGTATTTTAAGCCAGTATGAATGGAAGTATGAATGGAGATGAGTGTAGGATGAGTGGCGCGATCTTGTAGTTTTGTTAGTGACTAAGGCCGTCATTCCTTAGACGCACAGCTGTTAATTAATAGCCCATACAGCTAATGGCAACTCTACAGTTTATCGTGGAATCCGAAACACATTTTTGCCTTGGTATATACGAATTGGTCTAATTATCAGGATAGTACGATAGTACTGCGGATGGTCGTAGTACTCACTCGTGCGGACGTTAATCCACACCAGAGATATATTATACATTATACAGATTATACACTATGTCTAGTACTTGCATTGCACATACCTAATAATTGTTTTGCCTGACGCCTAGAAGCGAAATTCTCCTCAGCTCATAGCATATTATCAGAAAACTTAAGTTGGATACAGACACAAAAATGACCAAGAAGTGTATTCATTTGGTGTGATAAAGGAAACATAGTGTTGTAATATTTAATTGTAATTGATATTTTGTACAATTTTGTTTACCACATTTGTAATGGGTAAGGCTGGAAAATTATTTAAAGGAAATAAAAAGAAGTTATTGCAACGCCCTGTAGTGGTTATTCTTTTGTAAACTACGTTTTATTGCATATAAGCATTATGCATTTGCGGAAATGCACAATATTAACACATACATTATTGCATGTAAAACTCTTCTAAAACTCCATTCCGTAGGGTACTAATTAATAAACAAAGATCTCGTGTGATTGTTTTATCGAAACTGGATTATTATCAGCATTCCACATTAGGCTTAATCATGATTGAAGAAGAAGGTGTTGGTGTAGGTTGGTGTTCCGTTCCTGTTGAAACTTGAAAGTTTTGTAATGGGGAGGGGAAGCCAACAAGCAGCCAATTCCATTCCAATTCCAATTCCAATAGCCAATCCAAATAACTAGCTGTTAGGTTAGGGCAGTGCAAGTGCAGTATTAGTATTTATTTAGTTAACTTAAACTTAGATTTAGAGAGAATGAGTTCCCTTACCGCGTATTCACCAGCAGGTAAAGAAAATAAAATAAATATAGAAATACAATTACTTATATAAAATTTCAGCGAATAAGTTAATAACCTCACTTATAGTAAATGTGTGCGTTAACTTTGAATTATCTATATAGCTTTTATTTTTGTCTGCAAATCACTGTTCTCATTTGGTTTATGTTGTAAGCTCTCCTTTATTAGTTTATCTGGGATTAATCCAGGCATTGGTAAGTCCAATGAAGCTCAGGAAGTAGGAAGCCTAGCTAGACTGGAAAAAAACAGTTCTTTGCAAATAGGCCTAGCCTTGGTAGCAAGCCTAACATACGGTTCACACGAGCGACACATCTAGTTGAATAGGTAAGCAGGACTAGGTGACAGACCACAGGATCAAATGGAGCCGTTCACATGAGCGTAAACAAGTGACCGATATATTTTTTTTTTGGTGCATTGATGTTTTGGACAGTTATAGATTTTTTGTGTCTAAACTTGTATCAGAAAAACAAAATTAAAGTAATGAACCATCAGTTAAACTATTTTACTAGTTAACTTTTTTCCGTAAAACCTTGTTAGCCTAAGAGGAAATAAGTTAGGATAATTTAAAATTATCTAGCCTATAGAAACCTACTATCAGTCGTTTATCAACTGATATTTTTTTGTATTGTTGGACTTTCAATATAGGGACCTAGTTTCCAAAAAATCTATGCAATTTAGAACATTGATAGGCCTAACTTAAGTTACTTAGCCTACCGTAATTTTCTTTTAAACCTACTAACTTATTTAAAAATTACATTAATACAGGCTAAAGCCGGGTTATCCTAGGCGCGTAGTCGGTGAGCGGAGAGAGGAACGCGGAGAGCGGACTCCACTTGTCTTAGGCAATTTAATGTTACTGCTTTCCTAGAAGCGGAGCGGAATGCCATGTTAATTTCAATTCCGCTCTCCACGTTCCTCTCTCCGCTCGCCGACTCCGCGCCGAGGAAAACCCAGCTTAATGGAAACCAAAGAAAATATGAAACCTAGGCTAATGATTATTTTATTACGGTATACCGTACTCGTACTATCCATGATGATTATTCTCCCATACATTTTTATTTCTTAATTATTTCGTGGTGTTCCAATGACACGACCGTTTTTTCACCAATTGGATGAAAATATCAATATCAAAGCTACTCGAATTCAAAACTGGTAAACAATTAAAACTAAGGCAAGTAGGCCTATGCGAGCTGCAGCGCGACGACCGTGTGAACGCTCCCATATGGCTACGTGTACCGCTACGCTGCTAGAGCTGTTGACTAGCAAGCCGCGATAAGTAGTAACACTTGGCTAGGAAGCGGGGCCTGGTGATGGTTTGCGACACCAAGCTCGATCGCTGTCGCCGTACGCTCGTGTCAACGGCTCCATTTGAATTGATACTGTGGTGCGCTAAATAATCCTGCGGACCTAGTCAAGCCTAGTAAGCTAGATTTGTAGCTCGTGTGAACTGTGTGTAACCATCGCCAGGCCCCGCTTCCTAGCTAAGTGTTACTACTTATCGCGGCTAGCTAGTCAATAGCTCTAAGTAGCAGCGTAGCGGTACACGTAGCCATATGCGAGTGTTCACACGGGCGGTCGATCGTCACGCTGCAGCTCGCATACTTGCCTTTGTTTTCATTATTTACCAGTGATGAATCCGAGTGGCTTTGATTTTGGAACACTTTTTAGCCTTTCACAATACCAACACCATGACATAATCAAGAAGAATAATGCATGGGAGAATAATCATCGTATAAATAATAATAATTAATGATCTTTTGATTTCACTTTTAATATTTGTTTGGTTTAGGCTACATTATTTGACGTTATTAATTTTAAAATAGCGTTATTGATTGAAAGGACGTTAGCAATGTTCTAAATTGCATATCAATTTTTGTTAAACTGTACTACAAGTCCAACAATACAAAATACTCCCGCAGCAGAAAACTTTCAGAGTAAGTGAATTTCCATTTACCTTATGGGTTTTCAATTACCAATCTATAAGCCTAAATAACATTAGGTATAACAAGTACCTAGTCTGCTTTTAAAGGAAGGGCAATTAAGTGTGTATTTTAGTAATTTTTTTTAAGCTCAGCATAAAATAAATAAATTTACTAAGTTTTGTCAAAATATATTGATAAACAAAAAAAAAACTTAGGCCTACTCTCAATAAAAATAACATAGGCATTTTAAATTTACAATATTTTGAATTTTCTCCGTAACCAATAATTAGGCCTATTGTAGAAAAACACCAATGTAGGCCTACTAAACTATTTATTTTCAAGTTCTTTAAAATTGTTTGCAGATTTTATCGAAGCTAATTTGTTTACGTCACGCCAGCGTTCTAGTTGGTGGACTCGTCGCTCGTGTGAACTGGTGTGTCGCCGGGCGGCGGGGAATGCTGGTCAATGTCAGTCAGCTAGATGTGTCGCTCGTGTGAACCCTGCCCAACTCAGGCTATTGCTAACTTGATTAAATTTTTCTTTTGGGGAAGTGGGGGTGGGGGGGGAAGGGGGGGTAGGCCTATTTATTTTACCATAGCTGCCTCCAAACAAATTTTTATATCTTACTTTATAGTGTTATACCTCCTGACGCCAAATATAGCCTACAATTATTTTTCACCGCTGATGAATAATACTCAAGATATCGCCGTACTGAACTCATACCACTTATGTTATATACCATGTTTTTAAGTTATATATCAAATTTTGGCTAAGCTCATTTTCCCCTTGCCATTCTTGGGGGAAACGATTACTTCACCCTGAAAATCGTGTTTGAACATCGGAAAAGCGCTAACTTAGAAATCTATTATGATTTTTGGCGCTTGAAAATTTATTTTTTACTTTTATGTGTGTTTCTTATTCTTATTCAGGCCATTTCAAAAAAATTTTCTTTCGGACACCTTTTCGGCAAATGCCATTTTTACCCAGTAAACTAGGTTTGTAAAATCGTAAAAAATAGCAAAGCCGAAAATTACAAATTTGGTAAACCAAATTAAATATAATCCTACCTAACTTAAACCTAACCTAACTTAACTCAAGCTTAGGTTAGCAATGTGCCGAAAATGACCGATTTTGGATAAACCAAGGTTAAGTTATTGACACTTACCGGTCAATTGTGCTGATATTAAGTGATTTGATTTAGCCTAAGCCTAACGCTTTTCACGATTTTCAAACATGTTTTTTGGGGTGAAATAAGTTAGGTGTTTGCCAAAAAAGTGCAGGAGAAAAAAAATGTAAAATGGCCTAAATAACAAGAAAAATACCATTCAAAATAAAATAAGTTTTTCAAGCGCCTAAAATCGCCAATTTCTAGCGCTTATCTCGATTTTCAAACACAATTTTAGGGTGAAATAGGTGTTTCCCCCAAAAGTGCCAAAGGGAACAGGTGCTTAAAATAGCCTAATTTTTGTAGTTAAGTTTAAAATATTCAATAAAACATAAGTAGTAGGCCTATAAATTCAGTACCAGTACCAAACAAGGTAGTACAGATGATATTTAAGTTACAAGAGGAATGAACTGAGACTAATAGCATGTAACTTAAACTTTTATCTTATTTCTAGACCTGTCAGGGTGGTGGGTCGAGCTTTAAAGGTGCATTGTCCCTGAAGCGACTCTTGCGATAGTAGCTGAGCGATAGTAGCTCAGCGATAGTACCTGAGCACTGGTTAGCGTTGTTTCAAATGGGACCATTGTCCTTGACACGACTGCGACTGGAGCGGCTAGCGGCTGAACACAGCGACTGTAGCGGGTCTGCTCTGAGGGGAGTCAGAGTCGCAGTCGCTGAGTGATTTGTGTTGTGTGTAGACTTGTTTTGGTCGTAATGTCTTCAAAGAATACAAAACTGCTTTCTACCCCTGAAGAAGATGAAAAGCTGTTAGTACAGAATAAGTATTGAATAAATACTTGAAGATTTAAAACGTGGGGCGCATGCTAATTTAGAATTATCTTCACCTATTGAACTATTATTATCCATTACATGCTCCCCACGTTTTTAGTTTTAAATCTTACAAGTATTTATTCTCTCCACATATTTATAAATTATTTTTACTTTTGAGTGTGTTTAAAAACGTGGTATTTTTAAATATTATTTTCATTTATTATTTTCTACTAATTTTAGAAATAATTTTAATATTTACAGCTGACTTCAATTGATATATTTAGACCTACATTCTTCCAAAATGAAAAATTTGGAAGCCTATGGGGCTTAGCCCAAGGGAAATATGAAAATTAAATTATATAATATTGCATTGTCATCCATTTGTGAGCTATGTTTCAAGATTCAATTCTCTAGCTCGTCGGGAAGTTAGTTATTGATTGCAAAGTTTGTACCGGACAAGAAAGTGAGCTAATAAAAACGTTTTAAAATTAGCTGGTGTCATGGCACTCATGGCACCAATTCACTCGAAAAGTCAGCAAAATGAACAAAATCGCTCTAGAACAATCGCTTCAGGGACAATGACATGGTTAGCTACTATCGCTGAGCTACTATCGCTGAGCTTCTGTCGCTCAGCTACTATCGCAAGAGTCGCTTCAGGGACAATGGCCCTCAAGTTATGCAAATTTGGGACTGTAAGTGTTTTGAAATGTGGTTGGATTAAGAAGGTTAAGTTAAGTTTAGACCTATAATGAATGAAGATGTTGGTTTACGTTACCTAAACAGTTTTTGTACAATTAAAACCCTGTAAAAGCACTTCAAAAAACTATTAAAAAATTGCTTGCACTTGTTATCACTTCCAGTTGCTTGACTAGGGCCTATGATAGAAAACTGTAGGCTTACTTCACTCACTGTTCATTCCACTTGTAAATGTCATCCGTCCTACCTTGTTTGTTCTAACGTTCTTTGGCGATTGAGTATAAATCCTAAATACCCACAACGTGATGTGAGCAAAAGTAATTGCCCACGTTGGGAAGTGGATATTTCTAGTTTGCGCAAACTATATATCCACACACAACCCGACGTGGGCACTTACTTTTGCTCACATTGCGTTGTGGGTATTTAGGATTTGCCCAATCGCCGAAGAACGTTTGAACTTCAGCATTTGAGGAAATAAGTTTACCCACAAAGCGGTCTGGGCATTTCGCTTTGGCCAATGTCCGAATAAAATGCTCACTTCGCGACGTGGGTATTTTACACTGTCCACATTGCGAAGTGGGTAAAGATTTCGGACATTGTCCGAATTCGGAGTTTGAGTGTAACAGATATATTTAAATTTTATTATGAGATGAGATAAAGGTTAATATTATGACCTTAAATATCATTACAAAAAAGGTTACAAAGGTATTAATGGTATTTACATTCATATTGTATAACAAAGTATAGGGTCATCTGGATACAACCGTGTCGGAATACTAGAAGAAACACTAGTCGCTCCTAGTATTCCGACACAGTCGTACCCAGAAGGCCTAGTTAGCGATTGTGATAGTGGAAGCCTTACTTCCTATATTCCATATCGTACGTCCATGGATCACACTTTTAGGAAAAAGGGTTATGCCTAAAACTTTGGACGCTTCGGTAAAAATGACTGATCTTGAAATTACTGTGACAGACAAGCAGTTTGGAACTAATTCCTCCCCGCCACTGCTATTTAATGGCTGAACCCCACCCTGAGTAGTATTTATGAGGGCGAACCTCGGTTTTCTATCCGCTACTCCATCAAAAGAGTGCATTTCGGTCTCTCTCACTAAGGTATGTTCCTGGAGAGTTAAAAAAATGAGAGCCCCTAAGCAATTTTTAGCCTCCTTAGGCCATATGCTTATAATAAGGAACCAATTCAAACTTATCCGCCCTTCTGGCCTAACAAAAATATTACTTTGAAGCTTGAATTAACAACTACCTACCTTGTAGTACTATCCTCTCCTTAAAGAATTTGATAACCTTTTACCTTTTACCACTTAAAAAAATATTACAACTAGCCTATATTTTTAGTGCCCTCCAGCAGCGGAAGTGGTTTGATAACCTTTTACCTTTTATCACTTAAAAAAAATATTACAACTAGCCTATATTTTTAGTGCCCTCCTGCAGCGGAAGTGGCGCTGCTGTGAAGCGGAGACACGACAGTGACTCTGATAGTTCGGGTAAGATAAAATATACAATATTAAGCCACCAAAATTGAATGACTGATTTGTCTTCAAGGTCTACATGCTTCCAAACAAAAGGCTTTGAACCAACTGAATAAGATTTAACATTTAAATGCTTGAAGAAGTTAAAGAAATGTAAAAATTCATACCATCTTTCCCTAGATCTCCTAGGAAATATATGGGCATGATAAAAAAGTACGTTAATGTTGAAAAAATTGAAATGTTAAGATTACCAAAAGGCTTTTTAAAGTTTTAATCAGAAAAAAAAATAATCAACTATAAAAAAAATAAAAAAAACAGTAAAATGTTTAAAGTGATGTAGCCTACAGTTTAGTTTATAATGTTACCTACAAACTGAGAAATGTGGAAACAGAATTAAGTCCAGGCTAGATAATCGGCAAAGTATTTGCAACGATAAAATTACCTTCAAATATGAGATTTATTTTCATATTATAACAGCTGTTTTAACCGAGGATTAATGGATATGATTTTAGTTTGGATTATAATTGTTATAGGTACTGCTATTAAAATACCGAAAGGCAATTTCTACATTGTTTTGGAATCTGAATCGGATATTTCCTCCTCGGATGATGGGACCGAAAGTTTTACAAGTTTGCAGAACAAATCCACAGGTATCGTATTACATTTTTTCATTAAAATTAAGATCAAACACTTATGTTTTACTGTCTATGAATACTATGCCTACCAATGATTATAACTTCATTATATTTTAAATGAAACGTTCTCACCAAAAATACTGTTCCCTTGTTTGCTGAATAATATGGTGATGTAAATTTTTATATCTTATCTTATATACTAAAAAACTTTTGCAAAACTTACGACAGCAAGCCTGGCCATACTACTGAACCGAATTGCACACGGTTTGTACAAAATAAAAGATATTTTCCTGTAGATGTGCAGAATCCCTTTATAAATTAAAATAGGCTAAAAAAGCACGACAAATGAATTTGAGATTTAAAAAAAAATTAACATGGACCTTATGGGTTGCCATGCCAACAGAATATCCAAACAATTCCCAATCACATGTTTTATTTACAGTTTGGGAGAAGTCTGTACATTAAATATTTTTTGTCAAGTTTTCAACCACTGGGCGACTTCTATTTTACTATTTATAATATTTTACGGAGTCGTTCAAAGAAGCAACTGTCTGTGGCAGTTAGATTTATGTATCTGCAATACTAAAATGATATGGGAAGGGATAGAAAATGTCCATGATGTAGGAAGTGGTGAAGGAAGTAGTAAAGGCGAGCAGTGCAGGGTGTGCGAACTGTTTGTGGCAGTTGGATTAATGTATCTGCAATACTTAAATGCTATGGAAAGGGAGGAAAACAAGTCCACGACGTAGCAAGTGGTGTAGGAAGTAGTAAAGGCGAGCAGTGTAGAGTGTGGGAACCGTTTGTGGCAGTTAGGTTAATGTATCTGTAATACTTAAATGCTATGGGAAGAGAGGAAAACGGGCCCACGACGTTGGAAGTGGCAAAGGAAGTAGTAAATGCGAGCGTTGCGGATTGTGAGAACCGTTTTTGTCAGTTAGATTAAGGTATCTGCAATACTTAACCTTTGTAGTGGCCAATGTTAGAAGTGGGGAATGGCCAACCAATTTTGGCGATTTTGCAGACCTTTTTTTGAAAATTCGTAAAAATTCAACCGTACAAGTAAACCTAGCCAACCTCATATATATTCTTTTTGTTCTGAAAGAACAGGAGAATCTAGAAATAGTAATATAATAATGATTTAGGCTAGTGTATTTTTTCGGTTAAAGTGTAAAAAATAAAAAAAATTGATTTTTTTGGGGAAATTTTAAAAGCGGCCTCGGAAGTTTTTGGGGCGAAATATAATAACAAACGAAGAACCAAAAAAAATTGAAAACCGTTCAGTGTTAGTTTGTGTTGTAAAAAGTTATATAATATATGTGTATACTAATAATGACATATACATGTTTGTAAAGCTAATGAAGTAAGAAATAAAAAAAGTCATAAAGTTTATGGTAAAAGTTTTTTTTTTTATTTATAAATAAAATAATGTTTTTTGTATTTTAGCGATTTTGTGAAAAAAATTCATAGTATTTAAAACTTTTGTACCAAATGTTTTTACTTCAAACCAACATAAACATCTTGTAGTGTATTCAATTACCTACATAGAAATGTATAACACATTGGGTAACAATTTTTGTTTTTACGAGCCAGGGGCATAATAATATAAATAAAAGGAAAACCACAAAATCCAACCGCAAGAAAAATACAACCTTTTATAAACACAATTTGACACTATTCAGTAAATATTTATGCATAATAAATGCATGAAGATTATTGTTATATACACATTTCTCTAAAAATACAAAATAATAACGAAATTAGTAATCAATCGCGGATAAAACGAGAGCAAAAACTCACCGGCAACAACACGCAATGGCGACTACAAGGCACTTTGTGTATGAGACCTTGACAGCAGTGACACACTTTCGTCGTCAGTGAGAGAAAACGTAAAAAACCCTGAGCGCAGGGCTGCCACTATCACAAGCTACATTTCTTCCTCTTCATAATGACATATTATATGACTAGTAATAATAAATTACACTGTATGTAATTCGTATTTTCCATACCTTCACCTTGTGACGGTTGGCCATTTGTTATAAATTTCGAAAACAGCTGTTTTCATAAAATCGTACTGGTTGTCCAATCAATATTTAGTTCTAAAATATCACTACCACAATGAAGATAAAATCAATGGCTAGTGGTACTACCCGCAACATCCCAAGACGAAAATTACCTGAGGAGGGTAGTGCCAAACAAGACGTGTTTTGCCAGTTCCCAAGTGTCGGCTGCAAAAGTCGTGCCGCGCCAAAAATTCATTTGATTTCTAATCATTGTGACATTGTTATATACCTGCTACAGGGTTTGTTTATGTAATAAAATGAAAGTTCAGAATGTGATCTTTTGAATGGTATATATATTGTTCTCATCTGAGTTGATTATAAGTGTTTTTTTTACCGTTAAAATAATTTTGGCCCATACCGTCACCCGGTGACGGTGGCCATTCTAAGCATCAACGGCAAACCGTCACCCGGTGACGGTTGGCCACTGCTAGGGTTAAATGCTATGGGAAGGGAGGGAAACAGGTCCACGACGCAGGAAGTGGTGATGGAAATAGTAAAGCGGTGGTGCATTTCGGAGTGTGGAAACCGTTTGTGGCAGTTGGATTAATGTATCTGCAATACTAAGACTGCCGTGAGAGTAAACTAATGATTTTTTTAGATGTGCAGAATCCCTTTATTAATTAAAATAGGATAAAAAATAATCACAACAAATGAATAAAAAATTAAAAAAAAATTAACATGGGCTTTATGGGCTGCCATGTTGGTGAGGAAATAACAACAAAATATAAAATGAAAATCAAAACAAATGGAACAAATTCCAATCACATGTTTTATTTACAGTGTGGGATAAAAATAGATAAGTTTGCACAATACATGATTTTGGTAGAGTTTTCGACCGCGGGGCGAGCTCTAGTGAATGATTGAATTTGCTTTTACAATTATTATAATAGTATATAATAGAGGTAAGATTTATAAAAAATCCTTTTTGGGCCAATGGAAGATTTTTTATCAAAGGTTCATTGAGGTTATGTTATGATTTTACTTTTTTCTGGAGGACTGTAATTGTTTTTGTGCTGTAGATTTTGCAAGAGACACATCAGACACCAGCAGCAAGACCAGCCACAACGGATCGGATTTTGAGGTGGAATATGAAGTGGTGAGCTTGTCTGAAGAGGAAACCAAGGTCCCCTTTGACGGTTCCTGCTCGGGGACAGATCTGGTAAAGCAATTTTTTCTGGTTAAAGTTTTTAATTCCTGATTAAAGTTGAATTTAAATAATTTAAAGATATAAGTGTAAAGATATAATTGTTTTAAATGATCAGACAAATTAAAAATTGTTCTTACAGTATTGTAATTTCATACTACAGTAGAGTCTCTATAATCCGGCCGTTCATTAGACCGGCACGTCCAGTAATCCGGCACTGTGTTTTCGCCGAATATTCAGTAAATTTTCATGTCTAGACTTGAAAACGCGAGTGTCCATATTTCACAACAGCAGTACACTGACGACTGACGTCTGCTACGGGTAGTTGCGTACAGTGCGTGGCGTGTGAGTTGAGTGAAGGCAGTGTTGTGAGTACAGTGTATATACTATACAATCTACAAGTGTAGTGCGATGTCGGGAAAACGTAAGCATGTAACGCTGACTTTAGATAAAAAGTATATGATTTTAAAACGTTTGGAAAAGGGTGAAAAGTTGGCTCATCTGTCTAAGGAATACAATATCGGCCGTGAAGAAGAAGGAGCAGATCGAATCATTCTTTAAGAGGAGTAGTGAATCATCTTCGAAGGTAAGAAAGACATTAAAAGTAGGCGAATTTCCGCAAGTAGAAGACGCACTTTATAATTGGTTCATGCAAGAAAGGAGCCGACACACGCCAATTTCAGGTGATATTATAATGGAACAGGCGAAACTGTTCTATAACAAAATCATGAAAAAGGACGACTTCCGTGCAAGTGTTGGGTGGCTGGATAAATTCAAACGACGCTTTGGAATTCGACTGCTAACTATGACTGGTGAAAGGCTTTCGTGTGATGTAGCGGCTGCAGAACCTTTTATTGAAAAATTTAAAGAAATCGTGGATGAAATGGACTTAGGCCCAGATCAGATCTACAATGCTGACGAGAGTGGTCTGTTTTGGCGTCTTTTGCCGAAACAAACATTCGTTCATAGAGAGGAAGCTAGTGCCCCTGGTCGCAAGTTGGCCAAAGATAGAGTAACTTTTATGCTGTGTTGTAATGCTAGTGGCACACATAAATTAGAATTGCTTGTTATTGGGAAAGCCAAAAAGCCAAGGGCTTTCAAAAACACACAGTTGCCAGTTACATACACAAACTCGACAAAAGGATGGATGACAAAAACTCTTTTTTTGGAATGGTTCCATCAAACGTTTGTACCATCAGTAAAAAAGTTTTTGAAAGCACAAAAACTGCCTCAAAAGGCCATTTTGTTGCTCGATAATTGTCCTGGACATCCAGATGAGGATGAGTTAAAAAGTAGGGATGGAAAAATCACTGCTTTATTTTTGCCCCCAAATGTAACTCCGATACTCCAGCCCATGGACCAAAATGTGATCCAAACTATAAAAACGAATTACAAAAAAACCCTTTTGTACAGTGTTTTGTCAAAAGAGGGGAGTGTTGTTACAGCTCTGAAGGAAACCAACCTGAAAGATGTTGTTTTTAATCTTGCAAGCGCATGGGAAAAACTTGCAACAAAAACAATTGTTTGTTCATGGGCGAAGTTGTGGCCTTCTCTTGATTTATTAGAGGATTACAGAAGACAATCAAATCCTCAAACGACAGTGACAACAGATGCTGAGCTAAATGACTTGAGAGAAGCAATAGCCGAACAGTTAGTAGACGATCCAGAAGATCTGACATCAGCCGATGTTACCGCCTGGTTAGACGGAGCAGACGACGAGCAGTGTCAAATCATGACAGACGATGAGATCATCGAAGATGTTCTAGACGGCTGTGACGTGGAGGAGGGGGACGAGGAGGGCGGAGTGGGCGGAGCCAGTACGTCGACGTCGACAGCTGCAGCTGCACACACAGTCAACACGGATTCGGCGCTGTGTGCCTACGCAACTGCAATAACTTGGGCGGAAGAAAACGGTGCTTCGGCTTCCGATATTATGACACTAAAGAGGCTCCAGGAAAATGTTTTAAAACTTTCTTTTAATGCAAAGAAGCAGAAAAATATCACAAACTATTTTGCTGTTGTTTAAGTAGGTCTTACATGTAAAGTGTACAGTAGGCCTAAAGTTCTGTAATTTTCATTTTGTACACGTACAGTATTTAGTGATTATCTTTGTTCATCGTCTGATATTGTACTGTACGGTTGTTTGCTGTTTCATATCACTGTTTATTTTTCACAATAATACATTAAACAACATTTCATTAGGCCTATACTGTACAGAAATTCAAATGATTGTTATCATAGTTTTCGTAAGCAATAAAATGTTGTTTATTGTATAACCACTTCAATTTCTGATGCATTTCCACTAATCCGACATTTTCTATAATCCGGCCATACTAATCCCCATATAGGGCCGGATTAACGAGATCCTACTGTACATTTATATCTAACTAGAGTATATATACAGGGTGTTTTTTTTTTTAAACTTGCATCTTTATTTATGTAAAAACCGCAATAGATAGAAATATGCAGTTGGCGGGAATCATCTATTGACGTAGGGGGCACAAATTTTTTGAATTCAACGTTACATTCAAGTTCCCCCCTTTCCCCCCTGCCCCCAACTTAATTTTTTTAAATAGCAAGGTACCCCTTGTGACATATCAAATAAAAGAGCATGAAAAAAGAAAATGTTTGATGAAAAAAAATTGAAAATCGGTTCATAAATTTGTGAGATATTCCCCCCCTCCCCCCCGGAACTTAATTTTTTTTTTAATAGCAAGGTACCCCTTGTCACATATCAAATGAAAGAGCATGAAAAAAGAAAATTTTTGGTGAAAAAAAATTAAAATCGGCTCATGAATTTGTGAGATTATCCCCCCCTTGTCCCCTACCCATAACTTGTTTTTTAATAGCGCGGTACCCGCCCTTGTGACATATCAAATGAAAAATAAATTTCACCACAAACATTTTCTTTTTTCATGCTCTTTCATTTGATATGTCACAAGGGGTACCTTGCTATTAAAAAAAATTTAGTTCCGGGGAGGGGGGGGGGGAAATATTTCGCAAATCCATGAACCGATTTTAAATTTTTTTTCATCAAACATTTTCTTTTGTCATGCTCTTTCATTTGATATGTCACAAGAGGTACCTTGCTATTAAAAAAAATAAGTTGGGGGGAATGTGAATGTAACATTGAATTCAAAACAATTGGGGTTTTTACATAAATAAAGATGCAAATTAAAAAAAAAACACCCTGTATATATATATTGATTGGAACTCTAGCCTGTGTAACTGAGTGTGGTACTTTTGTCCTGGATTAAAATCAAATCCCACCCATGGTAATTTTGCTCTTTATTAAAGTTATTACTTGAAATGGTGCCTTAAATCTAATCCTATGTGGAAGTTCTTCAGGTTAAGATAGGTGAAGGACCCATTGATTTTTCAGTGATTTTGAGTCTTTGTATTAAATTCACAGCAAGACCGTTTGTCTCTCTGGTATCCTCCATTGCTTGGCTGGGAATTTCATCTGATCTACGCTATTTACGTAGATAAAATCAATGGATGCTTAAGCTGTAAAACAGGTGTTCTCTTTTTTTTGGTTCAATGCCCCCTTAAAATCCTAAATTGTTCTCACCCACCATATTAAGCTCATATACCATATTTAACTAGCATCCTAATCCCTCTGAGTATTTAATTATTTTTATACTTCGTTTTTGGTGAGGTTTTGTGATAAGGCCCACACAAGTTTTGATATGGCCACAATCCCAAATCAATTTGATATTTTTCTTACTGTATTTTTATTTATTATTTTTCTAGGAATGCTGAAATCCCTCCACGCCCCCAGATTGAAAACCGCTGCTGTATACCAATCTAGAAAGATTAAAAGAATAGAGAAGAAAACATCATTCTGCATTGGTGATCTCCCTTCATTTTGTACGGTTTGTTTGACAGGAGACATTGAGGAGGAGGCCGGTGGAAGACAGTGCAAGTGACGCCTCCGATAGCAGTATGTGGGCGGACAACTCGTCCGGATCAGAGGAGGCTTATGACAAATTCAGGATACCTGCTAGACTGAGGTTCTGTGTGAGGTGTAAACAGGCTCCTACCTGCGTACACTACTGCACCAAGTGTTATAAGGTAGGCCCATACATTCTATATATGCTTGAGTAAATAATTAAGGAAAATTATGTTTATGGTAAAAATGGCTTTAGACTAGGGGTTTTAAAGATTAGGCTAATGTTTAACAGCAAACCTTACTGACGAATATCTTACTACGTAATATTATAAATGTGAAAGTTTGTTTGTTTGTTTTTTTGTTTGAAGTTCAATCACACATTAATTACTGGACGGATTGGGCTGAAATTGGACACAATGATAGCTCATATTCCCTCTCGAAAATCCTTTTGGGCTCTGCCCCAGTGGCTCTTTAGTTCCCCATGTTAACCTTATGAGTATTCATATTTAAAGGGAATTAAAGAATTGTCAGCTGTTTCAACTAAAAAGGTTGGTTCTATGATATGCAAAAGTATTAAAAAGTTATTTTAGCAACAGGGTGCAGCACTATTATTTTTTTGCGTTTATGAAAACAGCTAATTTGAACTAAGCAGCAACAAAAAACTGTGACAGGCAATAAGAACTGTCAAAGTAGGATTGTTTAAAGTTATGTTTATGTTTTTAATTGTTTGAATAATTTGTGATATTTTGCAAATTATTAATAAATTATTTTTCTCTATTGTTTAGGTGAAAAGGTTGAACATTATGGTTATGGTAGATGTGTAATAACTTTAGTGTAGATGTGTAAAACTACAGGGTTAGGCAAAAGTCTGGAACCCCCCAGTTAACTTTTTAACGCGTTGCAGTAGGAAAACCAACTTGGAACATATTTACAACATAAGGAATTGCACTTTTTCATCAAATTTACAACATTGCTCCAGCCCCCAAAATGGGATATTTTGGGGACAGCCCCAAATTTTCAAATGTAAACACCTATCATGTGACCCCACATTTTAAAGGGTTTATCAAGCTAAATTTAATGGCGCAAACCAAAGGTCAATATCGCGCCTCTAATCAAAATGGCAGCTTTTTTAATTATTTAAGATGAGCAAGAAAGATAAAGTCTGGACACCTTTAAAAACTTTTAAAATTAATATTTTCATACTGACTAAAAGGTGAATTCTCTTTTTTTATAAAGGTATGCTGAGTTTAGTTTTCCTGCTATAACCTGTTAAAAGAGGATATTTCAAAATGACTGCCATTTTAATTTGGGGTGCGATATTGACCTCTAGTTTGCGCGATTCAATTTGTCTTGAGAAACCCTTTAAAATGATGGGTCACATGGTAGGTGTTTACTTTTAAAAATTTGGGGCTGCTCCCAAAATACCCCATTTTGGGGGCCGGGTACAAGTTCTAACTTAAATGATAAAGTGAATTTTTTATGTTGTAATCATGTGCCGAGTTTGGTTTTCCCACTGCCACACGTTATAAAGTTAACTTGGGGTGTCCAGACTTTATTTTGCTTGCTCATCTTAAATTAAAATGGCTGCCATTTTGATTAGGGGTGCAATATTGACCTCTGGTTTGCACCATTCAATTTCTCTTGATAAACCTTTTAAAATGAGGGGTCACATGATAGGTGTTTACATTTAAAAATTTGGGGCTGCCCCCAAAATACCCCATTTTGGGGGCTGGGGCAAAGTTTTAACTTTGATGAAAAAGTCCAATTTCTTATGTTGTAAATATGTGCCGATTTTGGTTTTCCTACTGCAACGTGTTAAAAAAATAACTAGGGGGTTCCAGACTTTTGCCTAACCCTATATAGTATACCGTAAATTTAAATAAGCAAATATGTTATCAAACTGTGTCCTCCCCCATTGCAAACGCTAAGTTTAAGTATAACTGCAATAAGCATTTTACACTTATATGCTAAGCCCGTACGAAGGACGGGTACTCTGCTAGTAGATAATAATGCACAAATAAATATATAAACACAGAGCTTTCGGAGCTACTATCTCCTTCTTTAGTAGGAGGGTGTTCTGGTTGTGGAAGAAGGAAGAAGAAGGTGCAGTCTAGCCTCTGGGTTTGGTCACCATCACTAAGTCCAAACTGAACTATACTATGGTATCTAATTCCACCAAGAACCATCAGATGGCTTCTTACCCAAAGCATCTAGATATGCCCTACAAGTTTTTTTTTTTGTTTTCTCGGCTTTGTTCCAGATTCAAGTCATTGAATCTGGAACAAAGCAGAGAAAATGAAAAAAAAACTCATCCTTGATTAAAATTTTTCTTCCGTCCTATTCTTGTACTATCTTTTCTTAGGCCTATATTGTACTGAATTTGAACCAATTTGAATATGAAGTTCAAATCCCCAAGCAAAAGCATTTGTCTGCTGATCACAGTCGTCCAATCAAAACTCAGGATTCCAAGGTCTGTGATTCGTCGGCGGGGTCAAAGTGGATGAATTGCATTGCGATCAAAGATAAAAAAGAGATTCAATCACAAACTTTTATTCCAGCTATCCACAACATTTTATTCTAATGGCTTGTTCTTTACTCATGTGTACGGTGATTAGTGCTTTTTTTATAAATGTTATCTAATTGTGTTCATGTACACCTCAGTTGTCAATAACATGTTAAAAAAATTTTATATTTAAATTTTTTCCAATAACTTTACAACTATAACTTCCAACAACAATAACTTCTCTCAAGTTAAGTTTACTGAAGAAGCTCTAGAGATGTTTTTTTAAAACATTAATTTGTTTTGACCAAAAAATCTGAATGCAAGATTTTGTAAACTCTTAGTGCATCTGCTCTACATACAGCTGTACACTAAAACATTTAGCTAATAGTGTGTTAAAGCCTTTAACACGTTCACTGCGCTACGAGATCCCGAGGTCTCGTATCGTACCTAGCCCGTAGTGCGGGACCCATCATTTGGCTTCTTTCCAAAAGTTACGAAATCGATATTTCGGCGTACAGTTATCGTAAAGAAATGAAACTTGTACATATATAATGCATTTTTCTTGATGTATCAACTAGTAAACATGAAATGAACAAGATAAATAGATCTCGTAACGCACTGAAGTAATAAACTTTTACCTTATTACGATACGAGACCCCTGGGTCTCGTATCAAAAATAGTTGTTCCAAGCACTACATGAGGCTAATGGGGTGATTAGTAACCATGGTAACCTTTGTTGAATGCTTGGATAAAAGAAGGAAACCAAAGAAATAATTCAAGAACGAAGAGAAAGAATAATGGTGTTTTTATGCTGTTATCTTTATGAGTTATCTAATGTTTTATAGGTTTACATATTATACGTTTTCAACTACGGGAATATAAATCTTTTTCAACTATCGACGTGTTTCTCTTCTAAAACAGCACTAACGGATGCGTATTAAAGGTCACTGGTAAATGACCTAAAATATCACGACTGTGCAATGTTGTATTTTGATGTAAAAAAGCAAATCATTACATTAATTCAAATATTTCTCCTGGTCCCTACTAAATCATACAAAAATCAATGTTAAATAATCGTCAAACCGGACAAGCAATTTCCGATAAACAGCTTTGTATCATTGGTTTTTGTTTTGCGATTGGAATCCCCTTTCCCAGCCCTTTAGGGAAGTGGTGCAAGTCTAAATATAGCTTCAAGGTTGCACCCATCCCTTCCGGGCCCACTCGACTCACTGTTGGCACCCACTCATTTCGAGGTCATAGCCCAACCCCAAAATTATAACGAAATAAATACAGTAATTTGTAAACATATTTCATTTGTATTTTATTTAGCCTGAAATCGGCCGTAAGGAAACTCATTAATATAAAAAGTGATAAAAGAAAGATAAAATATATTTTTTATTACGGTTATGATTATTAGGAATTCGTAAATAAACAGATAACATATATTTTTCTTAATTTATTATTGTAGGAAAAGAATAAATACAAATAAATAATGAACTATTACAGCTGTGCGGTACGAGATCTCGGGGTCTTATACAATGACGTCATATTTACTTCCTGGGCTGGCTGAAGATTGTCAACATTGTACTGGTTCACATAAACAAACACTCAGCGCTCTCTTGCCTTTCTTTGCGAGGTTATGATGCACAAAAGATTACTGCGCAATGTAATCTCGGGGTCTCGTATCGCACCTGGGTAATCATAGCGGACAAGACCTATAGATCTCGTAACGCACCATTGGAATAATGCAGGAAAATATACAAGGCAGTGAACGTGTTAATACAAAACAATTACAAATAATGTACATTAATCATTGTTTGTGTTTTTTTTTTTCAGGTAAGAAAGGACTTTTTCCCCCCCAGACCTAAACTAAACAAAAGAAAGAAGGTGACGAGATTTCTTTTGAAAAAGAAGTGTTCTAAAGAACCACCAAAAACCCCTGTGGTGGAGGATAAAAATGAGTCTGGAATTGACTCTGGTTGTAGTCAAGAATTATTGACTCCAGAAGAAGAGTCTAGTAAACCTGTAGAGAGTGAAAACCTCTGCAATATTTGTTTTAAAAATCAGAAAGATGGAGCTTTTGTGCATTGTAGATGGGTGCACATTTATGCATGTTATGAATGTTCGGTGAAAACATGGTTCACGTCGAGACGTTGCCCGTTGTGTAACGGAAAAGTGAATAAAGTGCTCAAAGTAGCAACGGGATAGTGAGCCAAACCATAGTTAGCTTTTTGTTATGTTATTGACTATTGTTGAAATGTTTAAAGAGATTTATTGTTAAATTAACTAGAAATTGAAGATCGCTGTTTTCATAAATTATTTATTGAAACCGTTATTGGTTTTACACTCTGCGGTGATTTACTACCATTAGTCTTGCCATTTGCATTGTATTTTTGTAACCGTCAGGATTTATGGGTTAACTAATTTGTCAAGGTTTTATACTACATCGACTGTTACAAATTGTCTAATTAAACCCTTTCTTCAAAAGTGAGGTTATTGTCATTCAATTTAACCCTTTGAGTGCCAACGTCCGGGGAACCGGACGTTTTTAAAACGAGCCAAAAGTGCCGACGTCCGGCCGACCGGACGTTTTTAGAACGAGCCAAAAGTGCCAACGTCCGGCTGACCGGACGTTTCGTAATGATCGAACAGCTGTCATAACAACCGAATGGATACTCGGATTCTTTTAACCCATATATTAACATTGAGTCGAAAGTTACTAGATGCGATACATCGATTTTCGTTGGTCGAAATATCGAAAATTCGATTTTTACGAAATTTTAACCTAAAAATCGCCAGATCGCGCTCGGCATTTTTAGCGCGACCTTCGGGAAAAATCATCGGCATTTTTTGAGCGTTACTTTTATTTCTTGCCTGGCACTCTAAGGGTTAATAAACGGGTAGAAGATATCTATAAACATTTATAGTATCCATAAATATCACTAGCTAAGGGTAAAACTACAAGATTTTGATGTAGATAAGGCAAATTTATCTGTTTGGACTTAAGGTTTTTACATTATAATAACTTGTTATTTAGTCATGGTGTATCATGGGATTAGAACTGGGTGATATAGACTAAATTACCAACAATATATTTAGCCTATGTAAATCACGATCCACCTCTTTCATGCAAGAGAAATTATTATTTGTACCATTATGTCCATTATAAGTATGTTTGGAAAGATGTGATAATGCTCGTCTCGTGGTTTTCATTTTAGGGTGAAATAGTTCAAATTAAATTGTGTATGGCCCTTGAACCGCTCTATGGAATCATCTGTATTAAAATTAATTAGTCTTGTTCAGAATAATAATTGAAAATTTTATTTAAATGTGCAGAAATTAATTTATACTCATAATATAACCAGATGCATCTAACTACAATTGTGTAGTTGAATTGAGCGTTTTGAATTAATATTTTTCATAAACTAAAGTTAAAAAATAAAATTTGTTGATTGTTGCCTAAAACAATTTTTGTTAAATAAAGTTAAAGATTAATGTAAGGGGAATGTTAGATAATTAAGGGTTTGCTATTGTTTTGTCTGTGGGTTTAGTTGTTTTTAGGATGCACCGATTTAATATTTTAATTGTGTTGATAATTTTTTGCATCTTGACTGCATATGAGACTTTAGTTTTTTGTAAACAAGTGCTAGTTTTTCATTCAGATTGTTTAACTCTTAATTCACGTAAAATGTCTTCCAAACGAGCATAATTTCTGTAATTATTTGTGTAATCTGCTGATTTCAGTTTGATGTTGAAACATAACTTAGTCATTGTATAAATATGTAATATTTTTGTACATTTGTTAATAATTAATTTATTAAAAGATAAATTACTGGTACCCCCTAATCTGGAGGTGTCAAATATATATTTATTAAGCTAATTATCTAAAACATGACTAAAAGAAACTAATAAAAATAGGGTTAGTAAATTTGATTTTTATTTCATTTGTGTTCCTGGTCCACAGCATTCACTAGTGAATACAAGGATCTTTTACTGACAATTGAATATACAAAGGCATATTATACTAAGGGAAATGCAAGTCAACATCAAGATGAAATAAGCCCAGAGAATTGACTGACTGTTGAGAATAAAAATGCCTTAACCTAGCCAGTTCATATCATAGACCCAGTATAATAGCCTAGACTAGTCCCTGAGTTCTTGCTGCTATAGAGAAAAGTACTAAAGATGAGGCATTTGCCATGTGACAGAAAATTATGCTCTAAGAGATGTTCATAACTGTACTGTAACACTCATTGCACACTACACGATTTCGCCTGTCCGCAGTCAGCCGTGTTGCCAGATTGACCAGAGTAAAAAAGCAGTAAAAAATTATGGTATTGGGTTCCAAATAATAGTGTATAGTATAGTACACATAACATATTTTTATATAAAAAACAAGGAACCTTAAAATAGAAATCTTTGTGAAGCTGCGTTCACTTCACTTGCACTTCTCAAGTGTTCAGTTTAACTAGCACATTCACGTTATCAGTAGGCGTAAATCCCTGAAAGCTGCAGCTGCTGTTACAGTGTTACTCAACCAATTACCTACCTCTTCTACTGTTGGTAACTGCAGTAGAGAGCAGTGGATTTGGATGTTTGATATAGGCCTAGGTAGTTTTGTAATTTATGCAAAATTAATTTATCATCAAGTTATCAATAACATGAATTTATGTCTCGTAACTCATCAAATAATCGTATATAATGACGAATAATCGAACATACGTCAATATTATCGTACCATTCTACAAAACAATTTTTTTTATGGGCAAAGGTATCGTACACATACGATAAACCATCTTACACCTGACAACACTGCCCTTCCGGGAAAAATTAGGAAGGGCATTTTTGTTATTGACTGATGGAGCATAAATGGAACCTTTTACATCAGCCTGTTATGAATCGGGCCAGATTATTTCCTGGGTCGTACCACTGCAGAGACCGGCTCATGGCCGACAAAAACTTGTTTTTGCTTCGGCAGTACATACTAAAATTGGAATGCTACAGAAAAGATTAGCATGGCCCCTGCGCAAGGATGACACGCAATATCGTGAAGCGTTCCACTTTTGTCTCCAGCTCAGTGGACTAAGTGACAAAATGAGCACTTGTACACTACACTATAGTATTTTAGTGAGTCCTATATTATTGGTTTTATATAATTCCTGAATTGCGTATTCTGTTGTTAAAGCCTATATTTAATATGGTATGGCTTTATATGGTGCCACAACAAAGAAAACTCGAACTTGAATTCTAGCTTTACAGAAAAGGACATTAAGAAAAACTAGCAGCCTGTGTGACTTCAAAATCCGTGACATAGTTGATAAGGGTGAACAAGATTATTTCTCATCATATCCCTATTATTTGCATTGCGTGCATGATCTCGTCGAGGCATCTTAGAAAAATTACAAATACTAACAAAACATAATACTATGAAAACACAAAATCTAATGTAAGTCATTTTCTTCTTCACATTTTACACAACCAAGATAACAATATTTTACTTGAATCCCCTAAAACATCAATAAAACATACTATGAAGACACAAAATCCTTTCACAACACAATAAGTCGTTTTCTTCTTTACATTTTATACTAATAACATTGCAACATTTTACATGAATTCACTGAACTATCACCAACTACAGATAACCACATTTTCTTATGGATGTGAACAAAATTATATCATACGAATCTGTTTTGATGTAAACTTGAAAAAGTTTAGATGATTGACAACAGAATTTAGCACAAACTATGGAATCTAACAAGCCTATAGGACGAAGGGCTTTCACGGGATATCATTCAAACCCACAAAAGGCACATCTAGAGAATAAGAGATTTAAATTGATACCCAATATGTCTATAAAAATTAATATTTAGGGGTTGATTTGCTGCACACAAAAATCCAACAAATTCTTTTAATAATAATAGATATGGGACTAAATAGTAAATTTTTTTTTAATTTTCTAGAACTAGAAAAATAACAGTCTTCATACATTACATTATGTGGGATGGCTTTTGTTACCGAAAAAAGTATCACAGATTATTCAAAGCCCTACTACATACAAGAGGACACTAATTACAAAAATGTATTTAAATTCACTAGGAAACTTTATTTTAAAAATATGGTACAGTAAAAAAACAATAAATAAAAACTATGCATTGGCCACGTCAGAGGACTTTAGAATCACCGTGTCTTCCTCTTCACTGTCCCCACTCAGTTCTGAGAACAAAAACAATTATTAAGAACAGAGTTTCTCACATGCTAGATTTTTGATAAAATAAAGGTGAATTTTTTTTGTTAAATTAACCATCCATTACTACAGACATCCAAATTACTACCAACACCAACTATTAAACCAAAATATTAGTTCAACCGACTTATGCCTCACTTCTTGTATTGCATTCATATCAATCCATCTGAAATCGAGTTACAGTTGATAATTTTAGAGGAATACCAAAACTGACCTCCATTTTTCCTAGTAGTGGCATTACAGTTATTTTGCTAATATTTATAACGGAACTCATTCACTTGGCAAACATATCTTTGTCAATTTATGGAGGATTGCACGCTTAATATTACTGTGTCAACAACTGAGTCAGGTTAAGACATTAATATTGTTAACTGAAACCAAGTCCACTTACCAATGTTATCAATAACTCGGTCTTCCATGGTGATCTGCTTGACAACTTCTACGTCACTATCGGAACTATATTGTACATCTTCTTTTTCAGATTCAGATTCTTGCGTTTCTTCTATCCACTGATTCCCAGCCCCTGAAGGCTCCCATGGCTTTAACATTTTCACCTGAAATTATTACAAAATAAAAATATGTGGCATGTGGACAAACTAATACTAAATGTTAAGACAAAAATGTTAGACTCATAAAAACTACAAATAAATGTTGAACAACTTAATTGTGTAACCCAGTTTGGTGAATGATATATAATGCAATCATTTAAGAGTGAAGAAGAAAACAATTTCTACAGATTTAAAGATGACACTCTGAGAGCCAAACATATAATTTATGTTGGATAATATAGAATCACGTGGTATATTAAAATCCTGTAACCTTTTATTCAAAACTATTATGTCACCCTTGCTTCCTTTCCTATGGGGTGAATGATTTAGTCTTTGAACTTGCCGTGTATAAAAAAGGTACACACCCACCATACGTATAGAAACAAAACAAAAACGTACCAATCTAAAATTTACTCTTATTTAAGTTAGTCAGTAGTGTGGCAGAAAATCTACTGAGATTTGTGATGCCCATCATTAAGTAAGTAAATGGTCAGTTGTGTGATGTATTAAATTAACAAATTTATTGAAATTTAAGCCAAGTAATTGCAATTAGAGTAATTTCAAATTTTCTTTATCCTATTTGACACACTCAAGACCAATCAGTATTCACTTCTAAAAGCTCTGCCTAAAAATTAGAGACACCCATGATGTGTATCCGGAGGAGGTTGTAGCATTATGAATAGGTCTATGTGCTCATATTCTACCATCGTGAACAGTTCAGCCAAAACTTCTGTGCGCGCGGACGGGTCCCTACTAGCCGAACTAAAACATACGGGCACCGGTTATTGGAAGTGCTGGGGGTAGGGGTGAGTGAGTAGCAAGACACAAATGTTTTCACAAAAGAAGTACCCCCGCCAAATGCCAACCCCCTTACCTAGACCCTGGCAGTAGTAGTTAATATGTTAATAACATATGGTAATAGTTCAACATATGTTTAGTGTTATTGTTTTATATTTTGATTGAGTTTTTGTTTAAATAGAAATACACAACCTTTCATGAATTTATTACAATTATTTAATTATTAATCTAATGACAGACCCAACCAGATCTGGTCGCGCGCACAGAAACTTTAGCCGAACTGTAAAATATGAGCCTAGTGTGTTCAGTAGTTTTTGCGCTCACATGGAACAAACACAGGGATAGAAAAACCCACTCTGTTTAAAAATACTACGGAGAGGGAGAGACATCAACAAACCTCCACTTTATTCTTCGAAGGTAACAGCTCAGCTGTCCTCTCTGCAACTGCTATTATTTGAACTTCATCTTCACTTTCTTCTGAAACTAAGAAATTGGGTAAGTACTTGTGTTTATGCAATCCAAAATTTGTCTACTGAACAATTAGTTTTGCCAATTCAAATAGTCATCTTCAAAATGAATAAAGGACAGAGGACAGAGGTTGTCAATATGAATGATAAATTGGTCACACAGAATCAGAATACAAAAACAAAAAGTTAATACTGTAGGTAATCCATCTAACAGCTAAAACAAAGCTCGCAATAAATATCAAATAGGACAAAATATGATCAGCCAGCTTCATAGAACATAACAACATAACTTAGTGGACAATTCTTTGTAATTGAGTAAAACGCTAAGAATCACATTTCATTTACCAAGGAAATTAAACTGAATAAAGGTTAAAATGTTTTAACATTTTATATTCATGTAGAGCTAAGTTCAATGTTACAAGTATTTTTTATTTTTTACTCTAAAAATATTTATTACCATTAACATTTTATATTCTTGTAGAATAATTAAACTTTATAGTTAATGTTAACAATCAAAATTATCTGCGAAAGGAGAATAATCAATCATACAATGGAAAAGGTTAGTGATAAGCTCTTGAATTTGAAGCAGACTTAAAATACATTTTTCTCCTTGATAAGTAAAGTCAACTACCTTGTACATCCATTTTGACGTCCTGCTTAACCCTTGGTTTGGTAGAACCTTTGAGACGAAATGTATTCCTGTCTGTGGAAGATGACAGTATCCTGTCTAGATTTATGCATTTGACCAAACCAGGAACAGGACCTTCAGTTCTGCAAATACAACACATATGAGATAACACATTTTAGAATGTGAACTAGTCCTCGCCACCCTAACTTGAGGCAGCCTAAGGCCGCGCGCAGTATATCTAGTGCAGCCTTGGGCTGCCTCAAGTTAGGGTGGCGAGGACTATAACATGTTCTCTAACGAAAAGTGAACATTTTAATTGGATTTGATTTATTCATTGAGACATTTTGTTGCAAACATAAGTAATAAAATAAAACCAAACCTAGAGCAATCACAATTTTACTTTGAAATTACACAACACAGACTTGTATCAGAGCAGATATTGTGTTTTTATGGTTTTGAAAGCAAACCTAATAACATTGGAGTTAACCTTGCAATTTGAAGGGAAAGAGAAATGAAGGAGGCCTTTCTAAGAATTTTAAGTTCAGATTGTATAGTCGTATTAACTATATAAAATACCTGACCTAAAAATTGTTAAACTATAAATCCTTTACAAAGAGAACAGAAAAGAGGTGTTATTTTGTCTTTTTAGCAAATTTCCTATATAGGGAATATTAGCGAATTTCCCATATAGCGAATAAGCTATTACCGTAGGTCTCATGGTAAGACCTGGACCCAGGACCAAATTACTTTTTCGTTTTGATAGGCCAAAAACACCATCCGTTCAAATTCATATATATTTATATACAGTCTAACCTTGATATAACGAACCTCGATATAACAAATTCCTTGATATAACAATTTTGTTTTAATCCCCTAGAACTCTCCATAAGACACAATGTATATTTTACCTCTACATAACGAACAAACCATGTTTATTATAGATAATAATCTACTAACGTATGCCAGTAGGTGTCAATTATAGATAATTATGCTGTACATGTTTCGAGCCTAGTACGGCTCATCTTCAGCAGCATTCTTGTATGTAAAAATATTTCACATCGAGAGATGATTGTCGACTATTTACAGGAACCACATATATACACAAACACAGAACATTTTAGCATGCTATTTACACATATTTTCGTAGCGTATGCTCGTTTAGGTAAAACTCGACCGGACGACATTTGTAGGCCTCCCACTCGATTGAAATATTTTTACATACAAGAATGCTGCTGAAGATGAGCCGTACTAGGCTCAAAACATGTACGGCATAATTATCTATAATTGACACCTACTGGCATACGTAAGTAGATTATTATCTATAATAAACATATTAAAGGTGTCAAGGCTGAATAACTTGATTTGAACAAACCATATCAACGACCTTGATTTAACAAATTTTTCATGATCCCAGCTAAAATAAGACAACTAAATATAATGAATTTATCATTGTCAGAACCTCTACATAGCACCTCTACCTCTACCTCTAGCAGAACCTCTACATATAATGAATTTATCATTGTCAGAACCTCTACATAGCGAATTTAACCTCTACTTAACGAATTGTCAGTGTCTTTCCCTCGATATAACAAACCCCCCCCCCATTATTAATTTTGAAAAATCAATTTCTTCATCAAATGAAATGGAAAAGTGACGTAAACGCTTGTGCTTATTCGTCTGCTCCGTTTTACACATCTCTGTCTGACGAGACGACGTAGTGCTGGGAACTTCATGTTGTATGTTTTGTTTTTTTCTGAATCACTGTGATATAGGCTAATATCTATGAGGTTACATTACCTTAATTGCCAAGTGATCCATGTAGTCCAAAAATAGGGTCATGCACATTTCGACGTCATTGTCAAATCTTACAAAAAACTTGTCTAAACCATTTATGGGGTGAAAATTGGTTTTTCTCATTTTTGACTCTCAAAACATAAAATTTCCCAATTTTTCTCCAAACCATTAAAGAGCATTAAAAAACATATAATTTAGTATATTGAAGTGTTTTTGTACAGTTATTGGTTACGGAGAAAATTCAGAAATTTTAAATTTTAAATTCCCATGTTATTCTTATGGAGAATACTCTCTAGCAGCAAACCTGGGTAGGCCTAATCAATAATCATTAAACCTTATGTTATTGAATTAGATTTAATTGAAAATAAAATCAGGCAAATGGAATTCACTTAGTCTGCAGGCTTGCTGCGGCGGGGGTATTTAATTTGTCTATCGTGTCAGGTGTACACTTGCCCTTTAGCTATTATAACTAACCATGTTAGCTATCATAGTTGCCCGTTTAGACCGACCGACTGGTTCTGTGAGGGTTGGATAAGAGAGAATGGATCTTATTCCAACTACAAGATGGTAAAAACTCACCTGGCCTTCAGGTCGGCCTCCAACGCCTGCTTGACCGTAGAGACGATGTGATTTGCCAGTTTGGCAGCCTTGGTAGCGCACTGCAAGATGACCTGAGGCGCAGCCAGAGCCGAGCCACTGAGGTGGAGGCCGCACAACTCTCTGTACATGTTGACAGCCATCACCAGCTGAGCCTGGGCAACCCTCTCCTCCGTCATGGTGGGGTCGGCAATCACCTGATCACTGCATGGACAAAAATCATTTAGGGATCCCTCCAACAGTTCATCCGAGTATAAAATTCAGAGAATATTTAGGTCTTTAAATAAGATCGTAGTAAACATGTGAAAATGTGTTGTTTTTTTACCACCGGGAATGATAATTATTCTAGATGACATGTTTAAAAAATATTACCTAGCTAAAAAAAATTGGGAAATTGTTATTTCACTTCTAAACATATCCCGCTGATTATACGCTGACTACACAGGTATGTACTTTAAGGCCAATACTGCAATATTAATGATTACTCCAGCTGTTACCTACCCGTTGTTGAATATGGCAAACGCTACCGCCACGGGATGGTGGTGTAAGGTGATAGGAAGGGGATCTCTCTCCATGTTGCTGTGAATGATCACTTGTTCCCCTGAAAGAGTGAAGTCGGGGCGGCGGAAATGCATCAGTGCTGCCAACGCAGCAGCCGAGCAGCAGCCTATCAGGTTCCCATCACTGTTTAACACGTTGATGTCAACCCGGACGTTCCACACCTGAGTAATGCAAAAGCTACAAATGAATGCACACTACATGATTTCATTGTAGGAACCAAAGGGTTGATGAATTAGGCTAAAGCCTAATCACTGGCCAAAACTTTTTGATGTTTTAACAAATATTTCTTTATTTCGGGTCCATGAATGCGCAAGTACAATTGATAAAACACAGTGACGTAGCCAGTATTTCAAAATAGGGGGGGGGGGGGGGTCGACCGACCGGGGGGTCTGGGGGGTTTTCCATACCCCCAGGTAAAAGGGGGGTCCGAGAAAAATGTTAAAAATATAGGCCCTAAAACGCTGTTTTTAGCCCTCTTGGCATTGAAAGTAACCAACCCCAACGTCAATACAGTATGATTGTATAATTTTACATTTAATAAAAAAAAATATTATATTTAAGACCAGAAGGGGGGGGTCCGGACCCCCAGGACCCCCCCCCTGGCTACGTCACTGTAAAACAACCTTTAAGGAAACAGACAAAACCCTGGTATTGACAGTAACGTCAATCTGTTATAACTTTTTGTACAAATACAGAATAAATAGCATTTAAAATACTTTTTTGTCAAGGAAAGTTCCAGAATTCATGATCAGCCAAAGACAAATGAAAACTGCGTCAAGAATTGATCCTTCTCAGGATTTAACCAGTAGCCTAATCCTCATATTTGAATCCTCTATTTACTCTGCCACCCTGTATGTAATATAACATTAAACTATCTTTTAGGACTGATAGTTCAAACTCAAAAGATAAGCGGAGAATATCCACTGACTTCACATCTATTGCTAGGACTATTATAATCTTTGAGCCCCAAAAACTGAAATAATATAATTATAATAACAGTGAGTAATTTTACCGTGTGAAATTATCAGCTAGAGAGTGTCAAATGGTAGAAAAATCAACATACAGCTTTTGTAAACATTGTACATTGCTACAATATGTACAAATAAGAATTTCATAGTTGACTAGGTTGATGAACTAACAATAAATTGTCACACCTTTTCTTCAGCCACTATACATAATGACTCCAAATCCACGCATCTGGACTCTTTGAAGAACTTTTCAAGGAGACGGTTAAGATGAACGCTAAGATCTGACTGAGGGCCGGACTCAAAGTGAACAGCTGCCATCTGGCTCAGTTCAACATTGAGATGTAATAGACCTTCATTCGGACGAGTGGCCTTAGGTAACTGAACATCGCAGGTCACGTTCGCCAATACTCTGGAAATACCAACACTGCTGCAGTTTTGATCCTTTGAAATTTTATAAGGAGTAATAAAAAATAAAAAAACTAATTTAAACTAATTTAAATGCATGCAGTATTTATTTGCCAAAAGAATTATTTTCATATCAATTAAATTAAATTCATTGCAAACTAATACATCAATGAATTAAAAACCCCAAAATAAAAAAAAAAATCAGATACCTACCGTAAAGCCTAGATAATCCGGCCTAAACAAAATGCCTGAAGGCCAAATTTAGGAAAAGGACAGACCTATGAAATTAGTGAGAGTACCACAAAATGAGTTTGAGACAGCCAAAGTTCATGCAAAATGGCAAAAGAAACTAAAGAAATAGTATGTATGAATGTTAAAATTCAAGATTCTTTATTTGGTCATTGAACAACAAATGTACAATTTAAGTATTAATATTAATTTACTGTAAAATACATAACAAGTCTTTGGGTTTGAGGGTAGATGTTATACTTGGGTAGTAATTTAAGGATGGGATTGAGCTGGTTTACTGGTTGGATTTTTTAGGACTGGATAATCAAGGTTTTATTGTAGCCTAATATGAAATAACAAGTAGTAGGCCTGTTAGAAAATCTTCTCTCTTTCTCTATTAAATACTCTTGTCATCCTAAAAAAATGTATACGTACCTAGGCTATAGTCCTATCAATATAAGTAGGCTAGGATTAAAAAAGATTAACTTATACACAGTAACATTCTTTTCCAACAGTTACCTAACAATGTACATGTTCTCTCACTGATTTGAGAAAGCAAAGTGGCCAATTCGCTCATCAGTGAGACAATGTTAACATTGTCTCACTCTAATTACTTTGTCTCACTCCAGATTTGCAACGTGAAGGCATAAAATAGTGAGCGTGTAACATGCAGGCAACGTCGTATGCGCGCGAAATACGTTGGCAGCACTGGCTGTAAATCAGCTGGTCAGCTGTTGTACTGTTGTATTTGTCACTTCACATTAAATGTTATATTAAAAGTTCACTTCTGTGTAAAAATAGGTTATGTTTCTTCACCAATTTATTTGTTTTATGGTAACTGTAGGAAAAGTATAATGTGCAACTCGAGTTCAAAGTACAATTGCCTCACTCGAGAAACCATTCCTCACTCGCCTACGGCTCGTGAGTAAGGATTTCTCTCGAGTGAGTCAATTGCTTACTTTTCTCACTAGTTGCACAAATAACTATTTCCCACATTAATTACAACATCACTATTAACCAAAGTCTTGAAAAGATGTTTGAGCGTATTTTATCAACCATTTATAACGTCTACCAGCAATAAAAATTTCTTGAGTATAAAATGTATGCGTGCTACTTAGTTCTTTGTAGTATAATGTGCAACTCGAGTTCAAAGTACAATTGCCTCACTCGAGAAACCATTCCTCACTCGCCTACGGCTCGTGAGTAAGGATTTCTCTCGAGTGAGTCAATTGCTTACTTTTCTCACTAGTTGCACAAATAACTATTTCCCACATTAATTACAACATCACTATTAACCAAAGTCTTGAAAAGATGTTTGAGCGTATTTTATCAACCATTTATAACGTCTACCAGCAATAAAAATTTCTTGAGTATAAAATGTATGCGTGCTACTTAGTTCTTTGTAGTATAATGTGCAACTCGAGTTCAAAGTACAATTGCCTCACTCGAGAAACTATTCCTCACTCGCCTACGGCTCATGAGTAAGGATTTCTCTCGAGTGAGTCAATTGCTCACTTTTCTCACTAGTTGCACAAATAACTATTTCTCAATTACTGTAAAATAAATAATAATTAGGTCTCATGAGTAAATAAGTCTCATTAAGGTTATTAACAGTGTCTTAGTATTCAACTTACTTGGTTTCTCCAAATGAAACTTGACATGAACCCCATTCTTTTCCATAGTGAACTTCAATAGTTCGAAATTCGTCAAAATGCCTTCCATCAAGTCTCTAGAACCAAAAGACTAAACTTAAGCTTTATGATTATTCTAAGAAAATAGAATTAGTTTAGCCTATAAGGCATACAAGTGTTACTAAAAGTGTTTAATCCAACATGAATGAGAACATGAATGATCTAATTTAAATTTTAAATTAGATAACCATCCAGCGATCACACCCAAAAAGTCACGTAACTGGTCGCACTGTATCAGATTGATAACTTACTTTTGTGTTTAATTATGTATGTTTGTAGGTATACAAAGTTTGCAAGCAATCTTTTTACAGTAAATACTTGAGAACTGAATACTTTTGAGTGTAAAGATGCCATTTAATAGCTTTGTAAACATTAATATATTTGAGAACCTTTTTTTAAAAATTGTATACCTATATAAAACCTTGCATGATGCTGTGTTTTACCAATGACGGGAAAGGTCACAATGTATCAAAATGATAGAAAGTTTGTAAAATAAGAAAAAACTTTGATAGGCTACATTAAAAAAATTTATACTGTAACTAAAAAGCAGTAAGTTACCGGTACATGTATGAAAATAGTCTTAAAATTACTTATTAATTGGTTGGTAGTAATTTTAATAGTAGTTTTTTTTTGTGGTTAATTGGTAGGGAGTGGCAAGTATTTACCCGACAAAACCAGTTACATAACTGATCAATAATAGGTAGGGGTAACCTAGACCTCGTTAGGGTGGTTGTACTACTCGTTACAAAATGGCAGCAATGAAAAAAGCCTTTGTATCAATTTGATCAGGTGCGACCGCTCAAGGATTAGGCTAAAGAAATAACGTCAAAACTATGATATACGACAACATTGCCACTATCAATATGAAAGTTTGGTTATAAGTTAAGTTTTGTTATTAATCGAATCAATACTTTAATTTTTTATTATAAAATTGAGTCAGATAATAAACGTTTTTGCAAAAAATTAACTTAACCAATTTTAAATTCTGTTAAACCAATGATTTATAAATAAAAAATCTTTTTAAAATACCACGTTTATAAACAAACTAAAACAGTAAAAAATAATTTATAAATATGTGGAGAGAATAAAATACTTGTAAGATTTAAAACGAAAACGTGGGCGCATGCAATAGCTAATTTAAAATTATCTTAACCTAATGAATTATTATTACCGTATCTATTGCATGCGACCCACGTTTTTCGTTTTAAATAATCTTTAGTCTTTATAATGTGTAAATATGATTAATCAATTTTTTATGGCTTATTAATACATAACCAAACCTTTTTAACTGTAATCACATGTTGCTACTATTCTCATAATCATAAAACTTTAGAATCTCTCGGGAGCAGAAACCTGTATACTTATTAACTTCTACTCTTTGAACAAACTGTCAAATTAGTATATTACGTTACTAGCCCTGAAAATAGGTGTTTACCACACGAGTCCGGTAAACATATTTTGGATTAGTGTCGTATGATATTTTACGCCATACTGCTAAATCCGTACAAATCCTTCTATATTACCACCGACAAAGTTAAAGGAATAACAATCACTAGCCTAGTCATAACCTCTAAGAGAGGTAAGTTTACTAATCACTCTCACTCGTTGCCAAATACAGTATATACAGTATCAGCTGGTGTCCGGTAAAACTCATTACAGTACAGTAGTACGTAACTTAATGAAACCCCATTTGATTAAGCTGACGGCAAACAGTTTTTTTCTGGACTAAATCCATGCGTACAGGAAGTTTGTCGAAACAGTGTAGTGTGGCGTAAAAGTATTAACAGCTGACTTTAATAGGCCTATTTATATTAACATTCATCAAAATGTAAACATTAAAAATTTGGAAGCCCATAGGGTGTAGCCAAAGGGAAATATGAAAATAAAATGATTTAACATTGCATGTCATCCATTTGTGAGCTATGTTTCAAGGTTCAAGTCTCTAGTGTATCGGGGAGTTGGTTTAGAATTGATTGCAAAATTTTTAAGGAAAAGACAAGAATGCAAGCTAATAAAAATGTTTTAATTTTAAAAAGTATCAAGGAACGGAACATCTTTTCTTCATATAGGTAATGAAATCGATAGTTTCAATCGACACAATTAGCATAGCCCAGTTAACCCTCTATCTGGCGCTGGTCGATTTTCGACCACTAAAACGTGAGTTCTCAGTGGCGCTGGTCGATTATAGACCAAGTTGACATGGGTCGGGTTTTTCTATTACTAAAATATGAAAACAGTTTTAAAACGCAATAAATCTTGTACCATTAGAAAGGTGAGATTCTGAGGATTCATTTTCATGCATAAAACATTATTGAGTGAGTAGGGTATTATGTAGCGAGAAACATAGTTTGAAAAACTAGAGAGTTCAAAATCGATTTTGGCGGTGGAAAGTTTTGGTCACCTGACTACAAAAACAGCTGTTTTTGGTGATTGTCAATTAAATTGTATACAATATTAGTACATTATTCTGAAACTACAATAAACTCCCTACAATTCCCTGTGAATCTATAAGGTTGATTGTAAAAATTGTATTTGTTTTTAAAAATGTCATAAATATTATGTTTTCGTAAAAAAATCTTCAAAATTTTACATTCCGACGTAAATTTCTCCGACATTTTAGAATTCAACTAAATATAACTATATATTTTCAGATAGATCTTTTTATTACCTATTGTACAGTATCATTTCATTTTTTGTTTATGCATTCTATTATTTCCTACGCGACAAAAAGAAATTTGGTAGTTTTTCAAAAAAGAAAATATGTATGTAGAATTTATTTTTTTATAATTTTATTTTTATGAGTATTTAAAAAACATTGATATTTCTACTTAGGGAATCATATTTCACACAACTTTTACATTCAGATAAAATGTGTAAAAAAATTATTTTGTGGTTTTCTTGTGGGTTGCTTTTGAAATTTCTAATTTGCATAATCCAAAAATTTGCAAACCTTTTGCTACTACGCCTAAATGCATTGCTAGGAAAAGAATATTTTTACATTATTACATTCTAAAATCATCACTGAAATAGAAAATATATATATGTGTGTACTTATATTCGCAAATAAATGTTCTGTGGCAAAATATATGATACCACTACAAAAGTGCCAAAATATACCCGCCACTGGTGAATAAAATGACCGCCAGATCTAGGGTTAAGAAACTATACCTTTATATTGAAACTATCAAATTGAAAATATGATTATTTAAATCGATATTTAAAAATATATCTATTATAAAATTGAACTATCATTACCTAACCTAACCAACCAAACTTGCTGATGGTGAAAAAATCGCATGAATGTTTGCTAATCGAATCAATAGTTTCAATCGATATTAGTGTAGCCCAGTTAAGAAACTGTACCCTAAGTTTTTTTTTTTTTTTTTTGCTTGATTAAAGCTAAACTTACCACATTTTCACTTGTGGCCTTTGTTATGAAGTTTTTAATACATGATGACAAAAGTTCTTCTTTCATTTTTGATCCAAAGGCTGTCTTGTTTTTTCTAATTGCAAAATAGTTATATTATGATTAAACAACTTAGGACTTCCACCACTGACAGCCAAATATCATTCAAGAGAAGAGAACCATAAAGAAGAAAGAGTTAGTATTTTTGGACTTAGGCCTATTTTGGATTAATAAAAGCCGACCAAAACAAATTGTTTTAAGGTTATGGTGTTGGTTTTTGTTGTTGAAACTTGTGAAGAAGAGAAGAAGGGTCGTGTACCGTCGTGAAGTTAGCGGCTCTTTTCATCGGCGCTTTTTCGGTTTGTAATAGATGTGGGTTGGTACTCCTGCGGACGCCACAAACGTGTTTTGCAGGGATGTCGGAAACCCAATTCAATGACAATACGGTACGAAATGATGTTTTTATATTTATATAATGTCAATTATACATTGATAAAACGTATATACAAGTTAAAACTAATTAATTGACGTATTTTAAAAGGCATATTTGAGACCGTAGTGTACATTATACGTAGCTATGGCTTAACATAACGCGATCAATTAAAACTCCGAACATAAAAAGTGCATAATCTTTTTTCCCAAGCCCATCACATCAACTTTGAGCTATTCTAATGGTAATATACAATGTGTAGAATACTCAGTATAAATATGATTAAGGCAGTCCAGTGAATTACGAAGCTATAAGGCAAAATCTATATGGTTGATAGGAACTCGCATCAGGAAAAAGTGCACAATCTTTTTCCTTAGTCCATCACATAAACTTTGATTTATTCTAATGGTAATATACAATGTGTAGAATACTCAGTATACATATGATTGAGGCAGTCCAGTGAATTACGAAGCTATATGGCAAAATGTATATGGTTGTTAGGAACTCGCATCAGGAAAAGTGCACAATCTTTTTCCTAAGCCCATCACATCAATTTTGAGGTATTCTAATGGCAATATACAATGTTTAGAATAATCAGTATGAGTATGATTGCGGCAGTCCAGTGAATTACGAAGCTATAAGGCAAAATCTATATGGTTGATAGGAATTTGCGTCAGGAAAAGTGCACAATCTTTTTCCTAAGCCCATCACATCAACTTTGAGGTATTCTAATGGTAATATACAATGTTTAGAATAATCAGTATGAGTATGATTGCGGCAGTCCAATAAATTACGAAGTTATATGGCAAAATGTATATGGTTGATAGGAATTTGCATCAGGAAAAGTGCACAATCTTTTTCCTGAGCCCATCACATCATCTTTGAGGTATTCTAATGGTAATATACAATGTGTAGAATACTCAGGGTAAATATGATTGCGGCAGTCCAGTGAATTACGAAGCTATAAGGCAAAATCTATATGGTTGATAGGAATTTGCGTCAGGAAAAAAGCACAATCTTTTTCCTAAGCCCATCACATCAATTTTGAGGTATTCTAATGGTAATATACAATGTTTAGAATAATCAGTATGAGTATGATAGAGGCAGTCCAGTGAATTACGAAGCTATAAGGCAAAATCTATATGGTTGATAGGAATTTGCGTCAGGAAAAGTGCACAATCTTTTTCCTAAGCCCATCACATCAACTTTGATGTATTCTAATGGTAATATACAATGTATAGAATTATCAGTATGAGTATGATTGCGGCAGTCCAGTGAATTACGAAGTTATATGGCAAAATGTATATGGTTGATAGGAACTCGCATCAGGAAAAGTGCACAATCTTTTTCCTGAGCCCATCACATCAACTTTGAGGGATTCAAATGGTAATATACAATGTGTAGAATACTCAGTATAAATATGATTGAGGCAGTCTAGTAAATTACGAAGTTATATGGCAAAATGTATATGGTTGATAGGAACTCGCATCAGGAAAAGTGCACAATCTTTTTCCTGAGCCCATCACATCAACTTTGAGGGATTCAAATGGTAATATACAATGTGTAGAATACTCAGTATAAATATGATTGCGGCAGTCCAGTGAATTACGAAGTTAAATGGTAAAATGTATATGGTTGATAGGAACTCGCATCAGGAAAAGTGCACAATCTTTTTCCTAAGCCCATCACATCAACTTTGAGGCATTCTAATGGTAATATACAATGTGTAGAACACTCAGTATAAATATGATTGAGGCAGTCCAGTAAATTACGAAGTTATATGGCAAAATGTATATGGTTGATAGGAACTCGCATCAGGAAAAGTGCACAATCTTTTTCCTAAGCCCATCACATCAACTTTGATGTATTCTAATTTTAATATACAATGTATAGAATAATCAGTATGAGTATGATTGCGGCAGTCCAGTGAATTACGAAGCTATAAGGCAAAATCTATATGGTTTATAGGAATTTGCGTCAGGAAAGGTTTCGGTTTGTAATAGATGTGGGTTGGTACGCCTGCGGACGCCACAAACGTGTTTTGCAGGGATGTCGGAAACACAATTCAATGCCAATACGGTGCGAAATGATGTTTTTATATTTATATAATGTCAATTATATATTGATAAAACGTGTATACAAGTTAAAACTAATTAATTGACGTATTTTAAAGGGCATATTTGAGACCATAGTGTACATTATACGTAGCTATGGCTTAACATAACGCGATCAATTAAAACTCCGAACATAAAAAGTGCATAATCTTTTTTCCCAAGCCCATCACATCAACTTTGAGCTATTCTAATGGTAATATACAATGTGTAGAATACTCAGTATAAATATGATTGAGGCAGTCCAGTGAATTACGAAGCTATAAGGCAAAATGTAAATGGTTGATAGTAACTCGTATCAGGAAAAAGTGCACAATCTTTGTCCTAAGCCCATCACATCAACTTTGAGGTATTCTAATGATAATGTACAATGTGTAGAATACTCAGTATAAATATGATTGAGGCAGTCCTGTAAATTACGAAGTTATATGGCAAAATGTATATGGTTGATAGGAACTCGCATCAGGAAAAAGTGCACAATCTTTTTCCTAAGCCCATCACATCAACTTTGATGTATTCTAATGGTAATGTACAATGTGTAGAATACTCAGTATAAATATGATTGAGGCAGTCCAGTAAATTACGAAGTTATATGGCAAAATGTATACGGTTGATAGGAACTCGCATCAGGAAAAGTGCACAATCTTTTTCCTGAGCCCATCACATCAACTTTGAGGTATTCTAATGGTAATATACAATGTGTAGAATACTCAGTATAAATATGATTGCGGCAGTCCAGTGAAATACGAAGTTATATGGCAAAATGTATATGGTTGATAGGAACTCGCATCAGGAAAAGTGCACAATCTTTTTCCTAAGCCCATCACATCAACTTTGAGGTATTCTAATGGTAATATACAATGTGTAGAACACTCAGTATAAATATGATTGAGGCAGTCCTGTAAATTACGAAGTTATATGGCAAAATGTATATGGTTGAAAGGAACTCGCATCAGGAAAAGTGCACAATCTTTTTCCTAAGCCCATCACATCAACTTTGATGTATTCTAATGCTAATATACAATGTATAGAATAATCAGTATGAGTATGATTGCGGCAGTCCAGTGAATTACGAAGTTATATGGCGAAATGTATATGGTTGATAGGAACTCGCATCAGGAAAAGTGCACAATCTTTTTCCTAAGCCCATCACATCAACTTTGATGTATTCTAATGGTAATATACAATGTATAGAATTATCAGTATGAGTATGATTGCGGCAGTCCAGTGAATTACGAAGCTATAAGGCAAAATCTATATGGTTGATAGGAATTTGCGTCAGGAAAAGTGCACAATATTTTTCCTAAGCCCATCACATCAACTTTGATGTATTCTAATGGTAATATACAATGTATAGAATTATCAGTATGAGTATGATTGCGGCAGTCCAGTGAATTACGAAGCTATAAGGCAAAATCTATATGGTTGATAGGAATTTGCGTCAGGAAAAGTGCACAATCTTTTTCCTAAGCCCATCACATCAACTTTGAGGTATTCTAATGGTAATGTACAATGTGTAGAACACTCAGTATAAATATGATTGCGGCAGTCCAGTGAATTACGAAGTTATATGGCAAAATGTATATGGTTGATAGGAACTCGCATCAGGAAAAGTGCACAATCTTTTTCCTGAGCCCATCACATCAACTTTGAGGTATTCTAATGGTAATGTACAATGTGTAGAACACTCAGTATAAATATGATTGAGGCAGTCCAGTAAATTACGAAGTTATATGGCAAAATGTATATGGTTGATAGGAACTCGCATCAGGAAAAGTGCACAATCTTTTTCCTAAGCCCATCACATCAACTTTGATGTATTCTAATGCTAATATACAATGTATAGAATAATCAGTATGAGTATGATTGCGGCAGTCCAGTGAATTACGAAACTATAAGGCAAAATCTATATGGTTGATAGGAAATTGCGTCAGGAAAAGTGCACAATCTTTTTCCTAAGCCCATCACATCAATTTTGAGGTATTCTAATGGTAATATACAATGTGTAGAATAATCAGTATGAGTATGATTGCGGCAGTCCAGTGAATTACGAAGTTAAATGGCAAAATGTATATGGTTGATAGGAACTCGCATCAGGAAAAGTGCACAATCTTTTTCCTGAGCCCATCACATCAACTTTGAGGGATTCAAATGGTAATATACAATGTGTAGAATACTCAGTATAAATATGATTGAGGCAGTCCAGTAAATTACGAAGTTATATGGCAAAATGTATATGGTTGATAGGAACTCGCATCAGGAAAAAGTGCACAACCTTTTTCCTAAGTCCATCACATCAACTTTGAGGTATTCTAATGTTAATATACAATGTGTAGAATAATCAGTATGAGTGTGATTGAGGCAGTCCCCTAAATTACCAAGTTATATGGCATAAGTTATAAGAATGCATTATATTTTTTCTATGCACATCACAACAACTTTGAGCTATTCCAATTGTAAAATACATCGTAGTATATAATATTTATGAATATGATTGAGGCAATCAAGTCAATTATCTGTGGAGAAATCTGAGGTATAATCTGAGGAGAGGTAACCTTAACGAAAGGGAAACAAAATGAAACTGCTTTTTCAAAAAGATAAAAATTTAAATAAGCTATTTTATTTACTTTATAAACATATCGTGTATGAAAATAATCTATTTACACAACCTTAAACTATAAACGTAAGCAAAACATGTTGGAAAACATAAAGATAAAAAA